TTTGATGTATAGTATAGGTGGTTAGGTATGTTCATGTTGTTAAATGTGAGTCTATGTATGTACGGAAGGGGGGAAGAAATTTCCTAAAAAGGACAAGGAGACCTGGGTTCAATTCCCCCATGAGACACATCCACCAATGTTTCTCTGAGTAAGAAACTTAACCCCCAGTTGCTCCAGAGGCATGCAACCTCTGACATGTACGGCAATTGTAAGTTTCTTTGGAAATAAGCATCAGCTAAAGGAATAAATATGATGTAATGTTGCCATTTTTAGCATGTTAAAAAATCTGTGTGAAAGTACAGTCCGACAAAGCTTCTACCATGGCTTTAGACCCATAGACTAGTTTGTAATCATCCTGCAGCTTGTCTTATTTATTGATAACACTAAAACTTAACAGAATTTGGCCTTTTGTGTTCCCCTCTCCATATGAATACACAAAAACGCCTACATTCATGGCCTTTATGTCTACTTCACACCCACATATTGGACATTTGCCAAGAAATAAGCAGCAACTGAACAGACAGCCAAAATTAGAAAATTAAGTCAAAGTCAGCAGAGCTAAAACCTGTCAGAAGTTCAACTCGTGACCAACCATTCCTAGAGTGATTACAGGGGAAAGTGTGAATACTGTTGGAGCACAATTCAGAAAGAAATCAAATAAAAGACTGAAAAATAGACAGAAGAGGATCTGGGGAAGGTAAGAAGGGAAAGCTGAGAACAAAAGGTGGTGGAGAAAGAAATGATAAATGTAAAAGAACAAAGAAGAAAATCTGGAAATATTTCTGTTTCATAACTTTTTCATGGCTCTAGGCTACCCACGGCCAGAATAGCTGTCTGTTGTTAAACACCAGCACATGGTGCATGAAGATCCAGTTCCCACCCAAAGCCACTTCTGGGGTTTATTCCTTTAAAGGGTCAGATACCAGTCCATCATAAAAAAAACATTCATTCATTAATTTTTGCACTCCAACCGCAGTAATTGACTTTATTCTGTTTCTGAGCTACTAGATGTTTGCTTACTTTAATTTTAGGGGATTTGTTTCAACTCTCTGTCTAGGATCAGCTTTACAACTGACACGTGTTTCTTACTACAAGTGATTAAGGTTGAGTTTCACGGTTACTTAATGACTTTGTTGCCCACAGGTGCTGATTTGCGTTAAGCTTTAAAGCTGATTATAGCTGGTTAGATATGTTACAGATGAGCAGGTGCCAGTCGGGTGTGTGTTTTTACTGTGGCTGAACAAGGCTTTGAAGCCTACAGGTGCTGACTTGGGTCATTTTTATAGCTGGTTTGATGTCTCACAGGCCAACAGGTGCTGATCTGTGCTGCTTTCTGTCCTGGCTATATCAGACAGGTCTTACTTTTGCTACAAGGTTTGATGTCTGTCAGAATTGTTAAATGCTGAAATGGAGTCATTTTGGTTCTGATAACATATCGAAGAGGGCAGCAGTGTTTTATTGTGGGTTAGCATGGCTGACAGACTGCCAGGATCAATCAGGGCCACATGGAGTTTGACCAAAAACAGACTCATTGGTTGCTCGATGCAGTCTTAAGGCCATGATCTTTACACCAAATTACATTAGAAATTTCTGGTGAGCAAAAATGAGATTTATCTTGTGATAAACAGTGACTTGCATTGTATCCTGCCAGTCCCCCATTTCTGTTGAAACAAGAGTTTACAGCCACGCTTATAGCTCTGTGATTCTGTACTTAAATATCAGCATGCTAACATGCTCACAACAGCAATGCTAATATGCTGATGTTTTGCAGTTCACCATCTCAGTTTGGCATGTTAGCATGCTAACATAATAGCACTAAACACAAAGTACAGCTGAAGCTGATGGGAATGTCATTAGTTTACTAGTGTTTAGATAAAAACAAAGTATCAGACCGATTCAAATTTTGATCTTATGGAGGCAAGTCTCACAGTTCATCCTGAGTGAATTCTGTACCACATTTCATGGCAATCCATCCAATAGAACTATTTGAGTCTGCAACCAGAGTGGTAGACCAACTGTCATAGAGTCATGCTGCTAGCATGGCTACAAAACACCTCCTCCTTCTGCTCTGTTCGCCATGTGTAGTAAAGTACAATATGAACCATCCAGACAGTGATGGACAGCTTTATATGCCAATACCTCAGAGGCTCATGAGGCCATTTCCACCCACAAAGGGAGAACTTCACTTATTGGTTTTCCAGGACAGATGTTAGCCCAGGTCACAAAAATAGCCAGTTACATAACTCACTGTTTTTAAAATTTTTATTTGAGCAGAGCTGGGCCAGGGGACACCAAAATGAGATTGGTATACACAAAAGACTTGTCTGCCAATAGACAGAGGACAATCCTGTGTAATTTACAGCTCAGGCCAGCGTGACTGTGAACTGTACTTGAGCTCAGGCTGTGATATATGGAAAAGGCCTGGCTGGCCTGATGCCATCTTAAATCAGCTAAATTAGCTCTGTGTGTGTGTGTGTGTGTGTACCTGTGGATTTGAGGGGATGTCTATAATCAGGTTTAATAGGAACAGGAAATGGAGCTTCTCTGGGAGATGGAGAGGGGTAACAGAGAAGGTACAGAAAGGGGCGAGGGACAAACGGGGGAGATAATATTTCTTGGCTGGGATTCCAGTATATGACTCTGCAGGTCTGGTTCTCTCTCTCTCCCTTTTTCACTGTGTATCTCTCTTTACCAGAGGGGAATCTAAAAAATCTTCTGCAATCTATGTGATCAACATCTAAAAATGAATGGATGATGAGAGGCAGCAGTATATTTTTATAAGTCCTCTGTTTATTAGAAAGAAATGAGAGGGGATGGCAACGGACATAATTGCCTGTAATTCAAGCATCTAATCTTCCTTGAGTTATGGTCTACATACATGCTCTGATCCCTGAGCCAAGCATGTCCTGTTAACATGCACGATAGATTACGTTTTCAACAGTTTGAGTTTGTGTCTAGTCTGATTGTATGGAGTCTGGATTGTACTACCTGAACAATTACATACAGCGTTCAATTATCAGTAATTATAGTACCATATATATACTTTTCATTTGAAAGTTGTATTAAAAAACTTAAATAAGATTGAAGTTGGGCGGCGCAGTGATGCAGTGGTTAGCACTGTCGCCTCACAGCAAGAAGGCTGTGGGTTCAAACCCCGGTTGCCCCGGGCCTTTCTGTGCGGAGTTTGCATGTTCTCCCCGAGTCCGTGTGGGTTCTCTCTGGGTGCTCCGGCTAGGCATGCAGGCTAGGTTAATTGGTGTGTCCGAAATTGTCCTTAGGCGAGAATGTGAGTGTGAGTGGTTGTCTGTCTATGTGTGGCCCTGCGATAGACTGGTGACCTGTCCAGGGTGTACCCTGCCTTTCGCCCAATGTAAGTTGAGATTGGCTCCAGCCAGGTATGCAGGATAAGTGGTTGACGATGGATGTATGGAATGGAACATGTGTCTGTCTATTCCTTACAATTAATTTTCCTGCTGTAACATTTTGTTGCTGTCTAGCGAAACCGATGTCTCTCAATATTCCATAAAGGAGCAGCTGAACAAGCACAACATTGACGTATTATCACTTTATAAAATAAGTCAGAACGTGTTAGCAACGTTACTATTTACATATCCAGCAGACATGCAACAACATTAGCAGGAGTCATGTTTCTGGTCCAATTTTCACTCTTCTTTTAGCTCTGGTTTGGCTTCCACCAACTGGAGGAAAACATCTGGCTCATAAGCAGCTAAATGTTCCACTGTGTTCACCAGCTAGCTTTGCATTTGTCTGTATGCTGTTTGATGCTTGATAGGTAGCATACAGTGGGTTTTTAGAGCTTTTTTGCTGAAAACAGCTGCCGGCTGCAGCTGGAAACAAGATGAAAGCAGTTAGGAGTGAAGCAAAACAGTGAGCTGAAACACTTTGTAGTACAAAGAGGAACTGCATTTAGATGATCATTCTTTGTGGGTTGATCAGTACGAATGATATACACATTACACATACACTGTGATTGTAAGTCTACAGCCATCAAATAGTTGTTGACATATTTCAGACTGGACCAAAGTGGTGCACCAGCTGACTGAACCGTTATCCCTTGAGCTCTTCCACTAGCGTGGCTAAAAAGTCTATAATTACTTCAGGGGGCACAACCCAGAATCCATATGGTAGTTCTCTATTTTATTTGGGTCAGACACATTAGCTACAAAGCATCATCATCAAAGAACAAATAGCTGCTTTTTTGTGTCTCCATGTATGTGGTCTCTGTCTGCATGTTCTTTTTTAATCCCACTCTTCTTCTACTCCTCTGCACGCTCCCATTCGTCCGGGAATTGAATAAATTGTACTGGAGGAATTCCCTGGCACAGTAGATATAAAGAGTGTTCTTGTAGTGCAGGCACAATGAGACATGGATGGATTTATATAGAGCCTCTGTGATATGTACTCATCTCAGTGACAGACGGACGCAGACTGTGCATAGTGCAGAGAAGAAACCATTGTCTCGCAGGTCAGACTGGACTCTGACCAAAGTACTTCACATTGATGTTTGAAATTCCTCCAGTGTCCTCCAAAATTACTCTCATTGTGTGTGTGTGTGTGTTAGCGTGATATGGTTCACACAGTTTATTCCTCATCTCTGTATACCATCTCTAAATCCGTTACATTGCTAAATAGTGTTGATATTATTAGAATATTAAAAATATTGTGGCCAAATGTCTATTATTTATTAAGTTATTCTGTTACTAGCTCTGTTTATTTTTCATTTGCCTCTTGAATTGTTTTATAAATATTAATTAAGATTGTTTGCTAATGCTGACCTTCAACTTATTAAGATGGTTTTTTGTACATGAGAAAATGAATGCAAAAGTCTATTATTTCAGGATCAGACTATTTATAAATCAGTTAGATGAATCTGACAATCTAAAGTTACACCAGAATAACAGTTTAGTAGATAATGCATTAATCTGTGTAGTAAACAAAGTCTCTGGCATTCGAAATAATCTTTTTTTCCGTCCCTGCAGTGCTGCTGGCGTGTGTGTTGTCCTTCAACGTGGACCAGAAAAATGGTTTGTCGTTCAATGGTCCGTTGGAGGACATGTTCGGCTACACTGTCCAGCAGTTTGAGAACAGCGAGGGGAAATGGTGAGTGTCATCAATTTTACATTTTGAAGAAGTAAGGTCGTTGAGACATTCATCTTTTACCACTACACAATTTCCTTCCTCATCTGACAGATAGAAAAATTAATTAAATAAACCACAAACACTGTGAATGTTGGTCAGGCTAGTGTGCAGATGATGGTGTCAAATGAACCGTGTGAACTCTTTCGTGTTTGTTCACGAATTGGTATTCCTGCTCTGGTGGTCGTCATAGTTATTCAGTTTTCTTTATCAGTAAATCTTCTAAGTAAGATAAGCATTAATTTTAGTTTAATTCAAATCCATTAAAAAAGGGAACAAACCCTAATTCACCTGTAAAACTAAAGGAACGAGAGCACACCAGCTGCCTCTGTAATGAAGATCCTTGTATTTACTACTCTAGCTGTTAACCGTAAACTGCCCACCAGAATATCCACATACCCAGCTTGTAAATACACTGAAACCAAGCATCTGTGGCTCCTTGCTAAAACTGTGTGGGAGCGCATTTTTAAAACCTTGTTAAATGCTATTAGAGTGTGGTTAATGGCTCTGTGTCCCCCAGTCTTTTCTCTACATCTTTGCTTCAGTTACTCCAGTCTTTATTTCACAGTTTACTTCTCTCCAACCTGTTGCAGCATCACAGCTGATTCCTTCCCATGTGTCTGCACTTGGTTCTGTTTAGCAGTAATGTTCTTATCGAACTCATGTTAGATCAGTTACAGTAATTCACTCTCTCTGCGAATCAGTGGAGCCAGCTGTGACTGAACCTCCACATTGCTCCCCTGAAAAACATATTGGCTCTGTTGCATCTCCAGATAGCACTATTTTGTTCCAGTTAAGAGAAAAGTGTTACCCGAATAGGTCAGAGTGATGATAAGGGCCTGATTGAAGAAGTTGAACCTGTGACAAAACATGGGCAAAGCAGGCAGAGAGCAGAGGGAGGACATCAGATATCTGAGGAGTGAACGAGAACAGATGAAGGAAAGAAAATAAAGCGATAAATCAGGATGATAGAGAGAGTTTCAAGGAGAGGAGGAGGGGCAAAAAAATTATAAATGATATGTAGCCCTCAGTGAGTCCATGTGGGAGAAAATTATGGAGAAAAAAGATGCAGATCATGAGATGATGTAAAATGCAGGTTGCCATATCTAAGAGGTGACTGATTAGTCACAGATGTTTCCTCCAGACCTCCACCCTTTAGCTCTTCAGTGCACCACAGCAGTGCTGAAAGGTGGATCAACAGAGACACCTTTCAGCAGTCTCTTTCACAGAGAAAATGTGTTACATGTGGCGGAGACATTTCGGAGAGGAGGCATCCTTCCATTTCTGGTAACTCTGGCTCGCCATAAGTTTTGTTTTGACTGCTAGCATAGATACCAGAACATTGCCATGTTGTTGTTGAGTCAACTATCTACGCTGCACAAAATCCCCTTCTACAAACATAAAAAATTATTGCTTGTTTATGTAGAGAACTTATGAGAAATCTAGAGAAATTTGCGAGTATTAAACAAATCTGCCAATGGGGTAAGCAAAAATTACATGATAAGATTTCTTGAAGCTATATCAACATATCCTGAGTCCTGACCTTACAGAACTAGTTTAGACATTGTGGGATATAATCTTATATGCTTTCTTGCTGAGAGTTAGATGTGAAGATTGATACCATTCTCATGTCTGTCCGTTAAGATGCTTCAGTCCGGAGACTGTTAAGCTTAGCATAAAGACTGGAAGTAGGGGGACACAGCTAGCCTTCATATTTAAGGGACAAATATGAGCATAGTATCACTCTTGTCATCTTACTCTCTGCGAGGCGTTATTTCTCAAAATCTTGAAATATTAACCCAGTTAAAATGATTTGGTGTAAGCAATGGAACTTAAGAAATGCATGGCCTTCAGTGTTTTAAGATTGGTATGATTATTGAAATGAGCCATTTAGTTCTGTTGAAAGATGTTTGGGATAATCATTTCACAATCAAGCTATCCACTTTTTAGACTTTTAGACTTGTTTCTTGTTAGATTTAGCTAAAAACATACAGGCAGATTGAACATCTAATGGACCGAAACTAAGAGTCTAAAGTTGGGGTATGTGAAGAAATCAAGTCATATAAGAATCGTGATTCTTATCTTCTATGATAAATTAATAATTAGCAAGAAAACAGACAATATAGGTAAGGCTCATGGGAATGTCAGGAGATCGCTAAAGCCATTAGGATGAATCATCTGGGCACCACGGATATCTGGACAAAATTTCTTGGCCATCCTTCAAATATTTGTTGGGATATTTCAGCGTGGACCAAAGGGGTGGCCCGACTAATGGACACTGCCATCCCTAGAGCCACGCTGCTGGCTACAAATCAGGACCATGTACCTTGAAATAAGTTTAATAATCTAATGAAAATGGAGCCTGACAAAGTAATTTAGCTTGGATCAGGAAAATAAGATTTAAATAAGATATGACTTTCTTGAATTTAACTTTTTTGCATTGATGCAAGCAGAAAGACCGCACACACACACTCATGGCTTGGTGAAATGTCTTTAAAAATCTCTAGTGTATAATTAAAAGAATAAGCAGCTGTTGAGTATAGGCTATAAATAAATCAATAATGTTGTGTTGTTTCTCACAGGCATCTGAGAGTGGGACGGGCAGAGAATGTGTTGTTGTTCCACTCTGTGTCTCACTTTAGATGACCAGGGCCCATTAGAGTCCAGGAATGTTAATAAGCCTGAGTGTTTGGAGGAAGGCAGATGACCGACTCTTTTTAGCATCAGTTTACTGATGGAGTGACACGATGTTATGAAACTCGCACGTGGACATGAGTGTAGCAGCGGTAGAAAGTAAATTTACTGTACAAGTTTGACACACAATGTACAATAGCACTGTACCAATCTGCAAACATCTGTAACATATCATGCAGTAGTCTGTAATGAGGTGAAAATTAAGTGATAATAGTTTTTGTAATAGTATAATTATATGACAGCCAAAGATTCATAAGCCAATTATGACAAAGTATCCGATCTGAACCTAGTGTTTATATTTTAACTATGTCAGCATAATTAAGGCAAATTTCTTGTGAAATTAGAAAAACAATCACCACTTCCAATCTGCCAGTGCTTAATTTCTTCTATAATATTTGTACTGCGCTTGTTATTGCACAACTGTGATGCTGATGTGTGGTTGTTAGCAGGATTTCAAACTGACCAATCCCAACTGTTCTTTATTTATTCAGGGTTCTGATTGGATCGCCGCTGTCGGGTCAGCCTGCCAAACGGACAGGAGATGTCTACAAGTGTCCTGTGGGGAAGGGGGACAACACATGTGTAAAACTGGAGCTGCCTAGTAAGAATACTATCTGTTTGAATGCTCATCAGTTGCTTTTTGTGTATTCATGGGTGATATATGCATCTTTGTGTTCAGCAATTGTGTACTCTGCAAGTCTGTGTTTATATGGAGCTGAAAGAGTTAGTTAATTAATCAGGAAATTAATTAAATGATCCAGCATCTCAAATTTAAAGATTTGCTACTTCATATATAACTGTAAATTGAATATCTTTGGGTTTTGGTAAAAACAAGACATTTAAATATGTCATCATGGGCTCTGGGAAATTATAACTTGCCTTTTCACAATTTTTGGACATTTTAAAGACAAATAAATTAATTAAGAAAATAAGTACGTTGTTATAATGAAGATCAGTAGTTGCAGTCCTATGGCAGGTTTTTGTGTAATTGTACTACTGTGTGTAGTCTACTGTGTGTTTAAGTCTGCTGTATATCTGACTGGGTCACATGGGGAGGAAGTTTGGCCCATCAGAACAGGAAGACGGTAAATAAACAAGGTTTTAATGTTTCATCCTTCCAATTATATCTTAATTAAACAGATAAACACAAATTTGCTCCCGGTCAGCAGCCTGCAAATCCTTGTTAGTGTTTGCCTGCGTGTCGACACTGAGGACTGAGAGCTAGTGTGTACAGTAGATCTGCTCACCAACTCTCAGCTCAGTGATTCAAACTTCTCAACACAGCTGTTCACGCCTCAGAATTATCAAGTTACAAGAGTTACAGTTCTGCTGCTGTTGGTAAATTATTGGCTTTAAGTGCTGATAGTTTATAGTCAGGGCTGTAAATGATACCATTCGCCAGTGGGGAGTGCTGTATTTGTTTGCTCTTGGATGAGTGAGACGGGCAAAAGCCTAAAATCTCACAATTCAAGTTTAGTCTGGAAAACATCCACTGGGAGTTGATTGAGCCTGGCAGCCAGAGCCAGACCACTCAGCAAACAACTGGGAGTGGTTTATGTGATGGCAACAACAACAGTACTTTATTTTGAATGAATTTAAAGTGAAGCAGCAACTGCATGACTTAGCTTTTATCTCAGATTTATTCAGAAAATAACATTTTTCTTGAGCACACCTGGGGAACATGAGACATAATCTAAGGACATCCCAGCAGGAAGACTTCATGTTGCACTGAAGAAAAAGGCTCGTCACATGTAATGCTGATCCCTGTAGAGCAATTTCGGTCTGTACCCACTGATGACTCTCATTGGCAGACCTGTCTCCATACTGGGTTTGCCCTATTCCAGCACAGGAGAGAGATATGCCAAACCACAATGAGCAAAATTTGTGTGGTTGTTATGTTGTAATTCTTAATCACAGTTCTGCCTGACCAATAAAATTGAAAGGTGGTTATGCCAGGACTATGAAATACTGGAAACATTTTGATCAGCTATACAGCAGTGCAATATGTTCACATTATGTTTGAAAACAGAAAACATAATGTGTTGGCTGCACAATTACAAGTTCTGGCTGCATGCATTCAGGCTCAGGAACTACTTAGCAATGGTGGATGTCTTAATATACTGATCTTATCATTATAAAATATTGAATATAAATATAAAATACACAAACAACAAACACTTTTTATGCATAAATCAATATGTTTAAGTAGAAGCCACTTTTACAAATGTGATTTGACCTCTATTTTTTATTTTTATTTGCAAGAGGTAATTTCAGACCAAGAGGGAATGTGTGATAAGTCTGATTTGTTCTGATAGTTATCTGGAGTTCACTGAGGACAAAGCGTGTGTTCTCCTCTGCAGCTCCACAAAGCTGCTTTCTGTCCCACGTGGGCATATCATGGGGTGCAGGATCTTGATCCATGTCACTCATTTTATCAGATAGTTAAGAAGTAAGGATGGGTAAAGGAAATAGGAACTGTTTAGTCTGCATATCTGTTCGAAGGAGAGCTCATGCTAAAGTCATAGCTGGCTGCTAATGAGAATCAGAAATAGTTAAATATCAAAATGCACTCATGGGGATTGGTAAAGAGCTAGATTCAAAATTGAAACAACATGTGAATGAGTTTGTGAAAATATGTGGATGCCTTTGAAAAAAAACATTCCAGATCCAAAGCATTCCCAAGTTGAAGCAATAGTTTGTCATAACAAGCTAATTTTAGCCACATGTTGTGTTTGTTTAATGATTTGAATCCTCTTCATCACTGCAACTAGGATGTTTATATACAAATGATTTTGTTTTGTGCCCTGTATCCTTTACTAATTACCATTAGCTGCACACTGAGGGACAGCATGGTAAAGTAATGAAACATCCTATATTAAACCACATGTCAGCGGGTTATTACATCTTAGGAGGAAGTGAGGAAGGAGGGTGAGCGGTTCTCCTCCTGTGGGAAAATACAGAAGAGGAATTTGTCCAGCTGTCCTTCTTCTCTGTTCTGCTCTCTTTTTGTCTCACTCTGTTTATTCATTCCATATTTTTCTTAGAAAACACAACAGTTCCCAACTTACATGAAGTCAAGGAGAACATGACCATGGGAACCACACTAGTGACCAATCCCAACGGAGGATTTCTGGTAAGGGGGTTGCTGCTCTTTTGTATGTTTATATATATATATATATATATATATATATATATATATATATATATATATATATCTATAGTCCATACCAAACACAAAAAGAAGACTGAACTGGGCAGCTAGTATATGTTTTAATAGACCTTTTCTCTCTGTGGAAACAGTAGGCTTGATCCTCCATGTTTCCCAGTGAGTCCATCATGTCCTGGGAATGTAACAGGATACTGTGAATCAACTGTAGAAATGTATATGAAAGTAGTAGGTGGCAACGCCCATTAGGTTTATGGTTATGAACTCCAGTAAAGTTGTATTTATACATGATTATGAGATTAACGGGGTGTGAAAATTACAGACGCAATGTTCTAGTGGTCAACAAATATATATTTATGCATCTCTTGGTCCAAGAAAATATAATGTTGGACTTTGAGAGCAGATCCTGTGCAGCTGCAAACTACAGCTCCAACCCTTACCGTTAATGTGGTTACCATGAGTGTTAACATAAGTCTTCAACTCTATGCCTGTGTTTATATGCTGGAATTGTACACCATTTAGAGTTAATCAAAAAAAAAAAGAAAAGAGTGGGGCTTAATGCGTCACATAATCTAATTTATTTATTATGACATTCCCAAACGTTAGCATGTTGCTAATTAGCAATAATAAGAGGGTGAAATATAGAAAACACAGAGAACATGGTAAATAATATATCTGCTCAATTTCAGCTGGTCAGCATTGTCATTGCGAGCATGTTAGCATGCTGACGTTAGCATTTCATTAAAAGCACCACTGTGCCCAAATTCAACCTCAAAGAGGCTATGGCTGTAGACGTTTAGTCTTGTTCTTGTACAAATCCAGTATTCCTCTTTATAGCACTGAGGCTGTGGAGCATGCAGGGAAATCTATGAAAACGGGGCTGAAAGATTAATAGATGTAAATTTTCTGGTTATTGTTGGTCATTTTAAAGCCCTACTTCCCTACAGACTCAATATCTCTGTTTTCCGCTTCTTTTTTTTCTATCCGGAGAAGTAAAGTCTGAGGGGAACTATGGTGGTTTTTAATAGTCTGTATAATCCTCAGTTTGAGTAGTTCTTTCCTCTTGGTTTCTGTCTTCAGTAGCCCTGAACCTCCTCTCACCCGTGACTTCATACTGGTGGAAAACTAACCAGTAGCAGCCTGTCGGTTTTACTTTCTCAAGCAACTACAGTCTCAGTTTGTTTGTGTGTATGATTCCTGTCTCTTCAGGCGTGCGGTCCTCAGTATGGCTACATGTGCGGGCAGCAGCAATACATCTCAGGAGTTTGTGCGAATGTCAGCTCTTCCTTCCAGATCCTGAACTCGGTGGCACCGGCTGTACAAGGTACACACCCTCATAAAATAAGACACAACAGATCCACACAGGACGTGACGGCATTTGCACGAATTGCCTGTCAGGGATAAGAAATTATAATCTACGCTTCACAGTAGTACCACCCAAGATCCTGACATTAAACTCACCCTCCCTCAGCGACGAGGGAGATTAGAGCATTCTTCTTAATGTAAACGTGTCTGCGACCCCCATCCCTCCCAGCCCAGCCCTTCTGCAGTGTTGTATGCCCAAGTTAGGAAACAGTTTACTCGGTCTGCACTCTGTTTCCCAGGAAGGAAACAGCCTACAAAGAACTAAACAGTATAAAGTCATTTTTTGTTTCTGTTTCTCTGATTCTTTTAGCGTCACCTTCTCTGCTACTCCTTTAACAGAAACAAACACGTACACAGTGCTGCAAAAATCCATTAAAATCACTCATACTATTAACATGTCACTGTTTTAAACAGAAGTAAATATAAGAACTGACTGATTATAAGAGATTGTGCTCCCTTAGATGAGGCAATTAAATTTTTTAGGTCTCTGCTTGGAGTATGAAAGTATGACAAATGGTGAAATTAGCCTATTTTAGACCAGTTACAACATGTCGATGGAGTCTGCAGTAGGGAAATACAACTTCTGCAATGCAAGATACCTTGTACTGCTTAACCCTGCATTATTATCCTACATAAGTGACATAATGTGTTAATTTGATTTTGAGGTGCTCTTTCACTCCCTGCGAGTACCTTTTATTTAATTATAATTTCTGGCATTGTTTCAGAGTGTGCGAAGGAGCTGGACATTGTGATTGTTCTGGATGGCTCTAACAGTATCTACCCCTGGTCCAGTATCATCGACTTTCTGCGACGTTTCATTGAGAATATTGAGATCGGACCTAGACTCTCACAGGTCAGTTGCATGAATGAATGAAAATGAAAATGAAAATCTTTATTGCTGTTGAAAAGCTCCTTTGTCTTAAACAAATGGGTGTGTGTACATGGATGAAGAAATTATTATTAATTAGTCATTTAGCTGACAATCTTATCCACAGCAACTGATTATTTCTATGTATATCAGAGGTCACATGCCCCTGGAGCAACTAGGGGACACAATGGTGGATATATTACAGTGGGAATTGAACCCAGGTCTCCCACACCAAAGGCATGTGTCTTATCCACTGCCTCATCTCTACCCTGCAATGGATGTGTTATATAAGATTAGACTGACATAGAAAAAGGGTGAATGAAGGACTATATTTGCTGCCAACTCATGATGATTTAAGTGCCCTCCATTATGGAATTGCCACATGGTGCCAACAGTGAGGGTTACTGTAAGATGTCCTTCATAAAGCAGACGTGAATTGAACCCTTTTTAGTCTTTAAAATAATTTTAGCCTTTGCCTTAGTAAGTTATACCTTGAGTGTATTTCTGTCCACTTATTTTGGATCGCTCTTTGAAGGGGTGGTTAGTTTTTATTATGGTTACATTGATCTGTGCTGGAGCTTGTAGAGTTTTCCAGAGGGAAACACTGGAAAGTCTTCTCACTGTGGAGCCCAGTGGTTGTAAGTCACATCTTCCATGGCTGCTGAAGTCCTCTGCCTTCTGTATAAAGAACATTGTGTCATATCAACCCCAACAGACTCAACCACATCCTCAGCAGACTGTCTGGGAGGGGACACCGGGAAGAGAAGAACATAGGAGAGAAAAGGGAAAATGTATGATAATGTTTACAAGAAAAATGTGTGTGTGTATGTGTGTGTGTGTGTCTTTTCCAGGTGGGCATAGTGTCTTATGGTGAGAGTGTGACTCACCGTGTCAACCTGAGCCAATTTGACAACACTCGTGATCTGCTGCACTTTGTTGAAAAACTTCCTCAGCAGACTGGCTTCAAGACCATGACTTTCCTGGGCATTGATACTGCCAGGTACACAACATGAACCCCTCCCCCTAATTTGGCCGAGCCTGGCAATGCCAAGACACAATTTTCGATTAAGTCATCATGGTCTGGCAAGCTTTAATTAGCATTTCAGTGGAACAATGTCATTTCAGCTAGGCTGAACAATGTACTTAGAAAGGTTTCTTAACTTCATCAACATGAAGCTTTCCTATTGGTCAAACACACTGCTCACTGGGCTGTCATTGGTCAAACTTCTCCTAAACTATCCCACAGAAGTTCCCTAAATTGGTCCAACATCATGGATATGGCAGGCATAGCCATTGTTTTCCAGACTTTATGATGTAGCCAAAGTTGAGCTTAAAGGGGAATTCCATCGATTTTACACATCAAAGTCTGTTTACAGGTGTTGGGTGAAATGACAGCATATGTTACAAAAAAGTTATATAAAACCCTTTTGGCTCCAGAGAGAGTTGTGCAATGTCTGATAAACTGACTCAGTGACAGATGTGGGTGAACAGTGTATGAAAGATGTATGAAAATGAAAAAATCTGTGAGTGTGGAGTTAGAAAGAAGCTAGTTTACCAGACCTCAGTAGCCCGCTCTTTATCTCTCCTTGAAGCTAGCGGCTTGAGGCTACATTAGCTGCTGCTAGCATAACCACGACAAGCAGTAAAGCTGTGGTTTTGACAAGGAAGAAGGATGCATGGAATAAAAAAGACAATATCTTAAGATTCTGCTGCATTGATGTTGATACTGACAATGTTAGAGGAATGCAATGTTACTCTTCTAAGAGTAGCAGGTTTAATAAAAACCCAAAGCAATCAGGAAACAAAGAGCATCGCTGAAGAAGGCTTTTCTAAATGTTTCAACGCATGTTTGTATGCTTGGTCAGACAGGTTTATCCGGCCATGATTAGGCTATGTGGTTTAATTTCATGTGTTTGCCTCATATTATTTTTCGGGTGTTTCCTTATAATCAGCCGAATGTTGTGATTCCAGTAACTACCTGCTTTAGCCTTTGAATCGTAAAGTCGCTGAGAATGTCATGACGATGTATAATACAGGCCACGGAGTTCACCTGAACCACAGGGACTGATCGTAAAGCTAACCTCCCGCTACTCTCCAGAAAGTGAAATAGCCAATAAAGTATTTTAGGCCCAGGGTCTGCAGGTGCTCCAGAAGTTGTGTTCTTTTGACTGAATTTTGAAAATTTCCTACCATTTAGGAAGGAGGCCTTCATGCCAGAGCGTGGTGCACGACCTGGGGTGAAGAAAGTCATGGTGATCGTGACTGATGGAGAGTCACATGACTTCCATAATCTCAACAAGGTTATGGAAGACTGTGACAATGATGACATCGAGAGGTTTGGCATTGCTGTGGGTACAAACTACTTTTGTGTTGTTTTCACAGATTATTTTGCTTACATGTTTGTACTATGTTTTCTGATCTTAGGAGGAACTGATCTCATCTGAACTGTTGGGTCAGTTAAATGAGTTTATACTTTTTATGCTCTGATGTTGTTAAAATAGTTTATTATTGTTTCCAGGTTTTGGGAGACTACAATCGTCAGAACAAAAGTGCAGAAGAAGTGCATAAGTTTATCAAAGAGATTGAGTCCATCTCCAGTCAGCCGCTACGAGACCACTTCTTCAACGTGTCTGATGAGGTGGCTTTGTTAACCATTGTGGATGCTCTGGGAAGCAGGATTTTTGCCTTGGAAGGTATTGCTATAAACACTTTACCTTAGTATTCCTACTCCCCAGCTTTAAATAAATAGTTTGACATTTTGGGAAATATGACTACTAGCTTTCTTGCCGATGAAAAGAGCAATCGACCAACTTGTATCTCTGACTTCTCTGTCTGTAGGCCTAGAGTAAAAATGAATCTATAGCCAGCAGCTGGTTAGCTTAAACAGCTTAGCACAAATACTGGAAACGGGGAAACAGCTAGCCCGGCTTATGACTGTTGTTTACCAAGAAAAAGTTACAGCACTCCAATCTTCAGTTTTTTGTGTAGAATAAAAACATAAAACAACATATATTAGTGAGCTTTTGAAGAGCTAATTGATGGAAGCTTAAGTAACATGCAGTTAGCGGTAGATTATTATACTATATTTACTGCATGAGAGTGTTATTAATCCATTCATCTAACTTTCTGCAAGAAAGGGTTACTAATATGCTGTTTCCCAGATTGTCTCACTATTCTTTAAAAGAGAACAGTTAACTCTCTTTTGACTCAACAGTTAATCAGTAATGTGACAATCGGATACTTACTTATAAATTTAATTATGTGCTGTTTATTTTTGTGTAAAAAAGGTAAAATTAACTTTACCTTCCTCAGCTACAACTGGCAATTTCACCTCCTCCTTTGAGATGGAGATGTCCCAAGCCGGGTTTAGTGCACATACTTCTAAGGTAAGTCTAAATCCAATTATTTATCTGAGAAGAATATACAAATACCATATTTGCAAAAGGAAAATCACTGAACCAGACTGAGATGAGACGAGTTTGTTATATCTTTAGATCACAGTGAAGTGTACATGTCTTTAGGCGTTTAGTTTAAAAGGAACTGTTTATTGTATGTGGTTGCGTGCGTGTGCTGGCTCAACTAATGAACTTGTCCAGACACAATGCGCCAGTGTTATCTCTGGTGCATCTTCAAGCCTTTGGTGATTCACCTCAGTCAGTAGTAGTTTCCAGGCACAGACTCTCTCTGTCCTCTCTGCTCACACTGCTGCAGACTTCAGACTGACTGTGTTTGGTCTGATTGCATGAGAGTGTGCGAGACAGACAGAATAAGAGAGATCGAAAGGCAAACACGAGGTATGTGCAGCACGAGAGACGGTGAGAGAGGTTGAATCAGATGTTTGTTCACTACGGTAAAAACAACGTGCTTGCTTTTGCCCCTTCACATGCCTTTTGGATTCATTAAGCATTTCCTATGTCTATTTAAAAACAAACAGGCTCCCCTCTTACGCCTCTCTTCCTGCTTCTGACTCACATTTATCACCTACTCAGTCACTGTGTACGCTGTCTCTGCGTCTGCACTGGCTCATTCAGCTTAACAAAAACAGAGACAACCAAACTGAGTTGTGCCACAGTGTGCAAAACACGTGAGGCCTTGCTTTAATGGTCAGTAGTGGGAAACAGCCTCTTCATGCAGTTCATTGTGAGAAATGATACGTCATCTCCGGTGTTACTACTCCACTTCCTTTTAAACAATTCTGTTTCCTGTAGACAATCAATTCAGTGTCTAAATGTTTCAATACTAGTTATACTATTGGATATTTTTGGATAGTTGGATACTAACTAACTACCTTTACTCCACTACTGTACTTATGTACAATTTTGAGGTACTTGTACTAATACTTAGTATTTTATGCTACTTTATCCTCCATCTCCACCACATATAAGAGGTGGCTAATACTACACTACATTTATTTGACAGCTTTAGGTACTAGTAACTTTGCAGGTTCAGATTTAAGATTTAAAAAATGTATGTTTAGTAAATATAATATAATTTTATAGATTAATCAACCCAAAAGCATATAAAGTATTTAAAAGATCTCTACTTAAACAGCTGAAACATATAACACTGCTTACATACTAATGTATCAGCAATAACATTGAACAATATTATTGTTATAATATATATAGTTTTACTTTTGATACTTTACATTTTGCTGATAAAACTTCTGTAGTTTTACGTTAAGTTTTGTATGCAGAACTTTTACTTTTAATTGGGTATTTTCAGATTGTGGTATTTTGCAACTTTTATTTAACTAAAGGATCCAAGTACTTCTTCCACCTCTGTTTTTATACCACAGGGAATTAAATTAAATCCTGCTCACTAAAGGAAATTGTTCTTAGTCTTCTAATCTCATATCCAACTGTTTCTGATATCACCTCTGTTGTCTCCCGTAGGAAGGTGTGTTACTGGGAGCAGTGGGAGCGTATGACTGGAACGGGACAGTGGTAATGCATACTGCTGGAGGAACAATTGTTCCAGGGAAGAACCAGTTCTTCGACCCAAAGACTGAGGCTGGGTACGAAAGACTTTCTGGGTACCTGGGTGAGTTGACTTGTAATATCTTAAAGGCCCTGAGGAATATTTTCTCAATCAGCTTCTCACTATAAGTGATGGGATCCTACATAAGCCATGGATGTATTACAGCAGCTGGAGATGGCACACAGTCCCGAATGAAAATTGCTCGCCAGGCGCATAAGTCAAAAATGTTTTCTAGCTTCCAGGTTTGCTTACGTTTTGTGTGGCTCATTGCACATGTGCATTATTGTTTATGTTTTAGGCCGCACCTGTGCGTTCCCGCTAGGTCCACATAAAAGTCACTTTTGTAGGTGGTGTAAACGTTTTAAATGGATTAAAAATTCCTCAGAGATAAAGTAATATAATTCACCTTGTTTGACATTTGAGGTGTTCTGTCAAAAGTTTTAAAGACTTGTAAACTCACTTTATTACACCACTAGTTCGTTTTATAGTATTAATTGCAACATAGAAAATCCATAGAAATCCATAGAAAATCCAGGAGTTCTGTCCTCTAGCCCCTAAATAAAATTTGTGTAAAATCTATGACTTACCTCAGCGGGACACTATGAGGCAACCTCATGTTAAGCGGCCGGTATAGGCGATAAAATGAGAGTTACATTGCGATTCTATGAATTCTAGGTGAGTGTCACATTTGTTATACATGTTATATTGAGGCATTACAACGTTTGAAAATGTACAGTAATGGAGTTTTAACTTTACATATTTAGTTTAATCATAGAGAAACACTGAAGATTTGATCCAAGTTTTAAGGGGGTTTAAGCAAAAATGCAAAGACATATACCTGAAGCTGAACAAAATACAGAGAATACACACTGTGGAGCAGTTTTATACACTTGTGTGAACAACCCCTCTTTTTTGCATAGTTTTTGTATTAAACAGAGAGGTAAGATAGATATTTCAAGAGATTAAGTGAAATTTTACAGCTGCATAATAAATATATCTCTGTTGCACGGAGGAGTAAGATATATAATTTGTCTAACTTTGACAGCAGATGCCTCTCTCTCTCTCTGTCACATAAATAATATACACAGGCTCTAGTCTCCATCCTGCTGCCTTTTATGGCTCCTAGTGCAACCACAGCATCTTAATATCGAGTTATTTAATCAACATGTCATTAGAAAGAGCGCTGGTGGGTGCAAGCTCGCACACTGTAAACTCAGCTGTTGGCACATGCTCATATGGGAAGGTCTGACTGTGTGAGCATGCACATCTGTGTGTTTTCCTGTACTACTGTTTTATAGTTTCCTCCACACAGAGCTGTAAACAGCTGACTGAGGACGCATTAAAAATATCCCACATAGAGAGCCAGGGTGTGTTTTTCTCATGCAACGTTATGGTACATGTCTGATGATGCACTAAATGTAACATGTTATGTGCTTGTGTATGCACATGTCTCTTCAGGCTACGATGTTCAGTCAGCATCCACGCCTGATGGAGAGCTGTACATCACAGGTGCACCGCGGTACAACCACACAGGCCGGGTTGTTATCTATCGTCTAAATGAAGACAACAACATTGTCATCTCACAGATATTAAAAGGAGAACAGGTGAGCCTTTTCCAGTTTGGTGTCTGGGTGTCCCTCTGTTTAACAGTATTCGGTGTATTTTTGCAGAGATGTCTATCATCAGTCTTTCTGAAAAGATTATACTTCATGATTCTGTTCATATTCTAAGCTAACTCTGTGTATGTTGCACTTACTAATATACTTTAAGTAAGATAAGAAAACATCAGACTGTATTTATCCCGAGGGAAAAGTAACATGTTACAGCAGCACAGAGATAGGCAAAGAGGTAAGAAACTTTGGTGCAAAACACAACAACATTGGACAAAACAAAATAAGAATATTTTCCGGATCAGTAAAGTATTGATCACAGAGCCTGAAAAATGTTCACATAATTCATTAAACAGCTATAAAAACACAGCAGTGAGAGCTGTTTTACCTTAAAATGAATGTTTCTCCTCACCAGGGTCTGTGAAAATTATCCACCCACTTCCAGTATTTTGCACCAAATAAAATGTATGGCTTTGACCAGATGTTGGAGCTAATAGCTAATTGTGCTCTCTGAGCTAACTGGGAGGTATCCTTCTTGAGATTTTTCAGCCATTACTTTTGTAATTTGTGGAGTTTAAAGCACACAGACATGTTTTTATGTTGCTCTACCCTTAAGTTCTCATAATCTGGTTTGTTTTCTACTGTCCCATGTGTGCGCACATCTCATGGATGATGTTGCTCGGAAACCCGTCTATAGAGGTCAGAAGCAGATGAGTGAACATTCGTGCTTCAGCAAGTTCAGCGCCTTAAGGGTCAACACTAACAGATTATTTCTCCTCTGTACAGATTGGTTCCTACTTCGGCAGCGTCCTGCAGACTTTAGATGTGGATGGGGATTCTTACACAGATCTCCTCTTGGTCGGAGCTCCAATGTACATGGGCACAGAGAGAGATGAGCAGGGACAAGTCTACGTCTACAAACTCAACCAGGTACAAAAGATTGCCAATTTGGTATTTTGTGTGTGTGTGTCTTTGATTCAAAGAGATTATGTCAGATTTTACAGAAACTGACACCAAGAAGATTGTGATGGTGCTGTCCTTGTGTTTTTTCTTTGCTCCATTACCAGGACGGACAATTTGAGCACGAGTTCACTTTAAAGCCTGTCAATCAGTGTTGTAGTGCTCATTCAGCCAGCTGTACTAATAAAAATGAGCCATGTGGTGCCCGGTTTGGCACAGCCATTGCAGCAGTATCAGATCTCAACCTTGATGGGTTTAATGATGTGGCTATTGGTGCACCTTTTGAGAACGACCACAGAGGGGCCGTCTACATCTATCATGGAGATAAGACGTCACTGAAAGAGAAATTTGTCCAGGTGAGAACAGTTCCAGTGCCACTAAATAAACCATTAAGAACAATGTGGAATTGTTTATTTAGATTAAAATAAATTTCTGGAATATTTCAACCTGGCATATTTCCCAAAAAATTGTCATGCTAACCTTTCATCTGCCACCTCCAATATACAGACTCAGGGAAATAAGGACAAAGTATATCAGGACAAACATTACAAGCCTCCCAGCTTTTCAAATAAACATGATTTTCACTTGAATCATTTCAAATGTTTGTGTTTTTGAGTCTAAACGAAAGTAAACACAGAAAGTAGACGCCTGGAATAAGCATGTTGGTTAACTGCATAGGGATATACAGCCTCTCACCCAACATTATTGTTGTAATGTTGGATCATAGTGGGTGAAGGAAAATGCATAACCATTTGCTTGTGTTTATTGCTGATGGGTCACACGTAAAATAGCATTTCACTTGTTCAATCACTTTTTCATACAGAGAGCTTTTCTTAAGGGGAGCTGACCATTTAGTCCAGCTGTACGTTGTCTTTTCTTGGTGAAGTGAAACTCCTTCTCCAGGATTACAATGTTGAACAGAGCAACAATTTCATTTGTTGTAACTTTTGTTACACAGCTGGGACCACTCTCACCCATGGACACATCTGCATTTTTAGAACATCTAGATGTTTGGCATCACCTGGACCCACTTTTTCGTAAAGTAAATGTTTTCTTCCTCAGCTGACTTAAGAGAGCAGTGAACACCACCAGTTACCAAATATGTTGCCTTTAATTCTTTGCCTTTACTCTTCAGTTAGATTTATCTTCTCGTCTATGCACTGTGGTTTGAATAAATACGGTCAAGTGAAAAAACTTGTGATCATAACATCATAATAATTATTAATCCACCATTGCGTTTAGCTATTTGAGTTTTGTTAGAAGATAGTATACCGCAGTGAATGTTGACTCACAATTAAACAAACCAGTTTGTGTTGAAAAATATGCAGGGTGGTTAGGTCAAACAGCAAGTTGAGCCTATGTAGATCCTTACGCAGTTAACCATAACGGCTATTACAGGGGGGTACTTTCTGTGTTTGAAATGATTCATCTAAAGATCATGTTTACTTGGGAGGCTGTATGTGGCTAGAGGTGGCAAGGGTAAAGTAGCCACATTTATGGGAAATATGCCAGGATGAAATAAACCAGAATTTTCCTGTAATGTACTGTAACTGATTCTGTGGTGTCTCTTTAGCATATCCCTGCAGGTGGGGACGGTGTTAAGGTGAAATTCTTTGGTCAGTCCATACACGGAGTCATGGATCTAAATGGAGATGGGATTACTGATGTTACCATAGGAGGTCTGGGAGGGGCTTCACTATTCTGGTGAGACATGGCCCATCCTCACACTTGAATCATTACCAGCAGCGGTGCCCGTATCCCGGAGACATCATCTTACATGTCCGTTTTGCATTGTCTTACTCGGGTTTAGACAGCTGTGCATGTCCCACTGGGCTTGTACACTTGAGACCAACAACTTCCTAATGATCTCTCTGTTAAAACCTCTGGCTACGCACTTCACTGTTGGACACCAGCCTACAGACTTCAACCAGCAAAGTTTTGAAACATCAGCCCACACCATGATTTAACTTCCCAGGCAGACCTTCTCCCACAGTTTCTATTGGCAGAGGCTCAGCTAAGCTGTGTGAAAACTCCATCTCCCAATAGGCTTTGAGTTTAAACAGGATTTGGCAGTGGGCGGCTGTTCTTCCAGGACTGTTGGCTGTGTTTTAGAAAGCGCAGCGGTTGGATAGTGAGGATTTAGGCCAAGTTTTATACTCAAGATGCATCCGTTCCTTGTCCCTTCTACCCCCTCCCCCACCCTCTTTGAGACAGGAAATACATGCATACAGTCGGCACACACATAGCACCACTGACAACTGCATGTTTGTTTCATTTTGCCAGGTCCAGAGATGTTGCGGAGCTCCGTGCCAACATGACTTTTGACCCTGTTAAAATTAACCTGCAGCAGTCTCAGTATCAGTGTGAACATGATGGACGCAAATCTGTGTGTGTGAAAACTGAAGTGTGTTTCGCCTACAGAATTAAATCTGAACAGCAGGACTTAAACTCTGTTGCAGGTGAGCCACTCAGCATCCTATGTTGATTCATTCATTCATTAATTTTTCGGCCTCCTCACTGTCAAAGTTGTTGTGTTTTATCACAACACGTCTTCTTATCTGTTGTGTCCTGCAGGGATCCGCTATGATCTGACTCTGGATGCTCTGCGTGCAAAAGCCAGGGCTTCGTTTATTGACGCGGATGATAAAAGTGATCGTAGAATTACCAAGAGCTTCACAATGAAAGACAGAGACAGAAAATGTGTACAAGAAACCATCATGATGTCGGCAAGTACCCCGATCTTTGTGCTGTACACATGGAGTTATGGTTTCTTACCTGTAAGAAATCAACCCAAAAACTATATTTTTAGTCCACAAGATTGAGATCAACTGGATGCCTTCAGTTTGTGTGACGTTCATTCCTTCATTCCTGAATGTTATATTTTAGGCTTATTGGACATGTAAATGTGTTTTGAGCCAGAAAGGAGACAGGACAAAGCTGTGACAGGACTTTTGCAGAGCAGGAAGAACATGATTCTAACATGAAACAGACCCGTCCTGATCAAAGCATGCCGAGAACAACCCCGTGCTGCTCTGAGTGATAAATTATCTGCAAGCACTTTGAGAGTTGGAGAGAAGGGGAGAGAATGAGAAAAATGAAAGAAAGAATGAGGGTGAATTAGGTGGTTTGAATATGTGACAAAGTGACTTTCCAGGTCAAGGAAAATTTCTACACGGGGCCCATCAAGCACATCGCAGACTGTTCATCACAGTGGAAACCTTTGTACAACTACACCTACTACTGTAAGCTTAATCGGTCTCCAGCAATGTGACATTTTACATTTCTTATTCCAGCCGCTTACAGCAGCAATGGATTTCTCTGATTAGCTTCCCCTAGGCAAGAGACAGAGGAACTAATCAGTGGTAACAGCTGTTGTTGCTGTGTATGCCGAGCATGAATACCTGCTCTGTTCTAGTGTGCCAGTTTATGCTGAAACTTCCCACATAGTCCAGGGCGTAGGTCTCCAAGCGTCATACACTTTGAAACGGACACAAACGCATCTTACCTGAGTCCAAGATGGACCAGACCCAAACCTGAATAATGTTCCTCGTGTTATACTCTTTCTCTTGTTTAATCAAAATTGGACACAGGCTCAAGAAAGACCTATTTGTGCCTTACCATGCCAATACAACACTGTTCAGGTTTATACATGCAATATTTCTGTCAAATGGTATCTTCATGTTTCCATAATTTATTTATGTTATGTTATCATGCCAATTTTAGCATTTAACTCATAATAGAGCCTTACAGGCCATCTAGATTGGCTGAAGATGTTTAGGGCCCTATTTGCCATATTGGCTTTGCTCATCTGTGTGGTATTTTGGTGTCCAGCTCAGAATGGATGGTGCCCAGGTGGAAGTTGAAGCTCGGACAGGTTGGAGGTTCATTCAAAGAAAGCAGCGCAAAGCAAGTTGTTGGTATTATGGTAGAAATTAGAATTACAACATAGAGGCTGATGTAGACCTTTTTTTCTGACTTGGTTGCTCAGAATTATGGTCTGAATGATACGACTTGAACAAAATAAGACAATCAGTCAGGGTCTGGTAACGTACCCACAGTCCTGAGTAGAGGTCCAGTCAGCCAAACAAGTGAAAACACATGTGTGGGTGGACCATGGGTGTGTAGGATATTGAAGTCATTCATGGATTCTTTCTCACTGTCTCTGTCCTCCTCCAACTCTTATTCCCCTCCCTCCTTCTCCTCACCCTCCTCTGTTGTGCTCTACCTATCTCCTTTTCCTCAACAGGCCCGGCTGGACTTCCGAGACCCTCTCATGGTGTCTTTGGAGTTTGGACTAACTGATGAGAACCAAGGCCCCGTCCTGGATGAAAACCTTCCCAGATCCATCAATAAGACAGTAAGGCTTTTTTATATCACTTATAAGAGTCTCTCTCGGCACTTTAAGTAGTAACTGCCAAATAACAGTAAGCAGAAGATTTGGAGTAATAGACAGGAAGGATTTGAACCTCATCTTAAACATTCTCCATCTGTCTGTCTCTTTAACCCAAGAGTTAGAAGTAGGGTGTGCTTGCCTGGCACCAAACTGCTGCTGTCACAGTACATTAACATCTGCAACAGCTGACTGCCATCCTTCAGTGTTTCCCCAAGACTGCATTAGTGTTTCAACAGTCAGGAGAGTCTTCCCACACTCCCACATGCATAGTTGTTCTAACAAGAGGGTTTCCAGATAACTGTTGCAATGATTGATGAGTCCAGAAAAAGAGAAAAAGTGACTGACAGGGACAACAATTTTTGAAATTGGTGCGCTGCAGCCTGCAGCGAAACAGGCTGCAATGTAATCCTTCTGGGCAAGAGCACACTGTCAATGTATGCCCAGTAAGTTTGTGCTTGTTTTTGCCACTGACAGGCTCAGATTCTTATTATAAGCATCTAACAACATTGTGGAAATGACCCTGCAGAGAAATAAAACGCTTTTCTTTACCTTTCACTTGATCTGCTCTCTTTGTTGTTTTGTCTAACTAAGTCTCACTCAAGGAGAAGTCTCGTTCTGCAATTACATGACAGGTGACTTATTACAGTAGGACAACAGTGGAAACGAAGAGTTTGTTTTGTACAAAAAGAATAGCTTGAATGGCTGAATAATTAGCTGATTGTGACAATGTGGATGAAGCCATTGAACACAATGGTCACCCATATTTAGAGTATTTGAACCGAGTACTCAGAACATGGGAAAATAAGGTCTAGGTTGAAAAATACCAACGTTTCCCTTTAAAGCCTGGGTTTGTGAAATACCCAACACTACCTCCTCCTGACACTTCCTGACTCCCTCAGTGTCTGATGCTACAGCTATCAGCATCAGACCAAGTACCAAAGTAAGGAAGTGTTGTTTAGACCTCTCCTGGTATTGTTATTGAAAGGAAGAGACGGGACACACGCATAGAAAGGGGGAAGTCATCAAACGGAAGCTGCAGGTTTTCTTTTGATATTGTGCGGGATATGATGTTCCAGTTTCTCGTCCTTTCTTGGGAGAACAGACACTGTTGATCTTAACAGTCCAGTGGGAGAGCATTAAGAATGGGAACAAATTTGACTGTGACCCCCCAAACACCCTGGGGGAAAAGGCAAAGGAAATTAAGTTCATCTGAATGCACCCTTCTAGTCAGTGGTACAAACAAATACACAGCAACAGAAGCCTATTTTAATTCGCATTTCTCTGCTCATTTTCATAGAGGAGCTTCTGAAGATCTTATTGTTCTTCCAGTGATTAAAAGACTCTTCCAAAATTGTTAATTGATATTCTGCTTTGAATATGAACTTGCGTTTGATGTTGTTTTTCCACAAAAAAAGTTCAATTAATAGTTAAAAATTCTTCATAGGACATAGACTTCTTCCATTAATAAGCACATCACATTCATAAGGATGTAGATTATACAAATTGAATAACAGTGAGAAGTAGGAATTTAGTTTAGTTTAGTTTATTTAGCTAGACAAAATAATAGAAACACCTGTCAGTCTAATGCAATACAGCTCCACAGCACCACAAACTGCAGCCTCCAAACTTACCATACAGTTGAATCAATGCTTCTCTAAAACAGTTTCAACGTGAACTTAACATTATAACCTTCAAGGAGATTGGGTTTATTGCAGGATTGTTGTATTAGACGGCATTAGTTTTAGCTAGGTGTACCTAGGTGAACAAATTGTGCAAATGTGTATATATATATGTATATATATATATATATGTGTATATATATGTATATATATGTATATATGTGTATATATGTGTATATATGTATATATATGTATTTGTTTTAAGTGCTCACAGAGAAACGTACCCGCTGTAGCAAATGAATTTGATAACAGCGGTGTCAAACTTTGCACATATGTAATTCTGCAAAGCGAAATAACAATAAATATTAATATAAAGATTAATGTATTTTTGGCTTGGGGTGGCCGGGGTAGGGACTTTACGGTTTCACTTCTTCTTTACTTCTTGAAAATGTACATCTCTATCCTGTAGATTCCTTTAGTGGACTGTGGAAACGATGACAAGTGCATTGCTGACCTCTCTCTCAAAGCAGAGCCTAGTGTAAAAAAGTAAGTGGAATTAGCTTTAAAGGATATGTTCACACTTTTTTCAAGTCTGTCTTAAAACAGTGCTAGCATAACCATATTTACATTGAAAGAGTTATTGGTCAATGTAATTGTTCCTCCCCTATCCATACCGGGCATAAAGAGATCCCATAAGTTAGCCAGAAAGTGTGCAATAGAAGGGATAGTCAACAAAGAGGGAATTTCATATTAAAAAGAGTGTGACAGCTGACAGATGCATTTTGCACAGAAAGCGTACATTGGAATTGCATTAGGAAGGGATCTCTTCACGGCCATTGTGGACAGGGGGAACAATTACTCTTTCAATGCACTTATGGGCATATATTGTCTTAAGACACAATTTGTTATAGTTGTTGTATATCATCATGTACTATATCTTAGTTATAATATCCCTCACAAAGCAGTTGGCATTAGAAGCAAATCCTTCCAGTGCAAGACTGTACCCTTGTGGGGAGATATGTGCATCACAACCATGCACGCTGACAGCTTTCATTTGCTTTTCCAGAATGAAAATCAAAGCAAACAAAGACAAGATTGAAGTCAACATCAACATTAGAAACAGCAAAGACAACGCATACAACACTAAAGTCACCCTCAGCTTCACACCGAACATCAACTATGTTAAAGTAGAGGTGAGATTTCTAATACTCCTCTGTCTACATCATTCTAGTGTGTATTGTTTGAGACGTGTGTGATGACGCATGTTTTATTTTGTGTTATCAGCCGGAGAAGGCATGCACTCTAAATCTCACAAAAGTGGAATGTGCGGTTGGATACCCTTTCTTGGGAAGAAATAAAGAGGTACATTTCAGCACACGTAACATTCATCTGACCTGTGCAGAATCCAGCCTACATACTACCTGTACAATATGTTTATTTTTAATATCTATTCTCTACTCTCATATTCACAGGAAACGTTTAAAGTGAAATTTGAGGTAAATCCCAAACATGTTCAGGGGTTAATCCAAATCATTGTGACAGCTACAAGGTGAGGCAATCAGCACTACACATCTATCTATCTATCTATCTATCTATCTATCTATCTATCTATCTATCTATCTATCAGCTGTGTACCTTAAAATTATTTTGTTTCTGTTTGTGATCAGCCAAGTGCAAATGTCAAGATTTTCACATACATTTTACACACTGTGCATTAGAATTACAAGTACAAGTACAAATGCGTTTTTTAAATTTCACAGTGACAGTGAAGAGCTGGATTCTACTCTGTACGACAATGCGGTACAAATCTCCATCCCTGTGAAGTATGAAGCTGGACTCATATTCTCAGTGTGAGTGGTTGCACTCCTTACTGATCATGTGCGCTCTCTGCCTCATTGTATTGACATTGTCTTGTCTGTATCTGAAGCTGTTATTGGGAAGGGAAAAATCTAAATCTAATATGATCTGTTTAAAAAATCCTCTAGGCGTCCTCTGGATGAACACATTGAAGTAAAGGAGGGTGAACAGTATTCCACTGTATTCAATGACACCAAAATCATTGGAGAGGAGGTCAATATCAGCTACACGGTAATATCCCCTGACAGAGATTTGTTAATATAAGCATATATTATATAGCTGCATGCAGATGTTTGGTAGTCCAGATATGGTACAGTATATTAATGTATGGATGCCAATCCTGCCTCGTCTCTATTTCACTCTACCTCTCAATCTTTCACCTCTTCAGGTGGAGAAGTCAGGCGATATGGTGACTCCGCCCCTTGACCTTACAGTCATGTATCCTGATCTGTCTCCTCGGAAGAACAGATTGCTGTACCTGACCCATGTCGCCACCAGCCCAAAGGTACATACACACACCTGTGGACATGCGAGTGTATCTGAACAGACAGACCCACCTTCATATCTGCCTCTCCTTTCCCTCCAGGTGAAATGTGACACCGCTGATTTGATCAACCCTCTCAAAATTAACCCGAAGGTTGAAATTACCAATATAAACAAAGAAACACTCAGTGTTTTCCTACTGGTGAGTGAAGTGGCTCTTTGTGTATGTATTTTCAAAAGACTGCCTATCTGAGGGGTTTATTATAAAGCCAACTTACAAGTGAAACCAGACTTAATTCAGTAATTCACCTAAATTACCACAGAAACAGGTCCATCCAGACTAACCTGGTCCTGGACAGGTTAGTTTTCAGGCGACTTTGACCCATAGCTGATTCTTTAGTTTATAGAAAATGTTAATTATCCTATTGATGTCCTATTTGATGGTTCAAAGCTTTTTTCAAGCATGTAAATGTTTATTTTTAGCACTTATTATACAATGTACTTGACTTACTCTTATCTCATTAGCTCAGAGATGGCTTTTTGAAACTGATTTACTTCTGAGCCACCTTTATGAAACATTTCCTTGTGTGTGTGCTCCTGTCTTACCGTGTGTGTTTGATTTGCCCTACAGAGCTGTGAAAACCTTAAATGTGTTTCATTCAGCTGCTCCATCCCCGAGGCTACGACCGGTCAGGTCAACGTCACATTCAGAGTGTGGAAACCTACGTTCATCAAGGTAGGTTTGAGGTGACACATGGGTGGGATTATTTTTGGCTACTCTTGCCTCCCTCTGTTGTTTGGTTTGTCATTTGAATAAAATACAGATTGACTAACAGCTATCTGACTGATGTATGGACAGGGAAGCAAACATTTACATTTACATTTACATTTATTCATTTAAAGGAAATTTATCTTACAGGGAGAGTTCAACAGCCTGTACATGTTGGTGAATGCCACGCTGGGGATCAAAAACACAGACCTGTTTGAACTGAGCAGCAGTGACAAGACCAGAACTGTAAGTAATACCAAGTGTAAGTTTTGGTATTGTGTGTTTGCATGTACTGTATGCGTACATTTACGTTCTGCATGTGTGTGCTAATCAGGTGAAGATCCAGGTTTCGAAGGAGACCTTAGGAGGAATCCCTATTTGGATCATCATCATCAGCATCCTGATAGGACTGCTGATCTTAGCTCTTGTCATCTTCGCTCTCTGGAAGGTAATATTGCCTGAGTAAGACTGCAGCATAGAGTATTTCAAATCTTCAGATACCATCTGTGGCAGCTTGTCACTGCAGATCCAAAGGAATATACAATATGTAGTTCAACATTTTGGGATGGGAATTAAGGGAATTTGCTTTCTTGCAGTCACTTGAGAATATCTATACCACTTTCATGTCTGTGTGTTAAATATGAAGCTACAACCAGGAGATGGTTAGCTTAGCTTATCACAAAGAGTGGACACAGCTAACCTTACTCTACCAGCACCTCTGACTCCCACTCATTAACATGTTATATCTTGTTTGCTTAATCAATACAAAAAGTGTGATTGCTAGAATTTGTGGTTTTATGCAGGGGTTATATGTTCCCAGCCATGAGCTTTTGGGAGACTGAGGTTTAACTAAAAGCAAAATAAATAAATAACAAATACATAACCCCCCCACTGAAAAAAACTAATTAACTAACTAACTAAGCACTAATGTTTTTTAAGGGTTAAACAAAGGGGATATAATTTGTTGATTAGCGTTTTATTTTTGGACAGAGTCTCTGGGCTAGTTGTTTCTTCGTTTCCAGTCTTCATGCTGAGCTAAACAGCTGCTGGCTGTAGCTTCATATTTCACAGACAGATAAGATATCGATCTTCTCATCTACATTAAGTCTCAACAAAAAGAGGAATCAGCATATTTCCCTAAATACTGAACTATTCCTTTACTATTAGACAGTGAACGATCACATTCATATAGAGTATCTGTTGTTTTGTAACTGAGCTTTCCGCTCCTTCAGATGGGCTTCTTCAAGAGAAAATCCAGGGACTACGCAAAGGAGGAAATTATGGACTGAGGTATCCAAACATCCAACAGCAAGCAGCTCTGTGACCGACTGCTTCCAGAGCCAACAGGTTGCACAAAGTGACAGGCAGACTTTTAAACAGGCAGTCGGACAGACTGAGGAGATGCCATAAGACCCACAGACACCTCAGTGCTACGACACAACGATCTCGAAAACACAGTTACCATTGACTGTGTCCTACTCACACCTGGGTCAGATAATGTTTGCAAATACTTCCCAAACCTTGTCCTTTGAGGAGCACTAGGTTACAACACTGAGGCTATTTAGATGGTCACATCAACAGACCCCCACTCTATACCTTGTTATGAAGTTTTTGCATACACTATTTGTGCTAGATCAGAGTTTTTCTTGCAGACATACAGAATACATCAAGTCAGGTCAAGCAGTTCAAGAAGAGGAGCCAGGGAGGAGGAAAAAAACATCACTTAACAGGCATATATTGGCAAATAGAATAAATCTGTATTACATACAGTAGTGTTACAAACCCTTCAGAGCTACGACAGCTGCACTCCAGCTTTAGAGGACAAAGTACTCAGGTTTTTCACACACTTTCTATGTCATTACAGCAACAATTTCCAAAGGTCTATTTGCTTTACATGTGTTGGAGCGGTCTGTCTGATAGCATAAACTCTTGTTTTAAAACTCAACTCAAACACTGTATCCTTAAGCATTTTATAGAATTTTTTTTGGTTTGGTATTTTTGCTGAATTTTAACAATGTAACATGGCACATCCTCAAATTCAAAATGTTGGCCAAAGACACTGAGCTGAACAAAAGCATTATTTTAAGCAAAAGTGCAGTCTGTTCCTTTTATTTTTTTTTTATACTTTAATCTTTGTTAAACCATTCAAAAACTAAAAAAGATCTTGTCACAACTCCGATGTTAAATGTAATTAGTGTCACCATGGTGACTGAGGGATACAGAAAGAAAAAACAAAACCAAAACTCTGATTGTACTGTGTATATAAGTAAATGCTTAAAATGTACATAATTCTGTTGTTCGCTATAATTCATGTAATTTAAGAAATGTTATGCATAAATCTTTTTTTTGTGATCAGAGAAAATGATTTTGCTCAGGTGCTACAAGTATCATGAATGAAGACATTAACATTTAACATTTAAAATAACATTATCTGGCCTATCCCACAATTTCAAAGCTGATGCAAATATGTAAATATTATATTTTGATGAGAAAATAAAAGAATAGTTATTCTGTTCTGAAGATATACATGAAGATGAGGGTTTGTTTCCACTACTTGGGTTTATTTGATTGAAATTGATGTTTCAAGCCTGGTGAAAGACTGTGTTTTGAATGCAGAGGCTTTAACATCATTGAAAGAAGATGCGACTAACGGATTCAAACCTTTTTAATTTCTTCCTATGTAGAAATATATGTGTCACCATTCACCAGCAGTTGCCATATGGTATATGGGATTAATTGGTCGGTGGTTTGTAGTGCAGACAAGCTACAACATGTACACAAAGCATTAGCATACCGTAGGCTCAATGTCACCCCATATGCGGTACACAGTACCTTACAAAGTTATTACAAAATTTTTGTCTTGTTTTTGTTTTCAGAAGTTGCACAGCTACACAATATGTTAAAAAGAGATTATATTTTATATTGGAGGGACTGGGTTTCTGCCTCTTTCTTGACTTTTTCCCTTACTGTCAGACAATAAACCAGGGAAGACAGCAAGAACAAGAAAGAGAGGCAGCTTTGGAATATTTAAATACTCCTCAGCACTGACTCTCCACTCTTGACATGAAGCACATGTAATAAATTGTATGTACAGAATGTGTAACTTAGTCATTTTAAGATTGTATGGCTACATCAGGCTTATGCACGAGGGTGGAGTCACAAGTCTGTCTTTGTTCACTTGAGGTGGCCTCGTATTCTTTTCTCTCACGTTACCCTTTCTTAACTCCTGAAAAAGGGTGAGGCACAAAGGCACAAAGTGAGAGTTGTGAGCTCCACCCCAGCCTTCTACACTGCTGTGAAGTCTTCATTGTAATGCACTGGTTTGTAAGATTGTATGCCTCCTCATCAGTACAGAAATGAATCTTATGTACAAAAATAAAGACTTTTAAGGAAAGAAGTACTTGATCTTTTGCTTTTGTTTGGACAGTACATCTTTTTTTTAAAAATCAGAATGTATACGGAGCTGTTATTAGTTGTGCCAATTAAATGCAAATCAATAAATTTATCTCTAACTCCTGACAATTATCCTTACATCAAAAGAGTAAACTGACTACATTAGCCAACAGTGACATGATTAGTGTGTTAATCAGTTAGTTGATGGAATGTAACTATATACTTTTACTAGTACTGTACTACACTTTTGAGGTACTTGTCACGCTCTGCCGGTTGGCCATCCTTTGTGTTTACTTTTGAGTTTGGTATCTGCCTTGGTATGTTGAGTTTTGGGTTCTGTCCTGTCTTGTGTCCAGTATCTGTTATATAGTCTGCTTTTCATGTCTAGTCTCTGTTTTCCTCTGCTCTCTCTCTCTGCCTCGTTAGTCTCATGTCTGTCACCTGTGTTGCTCCCGCCCTGCTCGTTAGTCCCTGTGTGTGTATATATACCTGGTGTTTCTGTCTTGTCCTTGTCCGGTCATTGTTCATGTTACCCCCCAGTCTGTCGTGTGTGTACTCTCTGCCTGTAACCAGCCTTGCTTGTCTCGTCTCCCGGTACCTTTGGATTTCAGTTATTCAGCCACTCACCTGTAAGTGTGCTCGCTTTTGTTTGTTTATTAAAACCCTTCGTGTACCATACCTGCCCCGCTCTGTGTCCTGCGTTTGGGTTCTCCAACCTGCCTCCACACCACGATCGTGACAGAATGACCGGACCCGTTAAGAGCCCAGCAGACACACTAACTGAGGAACAGACTGACGTGCTGAGGGAGCTTCTGACGCTGAGGAATATGTGGTATGGGGCTAGTCATGTTAGCCATAAGGCAGCTATCGTGTCCCTTGCCTGGAAGAGCCTGGCTGCTCAGCCAGGAGCAGCAGACTCTCTCCCTGGGTGGGTTTGTGACTTCCTCCACACCTCAGTCAATCCCCCAGCCAAGTCCTCATCAGTTCCTCAGTCTGTTAGCCTGCAAATGGCTAACACCCGGACCGCTAGCCTCCGGCCGTCATCTCCCCGGCATGCTAGCCCTCCGCCTGTCCTGCCTGTTACCTGTTTGGCTGGCGCCGCTAGTCCTCCGCCTGTCCTGCCTGTTGTCTCTTCGGCTGGCGCTGCTAGCCCTCCGCCTGTCCTGCCTGTTACCTGTTCGGCTGGCGCTGCTAGCCCTCCGCCTGTCCTGCCTGTTACCTGTTCGGCTGGCGCTGCTAGCCCTCCGCCTGTCCTGCCTGTATCCTGCTCGGCTAGCGCCGCTAGCCCTCCGCCTGTCCTGCCTGTATCCTGCTCGGCTAGCGCCGCTAGCCCTCCGCCTGTCCTGCCTGTATCCTGCTCGGCTAGCGCCGCTAGCCCTCCGCCTGTCCTGCCTGTATCCTGCTCGGCTAGCGCCGCTAGCCCTCCGCCTGTCCTGCCTGTATCCTGCTCGGCTAGCGCCGCTAGCCCTCCGCCTGTCCTGCCTGTATCCTGCTCGGCTAGCGCCGCTAGTCCTCCGCCTAGCCTGTCCGTCCGCCTGCCTGCCCTACCTACCAAGGACTCAGGGACTATGACTCTCCTGGCCTACCTGACCATGAAGGCCAGGGAGTCAGAGGCAGCACGGGCAGCTAGGCTATGGCCTGATAGCCTGGAGGCTAGGCTTTCCCCGGAGTCGTCCTTTGAAGGGATTCGCCTAGCCATCTTTTCGGGTTCCCGTGGTGGTCATCGGAGGCGACGAGGTCACCATCAGCGACCCGTCGGCAACAAACCTGTCCCCTGGCTTGCTAGAACGGCTAGCCGCCTGCCTGATTCCCGGCCCGCTAGCGCTGCTAGCTCCACATCAGACCTGCCTGATCCCCGGCCTGCTAGCGCTGCTAGCCGCCTGCCTGATCCCTGGCCTACTCCTGCTCCCAGGTCTCACTCTGTCGTCCTACCGACACCTGTTACTGGTCCCTCATCGAAGGTCCGACTGACACCAGTTCCTAGGTCTCCGTCAGTGGCCAGACCGGTTCCCGCTCCCCGTGCCCCGTCGGTGGTCCGACCGGCACCTGCTTCGCCGGTGGCCCAGCTGACTCCTGTTCTCCCGTCGGTGGTCCGACAAACACCAGCTCCGTTGGTGGCCCAGCCGACTCCTGTTCCTAGTGCTCAGTCGGTGGTCAGGCCGACTCCAGCTCCTCGTGTCCGGTCCATGGCCTCCAGCCCTGCTGTCCAGTCGGTGGTCAGGCCGACTCCAGCTCCTCGTGTCCGGTCCATGGCCTCCAGCCCAGCTGTCCAGTCGGTGGTCAGGCCGACTCCAGCTCCTCGTGTCCGGTCCATGGTCCCCTGCCCTGCTGTCCAGTCGGTGGTCAGGCCGACTCCAGCTCCTCGTGTCCGGTCCATGGTCCTGTTTTGCTCTCCTGGTCTACTCGGTCGACCTCCGGGACGGCCTCCTGAACTGTGTTTTCCCCCTGATTTGCTCAGCCTGTCGGGTCGTCCTCCAGGACGACCTCCTGAACTGTGTTTACCCCCTGATTTGCTCGGCCTGTCTTGTCATCCCCCGGGACGACCTCCTGAACTCCGTGACCCCTTTGGTCTGCACGGCCTCCTGGGTCGCCCTCCGGGACGGCCTCCTGAACTGTTCTGCCCCTCTGCCCTGCCCTGCCCTGCATGTTAGGCCAAGTGCCTTACCTGCCCTGTTTCCTGGGCATGATCTGCCTGTTGGGTGGTTCCCCCGGACTGTTTTGTCCCCTTGGCCTGCTTGTGCGACCTCCCGAACTCTGTCGCTCCCTTGCCTTGCCCACTGGCCACCCTCCTGAGAGTTCCTGGTCTGGCCCTCCTCCTGTCCTCCCTCCGCCCACCCTGGCTAGACTTGCCCTCCTCCTGTCCTCCCTCCGCCCACCCTGGGCCGGCTTGTGCCTTGATTTTGTGCTGTTTTGTTGACCGTCTGGAGACGCTCGTCGGGGGGGGGGGTACTGTCACGCTCTGCCGGTTGGCCATCCTTTGTGTTTACTTTTGAGTTTGGTATCTGCCTTGGTATGTTGAGTTTTGGGTTCTGTCCTGTCTTGTGTCCAGTATCTGTTATATAGTCTGCTTTTCATGTCTAGTCTCTGTTTTCCTCTGCTCTCTCTCTCTGCCTCGTTAGTCTCATGTCTGTCACCTGTGTTGCTCCCGCCCTGCTCGTTAGTCCCTGTGTGTGTATATATACCTGGTGTTTCTGTCTTGTCCTTGTCCGGTCATTGTTCATGTTACCCCCCAGTCTGTCGTGTGTGTACTCTCTGCCTGTAACCAGCCTTGCTTGTCTCGTCTCCCGGTACCTTTGGATTTCAGTTATTCAGCCACTCACCTGTAAGTGTGCTCGCTTTTGTTTGTTTATTAAACCCTTCGTGTACCATACCTGCCCCGCTCTGTGTCCTGCGTTTGGGTTCTCCAACCTGCCTCCACACCACGATCGTGACAGAATGACCGGACCCGTTAAGAGCCCAGCAGACACACTAACTGAGGAACAGACTGACGTGCTGAGGGAGCTTCTGACGCTGAGGAATATGTGGTATGGGGCTAGTCATGTTAGCCATAAGGCAGCTATCGTGTCCCTTGCCTGGAAGAGCCTGGCTGCTCAGCCAGGAGCAGCAGACTCTCTCCCTGGGTGGGTTTGTGACTTCCTCCACACCTCAGTCAATCCCCCAGCCAAGTCCTCATCAGTTCCTCAGTCTGTTAGCCTGCAAATGGCTAACACCCGGACCGCTAGCCTCCGGCCGTCATCTCCCCGGCATGCTAGCCCTCCGCCTGTCCTGCCTGTTACCTGTTTGGCTGGCGCCGCTAGTCCTCCGCCTGTCCTGCCTGTTGTCTCTTCGGCTGGCGCTGCTAGCCCTCCGCCTGTCCTGCCTGTTACCTGTTCGGCTGGCGCTGCTAGCCCTCCGCCTGTCCTGCCTGTATCCTGCTCGGCTAGCGCCGCTAGCCCTCCGCCTGTCCTGCCTGTATCCTGCTCGGCTAGCGCCGCTAGCCCTCCGCCTGTCCTGCCTGTATCCTGCTCGGCTAGCGCCGCTAGCCCTCCGCCTGTCCTGCCTGTATCCTGCTCGGCTAGCGCCGCTAGCCCTCCGCCTGTCCTGCCTGTATCCTGCTCGGCTAGCGCCGCTAGTCCTCCGCCTAGCCTGTCCGTCCGCCTGCCTGCCCTACCTACCAAGGACTCAGGGACTATGACTCTCCTGGCCTACCTGACCATGAAGGCCAGGGAGTCAGAGGCAGCACGGGCAGCTAGGCTATGGCCTGATAGCCTGGAGGCTAGGCTTTCCCCGGAGTCGTCCTTTGAAGGGATTCGCCTAGCCATCTTTTCGGGTTCCCGTGGTGGTCATCGGAGGCGACGAGGTCACCATCAGCGACCCGTCGGCAACAAACCTGTCCCCTGGCTTGCTAGAACGGCTAGCCGCCTGCCTGATTCCCGGCCCGCTAGCGCTGCTAGCTCCACATCAGACCTGCCTGATCCCCGGCCTGCTAGCGCTGCTAGCCGCCTGCCTGATCCCTGGCCTACTCCTGCTCCCAGGTCTCACTCTGTCGTCCTACCGACACCTGTTACTGGTCCCTCATCGAAGGTCCGACTGACACCAGTTCCTAGGTCTCCGTCAGTGGCCAGACCGGTTCCCGCTCCCCGTGCCCCGTCGGTGGTCCGACCGGCACCTGCTTCGCCGGTGGCCCAGCTGACTCCTGTTCTCCCGTCGGTGGTCCGACAAACACCAGCTCCGTTGGTGGCCCAGCCGACTCCTGTTCCTAGTGCTCAGTCGGTGGTCAGGCCGACTCCAGCTCCTCGTGTCCGGTCCATGGCCTCCAGCCCTGCTGTCCAGTCGGTGGTCAGGCCGACTCCAGCTCCTCGTGTCCGGTCCATGGCCTCCAGCCCAGCTGTCCAGTCGGTGGTCAGGCCGACTCCAGCTCCTCGTGTCCGGTCCATGGTCCCCTGCCCTGCTGTCCAGTCGGTGGTCAGGCCGACTCCAGCTCCTCGTGTCCGGTCCATGGTCCTGTTTTGCTCTCCTGGTCTACTCGGTCGACCTCCGGGACGGCCTCCTGAACTGTGTTTTCCCCCTGATTTGCTCAGCCTGTCGGGTCGTCCTCCAGGACGACCTCCTGAACTGTGTTTACCCCCTGATTTGCTCGGCCTGTCTTGTCATCCCCCGGGACGACCTCCTGAACTCCGTGACCCCTTTGGTCTGCACGGCCTCCTGGGTCGCCCTCCGGGACGGCCTCCTGAACTGTTCTGCCCCTCTGCCCTGCCCTGCATGTTAGGCCAAGTGCCTTACCTGCCCTGTTTCCTGGGCATGATCTGCCTGTTGGGTGGTTCCCCCGGACTGTTTTGTCCCCTTGGCCTGCTTGTGCGACCTCCCGAACTCTGTCGCTCCCTTGCCTTGCCCACTGGCCACCCTCCTGAGAGTTCCTGGTCTGGCCCTCCTCCTGTCCTCCCTCCGCCCACCCTGGCTAGACTTGCCCTCCTCCTGTCCTCCCTCCGCCCACCCTGGGCCGGCTTGTGCCTTGATTTTGTGCTGTTTTGTTGACCGTCTGGAGACGCTCGTCGGGGGGGGGGGGTACTGTCACGCTCTGCCGGTTGGCCATCCTTTGTGTTTACTTTTGAGTTTGGTATCTGCCTTGGTATGTTGAGTTTTGGGTTCTGTCCTGTCTTGTGTCCAGTATCTGTTATATAGTCTGCTTTTCATGTCTAGTCTCTCTGTTTTCCTCTGCTCTCTCTCTCTGCCTCGTTAGTCTCATGTCTGTCACCTGTGTTGCTCCCGCCCTGCTCGTTAGTCCCTGTGTGTGTATATATACCTGGTGTTTCTGTCTTGTCCTTGTCCGGTCATTGTTCATGTTACCCCCCAGTCTGTCGTGTGTGTACTCTCTGCCTGTAACCAGCCTTGCTTGTCTCGTCCCGTCTTGTCTCGTCTCCCGGTACTTTTGGATTTCAGTTATTCAGCCACTCACCTGTAAGTGTGCTCGCTTTTGTTTGTTTATTAAAACCCTTCGTGTACCATACCTGCCCCGCTCTGTGTCCTGCGTTTGGGTTCTCCAACCTGCCTCCACACCACGATCGTGACAGTACTTCCATTTTATGCTACTCTCGACCTCTACTCCACTATATTTCAAGGAAATATTGTGTATTTTTACTCCACTACATTTATTTGATACCTTGAGTTACTACTCACTTTGCAGATTTAGATTATAAATACAAAATATAAATCAATTAACACATTATAACAGATTATTATTGTTGAAATATTATTGTGAACCAGGTTCAGGTGTGAAGAAGTTTCGGGGAGACTGATGAAGACTTATCATAGCGTGGCTCCTTGAGCCCGGCCAAGGAGATACAGTGCCATTTATGTTTCTCTCTTCCACCTAGTGCCTGTAGGTTTCTCGATGAGATCATCTTTAACCAGCCTTAACCTAGAACAACAAATCAATCAATCTATCTATGCTACGTCATATTGGAATCTATTACTCTCCATGAGTCGTACTCTAATCTGTGGACTCAGTAAGTTATTATAAACATTCTTGTAAAACTCAACCTCGTAAGATTCCAAAAGAACACGGATATCTGCAAGCCTGACGCCTGAGCTACTGTCTTTACCTTATCAGTCTAACTGTCATATCCCTAACAAGGACAGATAGATGAGAGAAATAACTAGAGCTGGAAGGTCAGCGAACAGTTGTAGGGTCACCTAATGACTCCAACCTGTCTTACCTTCTTCTTGTTACGTCAGTTAAGCCCTCTAAGAATATTCTTTAACAATTATAAGTGAAACAACCCAGCAAGATAAGAAATTAAAAATGGCTCCACCTTTAACAGCTTCAACATCAGTATATCATTAATTATAGTCAGGTATTATAATATATGATTCGGAAATAGGCAAATTTGAATTATGAGTAGTCTGCTAATACTTTTGTACTTTTACTTGAATGCAGGACTGTTACTTGTAATAGTATAGTTGTACACAGTGGTATTGTAACCTTTACTTAAATCAAAGTTCTGAAAACTTCTTCTACCACAGTTGATAATCAATTAATCATTGAAGTCACTCATCAAAAAACAGTTTGTAACAATTTACTTTGTTTCGTCTGTGTGGTTTATTGTACATACCATAAATGGTTCTGTTGGTGATGAATAAAGAGTTGGTTTGTTATTACAGACAGTTTATTCATTGCTCCTGTTCTGTGTGAGCCCTTTTCAGTTTTACAAAGGTTGTTTCAGATGATAGATTATTCCCATGTCATTCCAGTTTAATTTGTCTTGCAGCTGAAAATTTGCATCACATCCTCATCTTTTTTGCTATTTTTGTCCTCTTAAATTGTTGTACCCTTTCTTCCTCTGTAAACTGTAAACTTGCATTAAATAATAAAAAAATATGTGCTTAAGCTTGTCTTTCTTTTTTTGTTTTTTTCCATTAAAATATTAACCAGTTGGCATATAGATATACTTAAAAGGTTTATTAGGGATGTTTAGGTTAAATAGTGGCTGAGGAGAGTGGTGTAGCCTACTTCTGTACAATTTTGAAGATTCTGAAGTATTTTACTTTAGTATTTCCACTATATTCTCTTTTACACTTTTCTCTACTGTACTCCATTTCAGAGAGAAATATTGTTCTTTTTACTCCACTACATTTATTTGACAGTTATAGTCACTTTGAAGACAAACAAAACATCAACTGAGAAAATCGAATCCATTATTGATTTATAAATAGTATATAAAGTGCACTTCCACCATGCAGCTACTACATTAAAATGCTACTTATGCAATTATGCATCAATAATAACAATAATCCAATAATATAATATATATAATGTTGATAGGGGCCATTTATCTGCATGAGTAATTTTACTATTTAAAGTATTTTGCTGGTGAAAAATTAAAAAGGAAAAACATTTTGACCAGAGTTTTTAAAATAAGTGATAAGATATCTGGAGAGTTAATAGAGAGAATACATGTTGGTCCTTGAAACAGAAAAAGTACTTAATGGAAAAGTAAATCATCATTATTTTATATTCAGCATTTGTACCCACTCAGACAGTTTGAGTCCAGTTTTCTTTTTATTATTATATTTGTGAAACATATGGTGTTTATTCTTCTCGCTGGCCCTTATGCTTTTTACTTTGAAATGTTTTTATTTATATACTGGTTCAATAGTATGTTTATCTGCTGTACACTACCTCCTCTTAATTAACAAAATGCAAGTAGGCTACTCAAAATTGTACTTAACTAGGCCTACAGTACTTGAGTAAATATACTGCTTTCCACTGATAAAATATCATTAGCCTGTATAGGCCCAGTAGGCTACATTTTGCAGTTTACTTGGCTCCGTATACTTAATAATAGTAATATTATAAAGGAGTATTTTCAAATGTTCTTATTATTAGGCTACTTTAACTTAAGTAAATGATCCCAAAACTTCTTCCCTCACTGGATGAGGTTTCCTCAGTGAAAGCGTCCCATTGCTGAAGGTGAGATTCCTGCGAGGCCAAGATGAGGGCAGTGATTCCCCAGACTACCGAGTTTACGGCCCGAGAGTGATTTCACGTCGGAGAGCGCCGCCTGGTGTTCACCCGCAGCATTTCGCGATAAGTGACACTGGGAGGGGAAACAGAACAAACTGTAAGCTGCTGTCGGATCCATCTTGCTCGAAAAAAGAAGCGAGGGTGAAGGCTTTTTTTCAGTTTAGTATCTACAAGGCTGTGTTTCCCCGTTAACGGAGCTGGGGAGCCCAAGGAAGGGCTGTGTCACTGTTTGTAGGATGTCCCGACATGAGGGTGAGTTGATAAACAGGTCCGCTGCGCCTTAGTTGGTGGCTACATTACCTGAGCTGCTAGCTCTTAAGCTAGCTTTGCTAAGTGCTTAGTCAAGTCAAGAGAGGGGGGGGTGTTGCGGATATCCCGGCTCGTTTTCAGGCTTGTACCCACACGCATACTTGCCATCAGCATCTCTGGTGAACCTATATCTCTGGTGTCTGCTAATTTGGGGCAAACGGTCACAACTTCTCTTTACCTGTTCGCAATGATACGGCAACATTGCGGAGCTTAGCAGTTAGCCGTTGCTAGGTTCTGCGTTACCTTACGTTAGCTGAGCTAGCGAGCAGGCTAATGCATGCTAACATAAGGAGTCTTTGGTGTAGCTGGGACTTTATGTTGCTTATACTTGCGCTTATAAACCCATTAGCCGTGCACTGTGATATTTCATAATACAGATATAATCGTATTTTGCTTACATTTTGGGTAACGTGTTAGTTGAAGAACCCGCTGCTGTAATGTTAGCGCCATACTGTCCCGTCTGGTCACATAACGTTAACCTAATGTTGTTAGCGAATGCACTGTCATCAAGAAGAAGACAGAAAGTCTGAGGCCTTAGACCATAAACCAATCACCAAGTTAGCTAACTGGCAGGCTACTTGCTAGCTAGGGTTAAGTTACGGTATGTTAACTGCAAACCAGATGGGACTGTAAGTGTGCCTCAGTTATAACGTTAGTTGTAGCAGCTGTATCTTGTTTAATCACCTCAGAAGTTGCTGTTCTGGATTTCAAACATTAGCATAACACAGTTAAATAGCCCCAACAGGGCAAAGTAAAATGATTTAGTAATTTGCTTTACCCTGTTTAAAGTAGGACAACAAAGATAACGTTAGCGTTAACGTTACTTGTTAAATTGTCCCGAGTGGGCAGGCTAGTTCGACTCTGCCGTGAGGACACACACTGATCTTCCAGGCTGTCAGGTGGTACTAATACCTGTCAGACCAACCTTTATCAATACTTAGAGCTGATACTTGCTATTGCCAAACCAGTTGGTTTGTTTGTTCAGGCCTGGGTTTGGTTAGTAAATGTTACCTTTTGTGGATAATTTCTCTGTACTTTGAAGCTTTTTGTTGCAAGATGTCAGATCAGTCCCAACAGAGGAAATTCCCTCAATACTTGTGTACCTACTATTCAACGTTTGCCAAATAAGGCGTTTTTTTGTTTTTTCCCTTCAAAGGAAATGTAAGTGAGGCAGGAGTTGGAATATTGTGTGTAATGATAACTTTGATGTGTCATAGAAAATAACTGTCTGTGCCTGTAGAGTAGTAAGCCAGTGCTTGAATATTTCTTCACTGTAATCATTTAGTAAAGTGTGGACAAGCAGATGCAATAATATTTAATATAATGGCATGTAGTAATAAGCTGTTTGGAGAATATAAGAAATGTCTGACATTATCTTTCTCTTGACTAATTTAGTGTTGCTCTAGATGAATATAAATAGCAATATGCTATCCGAAAAACATGTGGACAGTGCTATAAATGAGTAACAAAAGCTGTAATGAAGGGAGCTTTCAGATGCGTCATATGTTTGTGGCATGCCTCTGTGAGACCTTGCTTGTGAAGTTCACTGGAATGCCAGAGTTCTTCATCGCTGCCACTTGTGGGTTGGTGCCACTCCAAAGCACATGCTTATGTGAGTGAGACTGGCCTACAGAGAGAGATTGCTTTCTCACAGTCAGTCTTGCAGACGCATTTATAAGGAATTTGTAACTTTATTGCCAGGTGCACGTGTTTGACGTACCATTTTTCATTTCTCTTTTGCAGGTGTGAGCTGTGATGCATGTTTAAAAGGGAACTTTAGAGGAAGAAGGTTCAAGTGTTTAATTTGCTACGATTATGACCTGTGCGCATCGTGCTACGAGAGCGGAGCCACAACAACAAGACACACCACAGAGCACCCCATGCAGTGTATATTAACCAGGGTAGACTATGGTAAGGACCTGAAAGCCCAGACAGAAAGTTGTGTGGCTTACTGATCATACACAAATTTATCATGCCTATGTGGTGCCATGATTATTATATTTTATGACTTCACTGTAGGCCTACTGTGTGATTACAAATCATTCGTCACGTTTTCTCTCATGATTTATGGCATTTTGTTGAGTGTAAAATTGTGCTGATGCTGGTGCTTATGTTTGTGTAAATAATTAAAATATTGATTGACAATAACGGTTGCTCTGTTTGCTCTGTTTTTGCAGATCTGTATTATGGAGGAGACACTTTTTCAGTAGAGCAACCCCAGTCATTCACATGTCCTTACTGTGGCAGGATGGGCTTCACAGAGACGTCCCTACAAGAGCATGTCACCTCTGAACATGCAGAGACTTCCACCGAAGTGGTGAGTATACTGCACACATTAAGGGATAAATGTACAGATTTTGAACTGTAATTTTGTGCACTTATACTTCCAAATTGTTTTTGTAGCTGTAAGCAGCTCCAGCAGCCTAATTTACTTCTGACATCTACTGACCTACTGTATATTGAAGTCATTAGATGGAGACCTTTTTTTTAATGTAGTCTGTTGGCATCACTGCAGTCTGTTATTGCTAATGAGCGCTGCACTTCAGTCAGCTAAAATGACTTCCCAGAATGTACACTCAGAGGATATTTATGGATTACTTGTTGTCAAATCAGAACTTTCATGAGTGTTTTCCACTGCCGAATAAAGTGAGCAAAGCAAGGGCGCTGCTGACAGTACTGAGACCTACCTGGCGGACTGGCAGGTAGTGTGTTGGACTGTCTGAGGAGTGATAGGGAAAAAAAGAGCTTTGTAGCCCAAGGGGGGAGCCAAAAAGTGGTCCAGTTCATAATTTTCATGTGATGTCACATTCCAAAGAAAACGCTCCCTTGGAGGACAAAAAAGACATTATTTTCCGCTGCATACCAACCAGGAAGCAAGTGATACACTGTTACTTTTACTGTTACTGTTACTACTCTGAGTATGTTACTTTTTGCGTTGCTAAAATGCTGGATGGCCGTCGTGCTTTCGGATGCACTAATTGACGAGGAGACAAGCCTGAGCTGTTAGGTGAGGGATTCCCTACAAGGTAAATGTAAACATTACCACAGTCGTGTGCTAGCAGGGACCTGGCGGTTTTTAATGGCGGAAATTCATTAGCTGGTGCTGTTTAAGGATCGCAAGTGCCCAACACTTGCAGTTTGTTTCCATATCTACCTTTTTCATGAGTTGAGAGGTGATCCAAATAAAATTTAACAGATTTGTGGCGTCTCTACGAGGGAGTTCAGTGTGAGCTGCTGTCTTGCTCTGTTTTTTGCCCTCCAGGTGCTTTGATGAATAAGGTTGGCGCTATTCTGTACTTTAATTATTTTCAATGAAGTCCAGTTATTAAGTTTTTCCATCTCTCAGTACTTTACAACCCACCCATGTCTGTCACTCAGCCTCAAGGCCATTTGTTCCTACTAAGGATGCAACAACAACAAAAAAACGCAAATTAATATATAGTTTCACTTTTTAGAACAGCTAAGTAATATCCTAAAACAGCTGAACGATGTAGGTCTTAACAAATGTTAATATGAGTAAATGGTGCATTTGTTTGGGACTATTTTCAGCTGTGGATTAATGCACGTTTGGTGCACTAATGAGTATTTTCAGCAGCAGGATGGTGTATTTGTGATTGACTGAAAATACAGTGCCCGTGTTCATTGTAAAGAAGAAACATGTCACCCCGTGCAACAATGTGGCTCATTCATATGCTTTTAATAGTTTTTAGACAACAATGGACCTCTATGGCACAGATGATAAGGCATATCAAGGACTGGCTACACAGGCAATACTTGCTACTAGGTTAGTTGAATGTCAATGGGATGCATTGACCATGAGGAAAATGTACAAAATTACCATCCTTGTCTTTTAGATAGTTTTTGTTTTTTGGTTCATCTATGAAAAAAAAATAACGTTGCCAACAGAAACAAGACGGCAGTGAAAGAGGAAGTGTTAACCTGTTGTATGTATATGGCAGTTAATGTACAGGATGTCATTCACAGTGGTGTTATATTGAGAATTTATACACAATAGAAACTGGTACGTGTGGGCTGTGATACAGGCTCTGTGGAGCGATTGGCTGCACAGCCAACACTTGTTAGTAAGTCAGCTGAATGTTGGTTTAGTCTTTCAGTGGGAATCATTGACAATGAGGAAAATGTACAACAATTCCATCCTTGTCTTATAGATATTAAAAGACAAAAACAAACGGTGCCAACAGAAACAACACAGCAGTGAAAGAGGAAGTGTTAACCTGTTGCTGGCAGGATGTCATTTACTGGGCTGCTATATTGAGAATTTGATGCACAATAGACACTGGTGTATACAGGCTCTGCAAGCAAGAGAATGTGATATTTAGTAATTGTGGGGGCTTATTTATGGTGAAATGTTCTGTATTAACTAGGGCTGAAGAATTTATTGAAATTTTATTGAAATCGTAATATGGCCTACTGCAGTTTTGAAATCAAAGGAGGCGAAATATTTGTTAAAGGTGAAATGGTTGTCAAAATATCACTTTGAAATTAAATATTGTCATGCTGCAGAGATGTTCTTGCCTACACATCATATTCTAGAGACTTAAGAACATATTTTTGTTTGGTACAGATTCCTGCAAAAATCACACCATAAGTTATCTTAATGGTTTTCAATTAAAATGAGAATAATGATGTAAAAATGATAATTTTCCCTAGTTTGTTAACAGGTTTTGGCGAGTACAACTGCATATATGGGGGAAAAAAGTTTATAAAGCCTTAAATGGCTCCAGAGAGAGGTGTGTGTATTTGATAAATAGTCTCCAGTGATGTCACTGGTAAAGACTACAAGTTTGAATAAAAAAAAATTGAAGTGAATTGGAAGTGAGCTTACCAGTAGCCTGCTCCTTATATATGCTTGAGGCTTGATGCTACATTAGGTGCTACTAGCGTAACCAGAAAGTTTTTGTAGAGGAGATAAAAGAAGATTAAAGAATCCTCAATACACCTCTATAGGGAAAGCCTGTAATGCCAAAGATGGCGGTTATCTCACCCTCCCGCTAGAAAGCCAATCATCTGCTTTTAACAGCCAAGGCAGGAAACATTTTAGCCAATTGTGCGGTTCCACTACACATGCGTCACTACTACTGCGCATACGTAGTAGGAGTAAAACCGTTGGGGAAAAATGCACCTTATTTTGGGGCAAAGTCATCAAACTTTTTTCCCAGCTATTTTTATCAGATTTTGCTGTTGATTTTATGCATGCAGTTATTATGACTGCTGAAAGACCAGTTCTGGCTCTCTCCCCATTCAGATAGGGTCTGAATGGTCTTGTTAGTCCAAAATAACTGCCTGGAGGCGTTACCAAGATGGCTGCCGAGTGGCATGACTTGCCTATAATGATCTCACCAGTTTTTGACACAAATACTTGAGAAATAAAAAAGATTATATCCCAGTTCTGCTGCTTCGAAGTTGCCCAGGTGCTAACTCAGTGGAGAACTCCTTTAACTTACTTAATTGGGTATATGTAAACAGCTCAGTAGTATAAACATTTAATGAGTGTCGAGTAGCTACTCTCAGACGTGCCACTTGTTATGAGGCTGCACACTAACACATTTGAACGGGGTAAAACCTGACTAAAAGTGACATGACCTCCCTCCTGTTTCAGATCTGTCCAATATGTGCTGCCTTGCCAGGAGGGGACCCCAACCATGTCACAGATGACTTTACAGCTCACCTCACACTTGAACACAGAGCGCCAAGAGATTTAATATCCTTTCAGTGTCTCCACACACTAGTGGCTACATAAAGATGTTTGTATATATTGTTTATATGTCCACAAAATCTTGATACATTGCGTTACATCACTGCATTTACCCTTAACAGTCCCTGTTTACGATGAGTCCAGCAGTGTTCGACATGTACGCAGGATGTTCCACCCTGGACGAGGACTGGGCGGACCCAGAGCACGACGGACAAATATGCACTTTACTAGTGGCTCCACAGGGGGACTTTCATCCTCTTCATCACAGAGCTCCACGTACACGCCCAGTAACAGAGAAGCAATGGACCCAATTGCAGGTAATAATGAGGAGTTGGTGTGCTCTACAGGTTATACTGCTCACATAGGTGGGTTGGATCCTTCACTAGTACCCTCTGCTGGTAAAAAATAATTATATACCATCAAAACCTCTGCAGTGTGCGACTGATGAGCATTCATTTACAATCTACAGGTGAAGGGTTTCACTTAGGCTTTGGTGAATTTGTATCCAAATTGGTCAAATATTTTCTTTGCGTAGATAACTTGTGTGCTCAACAGCCCGGTGTGCGGTATTATTGCATTATTCAGCAATGAAGTGAGCAATGAATTTGGTGCCCTATAGCATAGTAAGAGTGTCTGTGGATCTCACCTCACTGCAGAGCAAGCTAGCTGCTGCGTGCTAGTCAACAACATTGCCAAGCAAACTCATTTTTGCAGTTTGACAGTGTCTTTCTCACACGTAACGTTAGCTATATCGTTACCTTCAGGGCATGTCTATTAGGTCTGAAACGATTAAATCGATTACTAAAAAGCATCGGCATGACATGAAAAACAGCTGCATCAACAGGCAGTGTGTTCCAACACACTATGCTCGTTAGTTTAAGCTTCAAATGAGGTTTACCGTTCAGTTTCTCTCAACTGTCCCTCAGGATTACGTTAGTCAAACATTGCCGAGCCTGCTAGCCACATTAGCCGCGCAATATGCTAACGCAAAGTTAGCTGACCTTTAAAATAAACAGTAAAACGTACAGGCCATAGCGGTTGTTCTTGAACCGTTACAGAGCTTGTTATTGGGGAACTTTTGAAACGCTAATTTATTAGCTCACTGAAGTGTAAAGTATGAACATTGCGGTTGTTGCAATGCTTGCCATCCTCTGCGGTGGGCTTGACCAATGACGCCGTACTTCAGTTTTGCAGTTATCATGGCAGCCCTAATGCCAGCATTTTTTATTAAACCTTTGAGCATACAGAAATCACCACACTTTGGGATTATGATTACAATAAAAATATAATGGTACGCTTATTTTTATCTCATCACTATGATGTGGAGTGCATTATGTTTTCATGGTCAGGTTGAGTAGTCTCATTAATTTAACAATACAATCAAAATACCCCTATTATCCAAAATGGCGTTTTTTTCTCAGCTAAGCAACAAGTTTAACTTTAGCTAAAAACTAATTGTTTACCATCCAGGGAATGCTTTACAGTGGCCCCTAAGGACAAAACACATTAAAAGCACAAACGGATACATTAAGGGAATCTGCTCCAAGTCCAGAAATGCTAAAAGTTTTATAATACACACATAAGTGATAAAGCAAATAAGTCTTATGTTTCCACTTTGGTATGAATTTTACAGCTTGTAGCATTTTTAGATTTGGAGCCATTTCCCTCAGTGTTTGTGCTTTTGCTTTTGTATGCCTTCTCCTTAGGGGCCACCGTAATATTAAACTCTTGTTAAGGCCAAGAAGCTTTTATATGGAATTTAGTTTGTATGTGTGTATCTATATTTAACAGCATAGTTGTCATGTTTTATAAATTGACTGTCGTCTCGTAACATCTCAAAACATCTACTCTTTTATTAAGTCTGTGTTGAAATCACATGACTTTTTGGCATATTTTCCAGGATTGAATCTAGTATTAATAGTCAGGAATATTTTCAAGTCATTTTTAAATTTTATGATCTCTAATCTTTTCTTTCCTCATCAGAAAAATAAGAACAAATGTCAACCAAACCCCTAATAGCTATTCATAGTCCTGACAGTCCTTTATGTTCTTTATATCTTCTTACCGGTATCTTCAGGGTTGTCTTTTGAAATCATGACTTATTTAGAAACAGCCGACAGTGAAGCCTGTTTTTGTCTCCTGCAGAGTTGTTGTCTCAGCTGTCAGGTGTGCGGCGTGCGGCGGGGGGGCAAATAAATTCATCAGGGCCTTCAGCCTCCCAGCTCCAGCAGCTCCAGATGCAACTGCAATTGGAGCGGCAGCAGGCTCAGGCAGCACGACAGCAAGTGGAGACGGGCCGCCACGCGACGCGACGCAGCAATAACCCAGGCAACTCTGGCGCCACCAACCCTCCACCCAACACAGGAACTGCCAACACTGCCACCGTGGGTGAAAGCAATCCCTCATCCTCGTCCCACAGCTCCCAGTTCCTATTAGCACGGTGAGTTTGGCCAGTCGGTTGTTTTTATATTGTAATCTGCATCTTCTTATGGTTCTTTTTATGGTTCTGTTCGTAAGTTACTCTGTTGATCTTAAATAATAAGGTTGGTGATATTCTGTATTTGTCAACACATCCCACTCAAAGATCAGAACCAATGATACGTTGGTTCAGATCTCAGTATTTTCCGACTACCCTACTCTCAGCCCCAAAGCCAAAACAGGCCACGAATATATACTTAGGTTTTTTATGAAAGGCTAAATAATTTCTTGAAAAAGCTAGGCATGTAGTTTGTAGCAAATGTTGCTCAAACAGATAAAACGGAGCATTTATTGGGGACTGTTTTCAGCTATGGATTTAATGCGGTAGCCAGTATTTACTGCAGCAGGACGGTGTTTATTGACTCAAAATAAACTGCAGTGCCCATGTTCATCTTAATGAAGCAACATGTCACCCAGTGCTACAGAGTGGCTCACTAATGTGTGAATGAACTATATCAGGCTTTGGATACACACACACACACACAGCACTTGTCAGAAGGATCAATTCTTTATTGGTTTTGGTCTTTTCATTGTATTTGTTGACAGAAAGAAAAATCAAGAATATCACCAGCCTTATCATTTCAAGGTGACACATTTTCAGACACTGAAGCTGATCTTTAATTGCAAAGTACAATGTAATGTAGTTTTCTTTGGTAAATGTGTAAGAATGTCCAAGTTACAGATGGACAAAAAGCTGACCCCAATATGAGAACTTGGAAAACATTCATAGTTCTTGTAACAGTATAATTAGCAGTTCCTCTGTTTTCGTAAGTTTTGATCTTCTAACTTCCAGGTTTTATCAAAATAATGAGTAGTTCTTCCTAACTCTGAAGTCACAACTCAGCACAGGAAATTTAGCAGCTTTATGTTCCCTCTCTGTTGCTCCCTTTGTATTTAGGATGGAAGACATTAACTGGAAATGTTTACCTTATAATTTCATTTAAACTGAATGTTTATTATTTTGCCCAGGTTGAATGAACCTAAGATGTCCGAAGCAGAGCGGCAGTACCTTGAAGGAGAGCGCGCAGACCGCAGCCTGTTTGTCCAGGAGCTGCTTTTGTCCACACTGATGCACGAAGAGAGCTCTTCTTCCGATGAGGAAGAGCGCCGAGACTTCGCCGACTTTGGAGCCATGGGCTGTGTGGATATCATGCCTTTAGATGTGGCGTTGGAGAACCTCCAGCTTAGAGAGCTCAGCTCTACGGGGAAGGAGCCTCCGCCGCCTCCTCTTTGATGTCCGGGCATCAAGCAGACTGTGTCCTCTCTGCTGCAACTGTCAGTGATGGGCAGCAAACAGCAGCAGTCCTCCCTGGCCTCACTCTCCTTTCTCCTTCCTCTATTTTCTGAGTTTGTTTTTGGTGATTGTAATTTCAGGCCTGTCACCAGTTTTGTTACATTGTAAACAAAAATAAATGAGAGCAAGTGGGATAAATGTGCGAGTGCGCAATAGCAACTGAGTGAGCGAACGAGAGAAGAGAAATATATAAATATATAAAATATATATGAAGTTGATAATCAATCCACATAACTTTTCTTTTCTTTATCAGGTAAATGTTACAGGCAGCTGTGGCAGACCTTTGCTTCCTGTGACATGCAAACGGCTCCATATAAATACTCCACATTCACAAGTCAAGAGGGCATAGGCTCCTCTGATGAAGCTGCTGTGTGTTTATGACTATTAATAAATAAAAAGTGCTTGGATGGGTTACCATAACTACTGCATGCAGTTATTTGCAGCGTGCATGACTTTTAATGACAAGGTCATTAAATTATTTTGTTTTTTTAATATCCCAAAGCTTTCAACTGTTTTTAAATGGTCATTTCAAACCAGGTTAAGTATTGCAAATTTCTTTAGTAATTTACCAAAATGACGTGTAAATTTAACACTAACAATATATTTTGTTAGGTTTTCTTTGAGGAGATACAATGAAGAAAAAAAACAATTGGATTCCGCAGTAGCTTCTGTGTGTGTGTGTGTGTGTGTGTGTGTGTGTGTGAGCATGGGTGCGTGCACACACAGCTCCTGAATGCCTTTTCTCTGTCTGAATATGTGGAAAGCTGTGCTAACAGCAACAGAACCACGGCTACATGCATCAGATGAATACTAGGAACAGAAGAAAAGAGAGCTTTTTCTTAGATGTTAATGTTTAGTGATAAGCTGTTTAGGCACAGTATACTTTATAATTTATAGATGTACAGATGCCCAACTACAGTATATCCATTGCTCTTTCACACTTTTCTGGTATTCACTCTGCTTATATACAGGCCCAGTGTCCGGCCACGTGCTTTAAACATCTTGTATGAATTTCTTTGCTGGGTAACGGGAGCTTGAGACGCAAAGAAGTTTTGTTTTTCTTAAGAGAAAGCATTCTTTTTTTTTCTGCTAAGGTTAGCACTTTCTATTTATTCTTTCTAATGTTTGTTTTCTGATGCTTTTGAGCCTTGATATGAATCATGCCACCTTCATGCCTCTACTTTTACCCTCTATGTAAAATACAATGACAATGTGTCTTTCATAATGGTTAAGACATGGGCAGACATTTTTTTTAAATGTAAATTTAGAATACAATAAATATAAACTGCGCACAGCTTTTGATGAAACTAAGAGACCATCACACCTTTGCACCTTGTGTTGTTGTGCTTCTACAGATCCTTAAAAACTTTTTGTCCGCTCGAGGAGAGAAGATGGGAACGTTTGCAACTCTTCATCTTCTAACATTACATAATATTACTTTAACACAATTTCTTTATAAATATATAAACAGTGAATAAATAACAAATAACGCACTATATGGAGTTGTAAGCTAATATAAATGTTTATTAATCTATGTTTCTTTAATTTGAACACCTCCTGTGGGCCCCATAAATGGAGCAGGTGTACAGACAATGAGTGACACAAGTTATTGTGATTGTTTAGTATGAAAGCAAACACTAAGTCTGTGCTCACCCCATAGTCAGCAAGATCAAACCATAGAAGCAATAACAACATTTATGTACTCAATTGAGAAGTATTAAAGCACCACCTCACTCTTTCTTTTGGTGTTAATGGATGAGAGAAAAAGGGTGGGTTGTTGCATGTATTCTCCCTGCAGCAGAGACACTGAAGCTTCCCTCAGAGGGCAGTAGGTGACCCCCTTGGATTAGCCCAGCAGCTGTCCCACCAATTTGTGTACAGTGGAGCACATTAAGGTAGGTTAAACGCTGTGAACATATGAATTTTTCAGTCTATGAACTTGTTTGTGTGTCAACTGTGACGATAATAGCATAGAAATACATACACACCTTTACACAACATACTTTCCTAATAACAGTTAAGTAGCTGCTGCCACTGGTTTGTGTGTGTGTTTGTCTTTGAGGCCCTTTAGGGCAGCTGTCCTTGTCACTCCTCAGTAGTTATTGTTAGAAACAAATGGTGCCCATGGGATGCCTTTCATGACACATGCTGGTTCTTTTTAAAGAAGCCCACCAGAAAAAGCAGTGGAGAAACAGATTAGATGTCAATCCCACCTTAACAGACAATCTTCCAGAGGGTGGTGGTCAGATTGTCCAAAGCCTTGAGAGGACAAGCTATCAGGTCAATAACTATAAGAAAGCTGACTGACTGGGGTCTTACCAAGAAAAGTTTAAACTAATCAGCCGACTGGTTTTAAGCTCACACCTGCAAAATGTAACACTGCACGAAAATCCAAATAACGTTATAAAAAAAAAAAGAAAAACATTTGACAGAATGACCCCAAAAGGGTCACAACCAGTGGTGGAAAGCCACTAATAACATTTACTCAAGTACTGTACTTAAGTACAAATTTGAGGTACTTTTCTTGAGTGTTGTCTTGTCGTGCTACTACTTCTACTCTTTACTGTAATTATTTGTCAAGTTTAGAAACTAGTTACTTTACAAATTAAGGTTTTTGCAATATAAATGTGTGTTCGTTAATGCAAGCAGAGCTAAAACGATTAGTCATTTTTCATGCAAAAACATTGAATGTTTCCAGCTTCACAGGTACGAGGATTTGCTGCTTTTACTTTCAATCATTTTGGTCATTTTTATGTATTTTAGGTATGGACTGTATTGGTTGGAGAAAAAAAACATCGTGAAGGTGTCACTTCTTCGCTCTGGGTAATTGTGACAGCATTTCTTAATAAGTTTTACAAACCAAACAATCAATCCATTAATGGAGAAAATAATAAGCGGATCAATCCATAAGAAAATAATAATTTGTTGCATGATTATAAAATTATATATGATAATATATAATAGTAACAGTCACAGGACGATTTTTCCTACCTTTACTTTTAAAACTTTAAGTACATTTTCCCGATTATACGAAAGTAAAAATTTCAATGCAGCGGTATTACTTTTACTTGAGCAAAAGGTCACAAAAGGCCACTGGTCACAAATTACAAGATAAATAATGAGACAGGAGGTGATGAAAAAGAAGACAAAACAAAGAACTGCATCACACATTTGCATGAATTTTCTTCCCCTAAGCATTTTTGTGAAATGTCAGATACTTACTTCTTTGGGCCTCGAACAATTATTGAAATGAAACCACCTGAGAAGTTTAGAGGTGGAATTGCTAATAACCCAGAGACAACGACACAGGAAAAGGGGCCGCAACTAGACACTGTTTTTCTGTAAGTGGTCACAAGTCAAAAAAGGTTGGGAACCACTAGCTAACTGCTCTCTAACAATGCAGTGTATTTTATAAGCTTAATATGTTTTTTATGTAAAATCTTAATTTGTAAAGTAACGATTAACTAAAGCTGTCAGGTATGCTGCAGTAAAAAAATACAATATTTCCCTCTGGAATGTGGATAAACTAGAATAAAATGGTAATACTCTAGTAAAATAAATCTCAAATCTGTGCAGTACTTGAGTAAATATTATCAAAACCTTTCACGATTTTAAGCAGAGCTAACCGCTTCTGGCTGCACACATGAGAGTTGTATCAATCTTCTCATTCAGCCTTGGCAAGAAAGCGAATAAGTGCATTTCCCAAAATGCTGAACTATTCCTTTAAGTTGTGTGTATCCACAGTTGCTTGAAGTTGTACTTCCAAACTTTGAATGGAGACATAAAGAATCGTGAGGGCACAGAGAATATTGTAAGACATACCACCTTTATTAAATGCACAGTATCACAAGGAACATTTCCATTAATTGTGGATAAGCTACTCACATGATGCACAAAGCATTGAATTGATTGATAGATCTGGCTGATTAAAGCAGGATTAAATCTGCCAGGAGAGTGCACACACACACGCGCACACACACACTTGCATACGGATGTACGTGCAAATGCACACACACGCCGTCTCGGAGACATTAGTCACACACACACAAACACTCTTCTCTTTGTATTCACACAGTAAGTAAAATTTGTTATCTGCACAGGAATGAAAACTGTAATCTTTTTTTCTTTTGCCGTATATTTACAAAAAAATCCATACCCCCCCACCCCGAGATAGATTACATTCAAAAAAGGTCCCGACCATTCTAGATTACATTCAAAATAATATACTATTCATGATGCAAAGTCACAGTTATTCATCTGAAAGAGGATCAAAATAGGCTACAGTCAGTCAGAGGTTGAGTGGTGGGGTTTTGGGCCCAGAGGCGACCTTTGACCTCCTCGCCTTCAGCCACGTGTCTGCTGGGACAGAGATCCTGATGTTTAGATCAGATCCAGAGTCTATGTGTCCTCCTACAGACAACCAGCCTCTGTGTAAGCTCCCCATCACAGTGGAGAGGAAAGAGGAGATCATTTTTCTATTCTTTTTTTTTTCTTCAGAGAGAAAAACAAACAAACAAACACATTGTTCAAATAAAGTCCTCCTCGGATCTAAAGTTGCCAAAATAAAAAGGATTGTATTCTCACTGGTATTATGAACGAGCACAAAGAAATTATACAATGTAGCACAAAAAAAATCGTATTTACATATAGTATGTATTGCCAGTGGCCCATAACACGTTGTCTTCAATAGATGTCACACGGTTTTGACATGATACCTGCTTAAAACAGATTATACTATTAAACATAGCCTACTATTGATATAGACAAATATCAGAACTATACAGAATGGACAGCAATTTATGTACAGCAGACACATGACTATTATACAGAACTGACAAACGCTGTAATAAAAACATAGAGGAACACGGCCATTGTCATTGAGGACGATGTGTCAGAGTTCAGACTTGCTTTAGTCATGGCCAGCATAGCAAGGGTTTATTTTTTTTTGTTAAGTGCAGTTGAGGTCGAGGCGGAGAGCGTTCAGTGCTGAGCACAGCCGCTCAGGTTGTGCATTTTGGGGATAAGTAACGCTACAAAGTGCACTTAACATAACTTATTGTCTCAGCAAAGAGTCTTACTGCTTTATGCCTCCATATGGAAATACATGACGGTTATTGTGAAGAAGTAATCACTACGGTTTTTTGCAAAGATTTATACAGAAGTTTGTACTAGACGCTCGGACCACCACACTTGCTTTAATATTTAAGCCTTTTTTTAGTCTCAGATAAACAGAAGCTAATTTGGAAAATGAACTATTAGAATGCATTTTTAAACCATTTTTAAGCATTATGGTCCTCAGCCTGTACAAATGTGCTTTACCGATGCCCTGAAGTGAGGAGCTGTATCAGTCACTGCCCGGCTGACGGGGGCCACTCAGAGAAATGAAAGCACCCCTACAACATTTTAAGGACAATCAGACTCTTAATTAATTTTTTTACTCTCTTAGCCTACCATATATAAATAACAAAATAATAATATATAATAGCAAATAAATAACAAATAAACAAATAGCGACTTCAATAAATGCAAACCAAAGGGCTGAAAACAGAGAAATCCCCAATATATTGAACCAGCATCAGTGCACAGTAAACTGCATCAAAATATATCGTCAATCCCTCTTAGAAATTAAAAAAATGAAGATGACTCTCCATAAGTTCAAACCATAAACAAAATCATAACACCCACAACATTTGAAAACCTGCTTCTGGAGATGCAAACAAAACCACATCACATACAGATATGGGCCACAGAACAACAACGATTTGCTAAATGGCATTGCTGGTGAATGAAGAAATAAAAAGTCAAACAAACTGTGCTCATCCTTCTTTGGGGGGGGGGGGGGGGGGGGCAGGCAGGCACAGCTCAACACTGCTGAGTCCTCATTCTCTGTGCTTTAGATACATTAAATGAAAAAGGTCATGAAATGAGTAGAGCACTCCAACAACTTTTAAAACACCACTTTGTAAATATAGATGACCTGGTGTGATTAGTGTAGAACCTCAACAGATATTTACATAAAATATGACAAATTATTTTGACATTATTAAAAAAAAATACGGCGTAAAATGCTCTATGCCCTTGTGTTTTACAACCTCAACATTGATTTTGCAGTCCTTCAGTGGACTTCAGTAAGTTATATATAACAGACAGGCATCTATAAGAATCTATATTTTTTAAACGCGTGTGTATAATAATATACATGCGCGTTTAAAATTCAAACAAGCAAAAGTTTGACTCAAAAACCACAGATTTAAACCAACAGCTTGATATGAAAACAGAGTCAACATTTATAAATTCTATAAATATTAAAATAGTCTATGACATAAAAAAGAAAAACTTAAGCTGTAATGAGCATTTTTTTTTATCTTACTGCAGAATATGTTGCTCTGTGTGACATTGTTGAAAGAAGAGAAAGCTCTATCTACAAAGTTGTGTCCATACATTGTCCATTATGGAGACACATTATTTTCCCTTTGTTTGTTCCCAGCAAATATGGAATACAGGATAGTTAGTATTGAATGCGATGAATGTATGCAGAATAACCCAGTAAAATGTTTCTGATAATTGGCTTTCGTTTATTTTTATGCCTTTCAAATATAGGAGTGTTGATGGTTTGGATAAAGTAAATGCATTTTGGTTTCCATTTGTGAAACATGCCTCAAGAACGTCTGCGAATGGAGAAGAAATGAAAAAGCAAAACATAAATCACTCAAAATTTAAGGCTTTTCTCAATGTAATGGGGACAGGATAGCATTTACAGGAACATTTACAGCCAGGTACTGTACACAGACGCGGGCGCTCACGCAGTCCCACAGCCTTTGTTTCCTCCTCTCCTCTCCGTCTCATCATGTTCAGACAAACAGACAACCACTCGTCCATATACACCAGCTCACACACATGCACGCAAAGTACATACAAGAACACCGGCGCATCAGCCCAGTATGTCCAGGTACACGGGTGAGGCCTTGGCGAGGCTCTGGAGCATGCTGTGGATCTCCTTGATGTTCAGCCTCATGTAGGGCTCCCTCTGCCAGCAGCCCAGCATCAGGTCATACACCTCTTTAGGACAGGTGCGGGGCCGCTGCAGCACGCGGCCCTGGGTGATGCACTCAATCACCTGCAGGATACAAGGTGACAATACGTGGTCTGCTGTTTGGCTGTGGTGTTCAGATCAAAGCAACACAGCAAATTCTACCATGGATGTTGTTAATGAAATTAAACAGTAGAAGGGCTTCTACTGTTTCATTTCATCACTTCTAGTCATGCATTTTTGTATAAATAAATAAAGCAACTTGGGCTGCCCTGGTGGTTTTGGGGTTAAGGTGCTGACCATGAACCACAATGTCCCTGGTTCATGTCCAGCCAGGGACCTTTGTTGCCTTTCGTTTTCCATGTCTTTCTCAACAAATTTCTTGTCATCTCTCTGCTGTCACTGTGTGATAAAGGCAGAAAATAACCCTCTCCTAAAAAAAACTGTAAAAAACTTTTTATTTATTTATTTATTTTTCAAAAAATCTCAAGTGGAGAAACTGATCTCAAAGTCAAAAAAGTCAATACCATGTAGAAAAAATTTCTTTTTGTTTGTTAAGGATTTTCTTGCAAAAAAGTTATTAATTGCCATTCCATTTCTATTATAAAAAATATGACAAGATTCTAACATTTACCAAAATATTACATAATATATCAAACAATTTGGTACCTCAACATCGATAAAATTGGGACACTCAGAAGATTACCAGAATGGTCAAAATCGAAGCACAACGAAACTCAGATTTGGAACATAATGATATGGAAGTCCCTGAAAACTAAACAAACATGGATGCCTCCCATCAGCCACAGACAATTGTTGAATGTAAATAAACCCAAATTTAATGGATATGGTGTTGTATTGTCACTGCACAGTATCTGAACCTTACACGACCAACTCTGGAATAATACAACCGTCTTGATGACACTGCAATGACACAATCTTATGAGGTATTTCCATAGACTGTATATAAAAATACATATTTCGTAAATTTATGAAGTCATTACTAGTAAACTGACATTTAATTGTAAAATCAGTGTTCAACCAAGATATTGTTAATGGATAAAACTGATCACAAATCATCTATCATATTATAGCATGTAAATATTATGTTAGATAAGAAGAAATAAATGTTTCCAGTAACATTTACAGTCAAACATTTTTCACACGAGTTGCTCACTTTTCAAACCAAATACAATACAATAAGTACTGTTCTAGTTCTGTTAAACTTTGAATCTTGGTGTTAGTTGCAAAGCTGTCATATACCCCTGATTTCTTTAATGAACTTTCCAACTTCGAAACCTCTGCTAAAGCAAGACCATCAGGAGAAATGTCTCTGTGTTTCAGTGTCGGTCATGAACTGCAGACCTCGTGTGACTCTGACCTCATTGTTGGAGAGCTGGTACCAGGGCTGCTTGCCGTAGGTGAAGATTTCCCACAGCACCACGCCGAGGCTCCACACATCACTCTCTGTGGTGAACCGCCGGTACATGATGCTCTCTGGGGGCATCCAGCGGATTGGCAGCATTGTATGACCACCCACCTGCAGAGAAAGAGAGACACACAAGTGTGTTGATCGAAAACCAACACCACAAGGCCTGCTGAAGAGTTTAAAGCTGCTGGTTACACTGACTGTACTTCATTGGGCTAATTTTAGCCGCGCTTGTGATAGTGCACTATGGATGGCAATGTCAGTTGGTCTTTCCACCACTTTGGCCCAGACTGAAATATAAAATATTTAAACAAAGTACTGGACATATTGCCATAAAATGTGGTACAGACATTTGTGGTGTCCTGACAATGAATCCTAAAGACTTTGGTGATTCCCTGACCTCTTCTCTTCTGCCACCAGGAGGTCAACATTTGTGATAGGATTGATGTGAAATTTGCTACAAATCGTCAAGGTCCACTGAGGATGAATTATAATAACTTTGGTGACTTTTCATCTTGTGTCACCTTCAGATAAAACATTTAAATCGTCCAAGGCACTGCTTTGTTACTAAATACCTGAAAAATAAATGAGCCTCAGCTGTAGTTTTTCTTTAGTGCTAATGATAAGCAAATGCAAACACCCTAAACTAAGATGTTAAACCTGGTAAACATTATCCCTGCTAAACACCATCAAGTTAGCATTGTCCTTGTGAGTGTGTTAGCATGCTGACGTTAGCATGTAGCCTCACACAGAGTGTTGTTATTGCACAGCATTCGTTTGTAATACATTTATGACATGTTTGAACATTATATATTAAAACAAATTATGTCTTGTCAATAGCACAATTGAAATAACATTCAACTGCCAATTAATAAGATACAGCTAGCTAAAACAAATGCAGTCTATTACAGCCATCCAGCAATAAATGCTACCTTATGAAAGTTATATACAGATAGTATATAAAACTGTGCTGCATTATACAGAGAGGTGTTTCTGTTATTTAGCCCACCTCCACTGATTTAGATAGGGTGGATAAAATTACAGAAACACCTGCCAGTGTAACACAATACAGTTCAACAGCACAAAAAAGTACATCCTCCAAAATGACCATACAATTGAATCAACACCTCTCTAAAACATTATAACCTTCACGAAGGCTGGATTTATTGCAGGACTATTGTATTAGACTGCATTAGTTTCAGCTTGGTGTACCTTATATACTGGTAACTGAGTGTACTTTTTAGAGTGAGCAATTAAGTTTAGTCTCACTGGCATTCCCAAAACACTCCTGTAATTCCTTAATAACCTTTTATCCAGCCAATGTCTCCCTGTCTTCTTCCATCAGTTATTTCCTGTCTACTAAATGCATTTCCCTCTCTCCCTGTCACCCCTATAATCACCTTTACTGTACTTCCATCCTTTCATGTTCACTACCTCACTGACATAATATTCAAGCCAGCATCACAGTTTATACCACATATTGCATCTTAAGAGGCTCAAACGAACAAATGGACAACTGTGTGCCCTAACAGTGAAACTGTTGCACAATACTACAAGAATCTGTTTACCTGAAAGAAAAATAACCACTTTTAGAAAGTTGTTGAAGCATAAATATATGATACAAACAAAGGGGCACAATGTAATTCTATATAGTTTTGTTCTATGCAGTAATATTAATTTTTACTGATTTATCTTATTTATTGCGACAGCATTGTAGCAGATCTGACAGCCATTGATTGTTAGCTTTGTTCATCCTTTTTCTTTCTATCTGTTAAAACAACAAGCAACTGCATCCTGGAGATGATGTTTTATGTGTGTTTAGATTTCTGATTCCACTTCGGGCAGCAGAGGGCACTGTGGGATTCATGCTGGGATCTGAGACACAAAAGATTTGGGAATAAAATACTACATCCATCTGTTCCTCAACATGACAAATTTGTATTTTTTTTATTGGCCTGTATTGTAATAGTGTAATTTTCTCACAACCGCCAGTAGGTCTACCATGTACTGTAACTTCTCTATGACTTAGTATGATGCCGTTCATGTGGAGTGAATGGAAGTATTAACTCATTGCCCAGGGAAAAAGAAAAACTGCCGATGCATTTTTGCACTGTTGGCCCTTATTACCATGGAAACAGTAATTTTATGCAGATTATAGAATTTGCATTTAAATGGTATTAAAAATAGATAAAATACCTCTGGTAAAAATTGTCATTTCTGCAGCTACAGTTATTTCAGGCAAAAACTGGAATAAAATTCTAATTACATATTTGAGACTGTGCGTATGTGGCTACATTTCCATATTTCGGTGTGTCTATCAAAGGGAAAGGGTTATGTGTGTGTGTTTGTGAGTCTGGGAGCCAAGATGAGGTGAGAAAAGAGGAAAATAATGAAAAATACTTTGGACTCACTCTGTAGTAGTCTGTGCTGTAAACGTCTCTGGACATGCCAAAGTCCCCTATCTTGACCAGCAGGTTTTCTCCTACCAGGCAGTTCCTGGTTGCCAAGTCTCTGTGGACAAAGTGCTGGGAGGCCAGGTAGACCATGCCAGCAGCAATCTGTTGGGCAATGTGCAGCATCTGGGACTGGGTGAGCTCCACCAGGATACTGTGCTGACCGTCTGCCATCAGCACTGCATCAGGACCATGGGACCTGCACCCAGAACCACTTCATCAGAATTAAATCAATCAAACCCCTGGATAATTATTTTAAATACATATGATGCATGTAACTTGCAGCAGACTTACTAACAACCAAAGTACCCTATTGCTAGGGGTGGGCGATAAGAATAAAATTTTGTACGATTATTATTTTATACATTCCATTAAGAAATTCTTTACAGCTGAAATAAATGGAAATTAGCAATTAGTAGATTTATTGATTCAGTTTAATTGATTGACTCAGTTTATCATCATTTCATATAAGACTAAAGAAACTGCCAAATATTCATGTTTGACTCACCATTGACCTTTGCTTTAAAAATGACTTTAATGGATTATCAAAATTGTTGATTAAGATTAATTTCCTGTTGATCAACTAATTTATTATTCAACTTATACCTTTAGCTGTAGATTAGTTGTGTAGCCCTTAAATTATTTATATTACATGTCATAACCACATGAGAATGTCTGTTGTTGGCAGATCCAGTGAATTTCCATAATGCAGGCCTACTCACTGATTTGCAACACTGCTTCAGTGGTAACAGATAGCTATCTCAGTATCACATCTAGCCTGGCTCGATCCAAAGGTGACAAAATCTGCCTGCCAGCACCTCCAAAGCTAACATGCTAAATCTCGTTTGTTTACCCCGTGTGTAAAAATGACAAGTTGTGGTTTTATGGTGGACAGTTTTTGTATGAATTTAACAAACAAGACATAAAGTGTTAATTATTTAGCTTTATTTATGAGCTAGTAGACGGTTTGTTTTTCTTAATCTCTGAACAGAGGCAAGCCTTCAACACATGTCAGTATTCTTAGAAGTCAAAATGATCATACCTGAGGAACTTGTTTAGGTCACCATGTTTCATGTATTCAAACACCATGATGAGCGGGTCGCTCTCTACACACACCCCGTAGAAGGTGACGATGTGTTCATGTTGCAGGTTGGTGAGAAGCTCTGCCTCTCGGTAGAAGTCTGCTCGGCCACTCTCGTTGGCCTCTTTCAGAGTCTGAAGAAAAGCCAAGACGCAAAAACAAGGGAACCATGGTTGGTGGTCATTATCTACAAGAACATAGATCTAGTCAATAGAATTTACTAACTGAATGACATGTGCATAGATTATTTGAGCGAACTCCTTCCTGACCTTGACTGCCACATGGAGCTTCTCCTGGTCTGGTGTCAGGTTGTAGCACTCAGCAAGAAACACTTTCCCAAAGGCTCCCTCTCCCAGCTCCCGCTTCAGTACAATGTTGTGTCTCTTGATGTGCTGGACAACTTGAATGCAGAGAAGGATCTTTTTTTAGTGGGAATACAGGTGTATGGAAAATGTTTGTTGTCTTTCCTGGGATTTTTAGTCAGGAATATATCACTTATGCATGTCAAATTAGTTTAGGCCTCCATCAAAAGAATATTTTCATTATTAATTTGGAAATAAATGAGTCTATAAAATACCTGAAAATTGTAACAATCTCTTACAGCACAAGATCATGTCTTCAGATTGCATGATTTGTCTGATGAACAGTCCAAAACTAAACAATACACAATGTACAATAAAATAAAATGTACAAGAGCAGCAAATCTACACATTTGAAAATGTTTGCTCGATAAATGACAATTATCAGAATTGTTGTTCAGTCAGTCGACGAATCGATTCAGCTCTAAATAAAAAATCTGCAATAAGTTTATAGACTAAACCACGACCAGAAGCATGGTTTTCTGCGAAAGAAACACATTCAGGTTGATTCTGCTGAGGGGAACCTCCTGTAAACAAGCTTGTGTCTCTGAACATCATCTACAGACTAACTGTCCAGCTGCCCCACAGAGCAGGAGTCGCTATCACAATGAAGCCGGATGCTGACAATAAATGGCGTCCGGCAGTGACCCCTGCATGGATTTATCAGAAAAGGTCCAGGTTACCAGTCATTTAGCGAGCGAAGCAGTAACTCACACGTGTCAGATTTCAGCATGCTGCCGGAGTTGCGGAAGTACTGTGGGTTTTCAATGACAGGAATCTTTGTCATCCCAATGATCACTGCGTCTGGACCCATCTCAGAGGATGATGGGGTGTTGTTGCCATTGGAGACGTGATGAAGAGGGCTGGCAGAGTCATCGTCATTACTGATGACTGAGGAGGAGCCTAGGGAGCCACAGACGAGGAGGTGGAGAGGAAATACAAGCAGGAGGAGAGTGAAGGGTAAAGATGATAGGTCAAGAAAGGAAAGAAGAATTGTGGTCAGGAAGAGGAAGAGGACGGTTGGAGGGAGAAAGCAGATATAAGGACTTGTTAATACAAGTTGTACATAATGGCAAAAAGATATCAGAGGGCAGATGCCATCCAAATCAATATGAGAGCATGTCCTCAGACCAAAGTAGGACTAACAAATTCCTATGGTCATTTTTACACTGATACAGTGGAAACTGAAATGAGCTTCGTGTCAACTGTAACACTTTATAACACCACCTTTAGCAGTTATAAGTATAGTAATAGCACACTATAATGTAGTACTCAGATAAAAGGATATAAGTGGAAGTTACTGTCTAATTTTACCCCTCTTATGAAGCATCCATACCTGTATAAGCGGTTGATAAATACTATAGCACAGTTTAATTATATATAATGATGTTGATGAGTTTCCACCTGCCTGTGAATGATTTGTACATGTGTATAAACAGTTAATAAATGCTTTAAAACACACTGTACAGATTTGTTTATGTGTATTGACAAATCTAAAAAAAGAAAAACTTGTATTCAACGAAATAATCCAAGCTTTAAAATGTTCTTGTCTTAAACTATAACACGCTACATTATAGTGCGTCGTAAACCATTTATTATCTGTTTGTTGTCAAATAAAGCTCAACTGAGTGATCATAGAAGAAGCAACAGTTCTACAAAATTTAGGGAAATACGCCTTTTTCTCTTTCTTGCCAAGAGTCAGAGGAGAAGATCAATACCTCTCGTGTCTACGCTAAGGATGATGCTGTGAATAGGTGTATTTCCCAAAATGGCAAACTATTCCTTCAAGAAAATGAATTCACCTTTAAGACCAAACTTGGAGTTTCTTCCATATTTTAGAATTATCACCATCAGAACGCAGCCAGTCAAGGCAACTCCTGCAATTCCCACAACTACATAAACCTGGGAAGACAAAAAAAAAAGATTGCTTAAAACATAACTGTCAACAAAAACATCAGTGGTTCCCAATGTGAGGAGAAGTCATGAGATTATTTACAGGATCTGAGAGCAGAAAAAAATCATACTTATGTTACATAAAATTCTGTTAACTTCTACAAATCAAGAAAAATAAATCTATTGTTGGTTAAACAGGAAAACCCATTAGACTTAACAGGTAAATGTTTGTTTTAAAGGGCCACAAGCCAAAAGTCTGGGAGCCACAGCTTTAAATGGTCAGAACAGATGAGGATGACTTACTGCAACACTGTCGTCCAGAGGAGGGAGTGGTGAGTCTGAAAAAAAGTCAAAATGCTTATCAGAACATTTATAACAATTTTAGCAATTATTAAGTACAAGCAATTAATTTAGTCATGCTGACTGATGAGTGTCGTGTTATAAAGTGCATAACCCTGAGTCAGGGGTGGAATGTCACTTAATGCATCACTAATGTGTTGTGTCAGTTATTTTAACTTTTGGTACTACTGTGGTTTTGCTACTTTTACTTAAGTAAAAGCTCTGAGTACTTCTTCCACCACTAATCTGAGCCCTCTAAGAGTTCAAACACCTACCAGTAGTGTCTGGGCAGAAGCAAGATGCAGGCACGGGCCATAGGAGGAGAAACAGATGGACATCATGGAAGAGTTAATTTTAAACTGTTTAGAGTTGTTACCAAGCAAGTATAACCATTGTTGGTTTTATAAAGTTTAGTCATTACTTACAGTAGTAAAAGGGGTCTTCTGCTAAAAAGACAAAAAACATCTCTGTGTTAGCAGTTCTAAACAAATAAAAGTAGCCTCAGAAATGAACTGACTTCTCACTGAATGAACGCCTGTAAAAAAGAGTGTGCTCACACCTGTATGGTCGATGTCAGGCGGGTCGATGAACTGGGCAGAGACCTTCTTCTCGTCCTGGCCGTACTTGTTCTTTGCCACCAGCCTGTACATGCCATTGTGGATATGCGTAGGGTTGACCAGCTGCAGGCAGCCGTGGTACTCGCTCTCGGTGGACACGTGGATCATGGTGCGGATGTAGTCCTGCTCTTGGAGAGGCACGTTCTCGTGGTACCACTGCAGCTCAGGCTTGGGGTTCCCTGTCACGCTGAAGGGGATGCACCAGTGGTGGTCCCGCTCTGGCCCCAGCAGCTGCTGGATGGTGGGGGCAACTGACACGGAGGCAACAGTAGAGGAAAAGTAATAACGGGATGACAGGAAAATCAACACCAGGTGTAAAAGCCAGTAGGAAAAGCAACATTTATGGGCTTAGAAAGGAGATGCAGTTGAGGGAGGAGAAGAGAGACACGCAACATTTGTACACTGACATCAGGAAAACGTGGAAGAAATGAGAATGAGGAGAAATGTGGCACTAAACAAGCAGAGGAGTATGGTAAGGCATGAGGAGCTTTACAGGAGGAAGAGTTATGGACAGGAGACATGGAGAGTCAATAAGATTTGCCAAGAGAGTAATGATTAACAAACTGAGGAGCCTTGTGCTTGCACAGGAAATAACAAGGTCTAGAAGAAGGCATTTAAAAGATCATGAGAGGAAATTAGATGTATGTTATAGTTGGTTTACATTTACAGTCAGTGGTAATAGAAACGTGAGCTTCCTTACAGAGAATATTGAGCTGAAGGGTGGCCTCTTTCTGACCGACCATGTTCTCAGCGCTGCATATGATCACCCTGCCATTATCATCAGGAGACAGATCTGACAAGGTGAGGCTGCTCTCCATTTCCGAGGGTTCAATCTGTAAACACACTCAGCATTATTATTTGCATTATATGTCCTATGCTACTGCTTAAGCACTTCTGGTTAGATGCAATCTGCATTTCGTACCTAGTGACACGCTGAATGGACAATAAAGTTGAATCTAATCTAATGCATGTAAAATTGGTGTGATTCTACAATTTACTTGTCACCTAGTAGAAACATCTGCGTTTTTAATAGTTTTTGATAACAATGGAGCTCTACGAGAAGAAGAATAAGCTACACAGATTTTTAGTAGGATCAGTTCTGTCTATTTACATTGGATTGATGATGGCATAAAACAATAGAATAACACCAAACACACGTTCCAACTATACATCTCTAACAAGACCTTCATCCCATCACAGAGTTAGTGTGGTGGATTTAGCTTAGAAATTTTGTACAACAATGTGTAATGACTGTGGTTGGGTCTAGATATGTACATTTAGGCTCAGAAATTTTATAAAGGCCAGTGTTGGCTCACACGGCCCGGCTGCTGAGTGAACTCCTGTTAGGGACACAAAGAGATTGTTTTTGCCAACCAAACAAGAATTGTGCAAAGTAGCATTGCTTGTGGTCAAAGCCAGGAAAAAGGCAGTTATTAATGAGAGTTGTCAAAAACGCAGATGTTTCGCTTGAGAAACCTTCAGATTAGTGTGAACAATTTCCAGGATATGGCCGCAGTGACCAGCTTTGACCGATGTTTGGCTGGGCAAGATAGAACAAATATCAAGATTTCAAAAGAATGTGTACTGTGTTCTTAAGAATTTGACGCAGTCATGAGTTTATGTCAGGGTGAGTCCAGTGTGAGAACAGGTTGAGGACCCAAACGCAGGAGCAGGTTCAGTTCAGTGATTTATTTAAACTAAAGGCGAGCACACTGGAGTGGAGTCCAAAACTAATCCAAAGTGTAGAAGTGAGTCCAAAAGTAACCAAAATCCAGAACACAAGAAAAACACTATGAAGGTCCACGCAAAGGCTGGGTTTCAGGCAGAACACGAGGCAGGAGCAAATAAACACACTAGACAAAGGCAACAAAACAACCGCTTCAATGAGCCAACGCTGACTGAACAGAACACAGACATTAAATACTAAGGCAAACGAACAGGGCGGAAACATAAAACAGGTGAATCACATCAAGGTAAAAAACAGAACAGGAAGCAAAACTAGACACAGACGGCAAACGCAAACAACCTTCAGATTAAAACAGGAATCAAGGTAAGACACTGACATATGGAGTTAACAGACAGGGCACTCATAGACAAACTGTAACTTGATGGGAGACAAACACCTGAACATACAAAGATCAAAATGCAGAACAAATGAGGACACTGTCAAAACAGGCTGGTGGACTAAAACCAGAACAAACGACAACAGACCAGGATGAATGAAACAGAACCCAGAATACATGAAAGATCTAAATGGAAAGCAAGAAATTAGTTAGCAGATCTAAGAACTAAGACGCAGAACTGAAACACAGAACCAGGACTACACACTAAGACATAAACTACAACATGAGGACATGAGAGGAGCAGGGACAGTGAAAACAGAACTAGACCAAACATAATCAAGGCTGAACCGTAGAAATACAAGACATGAAACCAAAACCCCCAAAATAAGAAACAAAACCTCAAAACTATGACAGTTTAAACATATACAGTACTGTGCAGATGTTTTAGGCAAGTGTGGAAAATTGCGGTCAAAAATAGACCTGTTAATAAGATTATGTTACAAAATGCAAAGTGAGTGAACAGAAGAAAAGTTTAAATCAAATCAATATTTGGTGTGACCACCTTTGCCTTCAAGACAGCTTCAGTTTTTCTAGGTACACTTGCAAAAGTCAGGGATTTTGTAGGCATAGAGTCAGGTGTATGATTAAACAATAATATGGAACAGGTGCTAGTGATGACTAATTCAATGTGTAGGTTGAAACACAATCATTAACTGAAACAGAAAAAGCTGTGAGGAATACAACGGCATGAGGAACAGCCAAACTCAGCTAACATGGCGAGGTTACTGAAGACAGTCATAAACCACGGCAAGACTGAGAACAGCAACACAACACAAGGTAGTTATACTGCATCAGCAAGGTCTCTCCCAGGCAGAAATTTTAAGGCAGACATGGTTTTCCAGATGTGCTGTCCAAGCTTATTTAAAGAAGCACATAAAATGTGCAACGTTGAAGACCATAAACGCAGTGGTCCTCTGAAGAAGAAGAAGACTTACTGCTGCAGATGAAAGACATATCATGATTGTCCCTTCACAATTGGAAGCTGTCCAGCAATGCCATCAGCAAGAACTACAGAAAACAGTGGGACCCTGGTACACCCATCGACTGTCTGGGGAAGTCTAGGCAGAAGTAGCCTTCATGGGAGATTTGCGACCAAAAAGCCATACCTCCGACATGGAAACAAGGCCACACGACTCAGCTATGCACAGAAACATAGGAACTGGGGTGCAGAAAAATGGCAGCAGAATATTTGGCTGCAGCAGAAGGCAGGTTGTTGGCCAAAGGGCAGGAGAGTGGTAGAAGAATAAGTGTCTTCAGGCAACAGTGAAGCATGGTGGAGGTTACTAGCAAGTTTGGGGTGGAGTTAGGGATTTGGTCAGAATTAATGGTCTTGTCAATGCTGGCAGATGCATATCACGCAATACCATCAGGGAGGCATCTAATTGGACTCAAATTTATTCTGCAGCATGATAATGACCCCAAACATAGAGCAAAAATCATGATGATGATAGGGTCCTCATCTCAACATCCTCAAATCTGTCTGGGATTACACAAAGAGAGAGAAGCAACTGAGGCTGCCTAAATCCACAGAAGGACTGTGGGTAATTCTCCAAGATGTTTGGGCCAGCCTACCTGCTTCAGTCAAAAACTATGTGCAAGTGTACCAAAAAGAATTTATGCTGTTTTGAAGGCAAAGGGTGGTCACACCAAATATTGATGTGATTAAAACTTTTCCTATGGTCAGTCACTTTGCATTTTGCTAAGTGATAAATTAATCTATTTCTATAAAGGAAAGGGAGTCTTTGGTGGAATAAAGAGCTGATTGAAAGGCTTTGCCAGGACACTGGGCGTTTAGCCCAGTTCAAGCCAAACAACCTAGATAACACCTTTGAGACACTCTTAGAATTAAGTGATGTGAGTGTGTTCGGACAACTCCTCTGTAAAGTAGAGTTCAGTTTTTCCTGTGTCTGCCACCAGGAGGGACCCTTGTCTACCTATATGACATGTCTTGCATTTTTACATCTCTGATACTTTTTATATTCTAGCATATTCAACAAAATAGCTGCAAATTATTTCAGTCTTCAGCAAATTCATTTTTCATCTTGAGCTGGGAAGCCTCATGAGTTAAGCGACCACATTAGCTTTAAAACTTGAACTCATCTCATAAGTAATATTTTCAACCATAGGCATCCCATTTCCCAAGATTTCTCATGTTTTCTGCTACACTCACAGAGAAAAACCTTTGAAATATCAGGAGCCCAAAGTGCTGGACCTGTACCAAAGGTTTAAACTGGAAAACTGTGTGGTAGACCGGCTCACCTTGTGGTGGGTAGAGAGCAAATCAAGGTTCCAGAGGATCTCAGGAGGAGGGGAGCCTGAGGCGTTGCAAACAGCTTTGACATCACTCCCCTGCATCTCAGTCACAGTTCTTGGGGTGACCTCTACTTCGGGAACCACTACGAGAAATCAGCAGTAAAATAAACAGCAGAACTAAACACCTGACCGGGACTTTACATAGATTTCTGTCACTGTTTCAATCTCTCTTTTCTGTCTCCATCAAGTGATCATCTCTCTGACGGTTCAATATCCATTTCTTATTTTAATATGGTGTCACATTACCGCAGTCAGGTGGACTGAGTTTGTCAAAGGTCGTTGTCAATCCTCTGTTGTCTTTGCATTTCAGCTTTTTATTGTCAGATTCTTCTAGCCTCAGTTTGATCCAAAAGTTCTCACAAACACAATCCAGAGGGTTTCCATACAAGAGGAGCCTAGAAAATAAAAACACAGGACATCAGAAACTCATCATCTTTGGTTGCACCTATGTACTGACAATTGTATGGACATGTGATGCTTACGGGTATGTTGTGTTAAAGTTCTGAAATGTTCTCCATGACAACGTTGATATGTTATTGTCTCTGAGATTTCTAAAAGGGAATAAAAAACAACAATTGAAATTCTGACAAGGGTACTCATGTATACATCATTGAAATAACTAAAGAGCGTCTTACACATATTGAAGTCTTGTATTGTTGAAAAATGCGTCTGATGATATAGATGTCAGACTTGTTTTTATCACTGTTCTGTTGGAAGTTGCAATGTAGAGTTATCAGGTAATCCACAACGTTTGTGTGTTAGCAAACTATATTGTGATTCTGTGTAAAACACTGAAAACATGCTGTATGATACTTACAGGTTTCTGAGGTTTACGTAGAGCTTCAGACTGTTGTCATTGATCTCAAACAGCCTGTTTTGATTAGTAATGTATCTGTGGTATTAAAGAAAAACTAGTTACTACACAGATTCTCAGCAAAATCATGCACTCATGTAATGAAATGTTTGAAGCCATGAAAGTCACACTGGTCTATCTATACTAAATTATCTTGATCTGAACTAGCATGTTTGTGTGTGTGTGTGTTATGTTCTACAATGTCACAATGTGAAACCGTGTTTGTGTTTTATGAAGCTAGCTTTTGTTTTTTTTTTCATTTTAGACACAGTCAGCTAACTTTTATATAAACTACCCACACAGCTGTCATATTCCTTCACTGAGGGAATTTGGTCTGCAGCACATTTGATTGTCAATATAATGTCACCCAGTACAACAGCATGTACACTGGCAGTATGTTGTTCATAAACTTATATCTATTTACTGGACATACAGACACAATGTAGGGTTATCGTCCATCTTTGCAACAGTTGATCTTGATTGATTAAACAACTTGTCTTGATTAAAAAGATCAGAACAATCAATTTCTTTAACTAAACTACTTAATGACATTGATTTTCCGGGGCATAATACTCCAAACCAGGCATTTTATGAAATATTTTAAGGTGAAGTCATTTTGTTCCTATATTAATTGGAGGTACATCATTGAAGAGTTTGAGTAATGGATTAAACGTGATTATATTTAATGTCTGAAATGATCTTTTCTGAAGTAAACAAGCCTTTCAGCAAAGACTAACAACTTAGATTCAGTTGTTGTCTAGTGTTACCCTGCATGGGTTTAAAAACCTGTGATTCCATTCGAGAATGACTATAGATTGTGCAGTTTTGGTGGTGGGGAGACACTTTCGTTTAGATGTGGATTTTACCTTCAACAACACAAAGCCGTAACACATTACAAGTTAAAGTAGCTCGGGCCAGTACTGCTTCAGGAGTTTTGTCTCTATTCCCAAGTATTACAACTGGGGCACAGGATTTTTTTTAATTCATGGTTACATTTTTATATGGTGCAGCTGAGAAGCCCAATAGTCTTCATTGATGTTTTCTTTTTTTAATATTACATTATATATATATACTGAATTTAATTGGTGAAAGCTGCACATTTTACCAACTAAGCTGTTGCAAGACTTGTAGCTATAATTTGCTAAATGAAGAAAATAATAATCACGTTTTTATCCCACTACAGCAGAGGCCTTGTAAACTACATCCATGATGGGTATGTGACACCTAGTCCCAGTCTGTCTGCCTCAGAAAACTCCAGTGGGTGCCATGCAGTTGTATACTTGTGCAGGGTTGTAGCAGGTACACTCCTACACACTGACGCAGATAAGGCTGCATAACTATCGCCGGCTGTATACAACTGATGTGATCTCATGTGTAATCTGGCAACAATGTGGCAATTTTGAAATATTGAGACATTTTCACACCGACGCCCAAAAGCCGAATTAACAGTTTGGAGGCTGCATCAGGCCTAAACATTTACTCCATCACTACCTCTGGAGCTGTTTTGTAAAGGGAACACCGACTAATCCAAATAAGCCTGACGCGCACTCTCACCACCATTACGCATATACACACACCGTCGTCGTTAGTGGCACGCGCATCCCCCATCTCCGCCACACATACACACTCGCGCGCGCACACACACATACTAGGCTACATGGTCTTACAAACGCATTGGTTATAAGAATAAAATCACAATTTTTTTGCTTGACATTGAGTGCAGAAGACAGACCGCTATTGATCTTTCATCCACAAGGGGAAATAATATCAGGCCTGCTGTTATTAATATTGCTGTTGATATTATTAAGACTACCTGTATTATTATTATTAAAATAATTCTAGCCCTTGGGTATTATTGCGACCCAGGATCGAAGGTAGTTCTTTACGCATTGCATTCTAATAAGTTCATACGCTGTCTGCACGATTATTTTCATACACTTACATCTCGGTGATGTTTTCCATGTCATCTAACGTGAGGACAGGGAAATCCTCGATCCCTGGAACAGAATCATTACAAACAATCCTTGAGGTGCTGCAAGTGCAGGATGGTGTGCAAGCATCGCTAAATCTCCACAGCCCCATCAAAACCAAAAACAATCCAAGACGAGCCATGCCATATTCCCCCGCGCTGGAGTCCATCGCAGGTCCAATGATATCCCACGTATCCAACCAAACAGAATCTGGTCAAATTGAATAATTGTTCAGATTTCCTCCCTCGCCGCTTTTATCTGGCCAAGTTAATCCTTTCGACTCCGCAGAAGAAAAAAAAGACTACGCCGTCGGTGAGGAATGCGCAGAGCCCACGGTTTTAATATCAAGATGCCATGGACTGGCCTTCCCTTCTCCGCAGAGCTGGTATCACACTACTGCATATCGATGTCGTGAAGCAAGGTGTCAAGTGGTCCGTCCTGGTGCTGCTGTCTCACTCCTCTATCTCGGGCACAGGCTGTTCGCCTTTGCCTTGTAAAACAAATATGAGGTGTTCCAGATGTTTAGAGATCAGTAGACAGGGCCCCCACGAGCGATTTCTCTTATGTGTGGTGATGGGGAGGAAATTAAGAGACACTGCACAGTGGAGTAAGGATGTGTGGTGATGCTGCGTGTGTAGGGAGGAAGGCTACCTGCATGCGTCTATCGATTATCGCCGAGGACGAGCGCATCTCCCCCAGCCATCACCGGGATTGGGTTTACAGGAGAGATGGTTGCGATCATGCCCTGGGGATGTATTTCTGGCAAGTTGTATTTATAGGATTTTGTTTGAGAAATTACTATTTTGCTCAAAACCTGAAACATCAGATGCTGCAGTCTCATTAGGCTGCACATGTGGCCAGCTGTGGGTCAAAGGCCCAACAACAGTATGGACGTAAACTCTTGTGTTGTAGTTACTCTGAAGCCGTGCACTGGAAGAAAGCAGCGCTTTTTTCCCCACTTCAACACTGTTGTACGGTTGGCCATTAGGCCTATAGTGTGACGTACAGTTGACGCACAAGACAGGGTGCATCTATGAAAAATAATTACCTATACTATGTCTGCAAGCTTCAAATGCCTCTAACTCCAATCCAATGGTCAGTGTAGGCTACTAATAATTGGTCAAACAACAAAACATTTGCTGTATATATTTTTAAATGCTTCCTGCCAAAGAGGGTTTTGTCAGAAATATTTGTTTTTTCTATTTATTTTGGCACACATGACACATGAATCTGAATCTAAATTACAACCCAGTGTTAGAATTGTTTTGGTAGCACTAGAAGAGACAGACTATGGACTATTTTTATTTTAAGTTTGAGAAACCCTGACCTATTAAATACATTTGAATTTGTCAACAATATTTAGGGACTGCCCTGCAAGTATTGCACTGGTTTTGGTGTCCACCCACTATTAATAATACTTTTTTTTTCTTTAATGTCCCAAACTGAGCAAGTGAAATGTTATACAAATCCTCTGAGAGTTACTGTACAGTGCTAAACATCAAAGTGATAATGTGTTTCAAAATAATCCTGTTTACCAGTGGATTCCTAAATTTCACTCATAATGAGGAGGCATACTCCACTAGGACACATGATCTATGACACAGCCTGCATGGTTAGTGTCGCTATGGTGACTTGCTTTTTACAAATAGCGCTGACAATGTCAAGTGTCGCTATGGTTGCAGATGAAAATATGTACGCAGGCTTTTTTTTCATGAGAAACATCAAGAACTGAATTATATCTGTCTCCATGGTAACCTCAGAGTATAGGAGAGGGAAGAGAGCTCTTTATTTTGCAATACATCCTTGCCTATATCTGAAGGAGCATGACAACACTACAAGAAAAAAGGATGTTTAAATTGATCAAGTATGCACATATTTCAGGCTCCTGATTTGCAATAAATGGGCAGTGAGGGGGGTGGCTCCAGCTGCTGATGTGGGATTAAGAAGTCTCATTGTGTGGTATTTTCATTTTAGCACTGCAAAAAAACCAAAGTGAATGTAGTTGCACTGAGTAGTAGTAAGTAGTTTTGTGCATCTATGTGTTTGTGTTTATGCACACAAATATTAGTGTTTTTGTGGAATTAGTCTTAAGGTTTAACCTCTGGTACAGATATATATATAGATATGATATATATCAGATCCAATAGGATATATAATTATGATAATCAGCTCTCAATGCTACTTCTTTGGAAGATAATTAGATGATCAAATTGGGTGGTTTCCTGTGAAACATCATTTTGAACTTTGCAGAAACCAGCACCAGCAGAAAGAGGAAAGATCAGCTGTGGATGAGTTGTTTTACAGCTCTGAGACGTTCGGCGTGTTAGACCAAGAGGTCCTCCTCCTCTTGTACACTTAGTTTGGCGCCACATCAGCATCATCCAACACAGCAACTCCTTCATCTCTGCTCTTACCTCCTCGCGGACCAGCTGGTGGCAGACTTGTCTTGAACCTTGCATGCAGTGATGTAGCTGTGACTCAGCCCACTGATCTACATCCTTAACTATCCACTGTCTATGGATTACCAGGACAGTGCACACTGTTACACTCCTATCTCATATCTGACATAGGAGTACAAACAGTAGTTCTGTTTCAGACACAAATGTTATTTATTTCAGACCAAACTGCAAGACCAGTATGCAGTATATCTAAAATAGTCATCAAAAACAAGACTCAACTTGCCTTTTATCAACCTCTAGCTTGAATACTGTGAGGATGAAATAAACCTGGTGGTAGGACAGGTTGAGCACTGAGTTGGTGTCGGTGGTTAAGTACTGGAGAACGTCCAAGTAATTTTTATAATTTGAGATTCATGTTTAGTTTCTGATAACAAGATTGTCTTGACCTGGCGTATCACTGTTTCCCACATGCACAATAAGGATGAGTAAAAAAATCCATTTCAACCTACTTTTGCTGATGTGTTTTTCCGCTCTTCCATTACTTTCCTCAGTTCCTTCTCTGTGAAGATAAAATAAGTTATCAGACCTCATTTTATTCAACTAAACTGTATATACATATATGTACTGCAGGCAAGACATCTAAATATAATTCAATGTCTCATAATTTTATGCCATCATTTTGTTTCTATCAGAACAAAGTAGTAAACCTCAGCAGCATAAATGAGGGGTGCTGCGTCTGCTGTCCTTTGACAAATCTGCAATTTTTTGTTCTCATTGCATTCATACATGAGCTTTCATGGGAATCTTTGGGAATGGGAAACCCTTTAGAAGTTCCTCAAGGACTCCTGCATGTGCAGCAAGTGCAGCAGTGATTTATGCATCCAGGTGCAACCCCTTGTGGTTCTCACTGAAATACCATGTGCATCCTGCTGGGGATAAACATGAGTATGGGTTGGGAGAAACTGCTAAATACTGCAGTTGCACTGAATGTGGGGCTGCAGCTAATGGTTATTGTCATTATCAGTTGATCAACTTATTATATTTTTAACTTAAGAAATTATAAATGAAAAAATAATAGATAATATAATAGAGAAATAATGCATGTACATATTTCTCAGAGTACAAGATGACATCTTCAAATGTCATGTGTTGTCATACCGGCAGTCCATAACCCAAACATATTCAGTTTTGAATTATATAAATCATTCAGATCAATCATTTCAGCTTTAATTGGGTGTTTTTTGTACCCCTGTACAAAAATACAATTGTAATTTATGACCCACAAATGGAGAAAAAAAAGATTGTTTCCAAAACAACATTTTTAATTACAAACCAACAAGCCTAGAAGTCCTTAGAGACAGTAAGCATCTCAGTGGATGAGATAGTCCCAAAATAAGGAACATGGAACAAGTCCAAAATCAAGCTAATTTAGCATACACAATGATATCTTTGATATGTTATATATTCAAATGAATTACGAACTGATGAACTAATCTGACAACCATTATTCAGGACTATAAAACCCTGCAAGCTGTGGTTCTTATATGTGAGCGTCTGCCGGAGGAGGCGGGGTTGTAGTTCAGCCTGAGAGGAAGCGTTGCCTGTGAGCCTTAAACCGGGACAATTATTCCCTATCAAGTCAGGGAGTTTGATAAATTGTTCTGCGTGGCCATACGGGCACATAGAGTCCTTTCTGTTGATTCAATGTGTCTTAGCCCCGCCCGCCCGCGCTGAATTGATAAAGCTTATGTAACAAACCGCCGTGTGAGCGTGGACGAGCTCATCCACAGTGTCTTCTCTCCATGCTGAAAACGGGCAAACGTTTCTGATCGAGGAAACCGTGGACGAGCGCAGTGAAAGTGGTTTTGCTGCAGGTTTGTTTTCCTTAACTTAGTCCGGGTATAATAACGTCGCGTCATTTAACATGCTTGCTAGCTGTGGTTCATGTAATTATATTTCACCGCTGACGTTACAGGATAGCTGGATTCTTCCGCTGGGCTCTTGCTATTTCTCCTCGCTAGTGAATGTTGTACAGTCGCAACGTGGACACCGTCGCTGGTAGACACGCCTAGCAAAACACAGACAGCAGCTGGCTAGCTTAGCAGGGCTGTTAGCTTAGTAAAGTAATGTCAATTTAGCCACATCGCAGATAACGTTAATCCAGCTATCTCCTGTTTGCAGACAAACAGACACGTTTTCCTATTTAAGTGTATGGAATTGCGCAGTTTCCTTTTATGTGCAGTTTATTCGTGTAGCTGTGTTTGATTTAGTTGGACATAGAAGGGTATAAGAAGTTGCAGTGCGTGATTAGCTTTCTCCACATATGGCTAATTTGTTCCGGATGGCACAAATGCACCTGTGAACGTGTTTTCTGGAGAACCTTTCATGCATGGAGGTAGCTGCGGGTGCTCTTGGAAAAACCCACGGTTAGTTAAAATGGGCGCTGCTAAAACCCAAACTATGTAGGCGTTGACCAGCATCTCCATGTAACTTAGCAAGGCCTCAGAGCAGGAGTGATGCTTGGCAGAAGTTCAACCTGCCTTTGCTGTATTCAGCTTTGCATCAGTGGGCAGTGTATGTAGGTGGACTGCATGCGTTCAGTATAACGTTACTATATTTACAACCTTCATGCTGCTGCGTGCAGTCTTGCTTGTGATTTCACATTATTTAACTTCTGTCACACACATATCACTTGTCAGCAATTAGAATTAATTAAAATTTCATCTTTAATTTTTTAAGCAAGTTGTTGATCAGAATAACAATCTGCTACTACTTTGATGATCAATTCATTGTCTGTTGGTTACAAAACAAGACATTTGAATATGTCGCTTGTTTTCTGATGTATGAAAACAAACAAATTCCAGAAAAGGATTGGCAGATTAATTGATGATAAACAGAATTCTTAGTTGCAGCACAATTCAGAATATTTGATTAGATCTATCTTTGCATGAACAATATGTAGCCAGGCTGATGTATTATTGCCCCCCCCCCCCCCAACCCCTCTTTTTAGCAGATCCAGGGAGAGGAGCCTGTTTGCATTCCAGTGCAGGTGCAAGACAATGGAGGTGAAAATCGAAGAGCAGGACGAAGACAACACATTCAGCAGCACTGACGCTAATGGTACAATCATACACGCCTTTCATTTTAACTGTAAACCACATGAATGCAGTCATGCATTAATTGGACAATGAACTGAGCCTGTCTTGAAATACAGCATGTAGATATACCGGCTAATTAGTTTACTCAAGGGAGGATAAAAAACCTGAACATTTCTGGCTGGCACTACATAGCATGTGGACATGTCAGATGGTTGGGAGATTCTCCTGTCCAAGATACTGCTGTTCTGTGGGCCCTGAGCAGATCTGACCGTGTTTTAATCCAGGAAGGGTACTTTGTGGCTCTGGACATAATCCAGAATACAGTTGGCTGCTGAATGAAACTCATTCTTGGGGTGGAACATACTGTAGACCTAGTACTCGCCATGTATTTATATTTTTGTCACTTGAATTAAATTCAGTGGCTGTGATTAGTAATGATAATTTGGTTTCCTAAATATTACAGTGGCATAGTCCTAAATTTTATTTTTTTATTTTATTCCATGTGTAGATTTTCTGTGATTGTAGAAGACTGTAGCAAGGTTTTGTTTTTAGAAAAGTAAGAAAATCAAATAAGTTTATATACTACCATATTTGGGTGCTGACGTTGTAAATGATCAAATTCTACAGAGTGGTGTTAAAGTTATTATCCAGGATCTCTGTTGTAACTGATGAGCAACTTGTGCAGAATGACTGCCTGGCTCAGATTTGAACTGGATTGTCTTCCCTCTCAGGTAAACGGCCAGCTGAGGACATGGACGAGGAGCAGGCCTTCAAACGTTCTCGCAACGCAGACGAGATGGTGGAGCTGCGTGTGCTGCTTCAGAGCAAAGTAAACATCCATAGAAACAATGGGCTGCATTAGTGGCGGGGCCGCTCCTTTATTTTATTTATTTTTTTGTCCTGTATTTTTCTAAGGAAAACCTTCTTTTTCTTCACAGAATGCTGGTGCTGTTATTGGAAAGGGTGGAAAGAATATAAAAGCCCTACGTACAGACGTGAGTAAAAACGGATAAAAATGCTGCTAACGTTTCTGCAGCTGAGGAGAAAATGTAGTTGGCTGATTTAAATTTAAAGGACCCCAACTTAAATTCCAATTTATTCAAACTTCCTATTCAATTAATTACCATAGAAACTTCTTCCCAGCTGATTTTAATCATTTGACATCAAGAATTGACATGCACTGTTGGTCAAAGATCACTTCTCCATACTAGTGAAACCATGTTGGCTCTTGTGGACAGACAAGGAAGGCCTCGTTAGGCAGATGTGTTGGGTTTTGCTTCCTGTCTTGACTTGATACCAGTTCCCCTCACAGAATTGAAGCCGTTGCCCTTGATGTGACAACAGGTGCCTGAAAGCCTGAGTGGATATATTTATTTCAGGGATGTTAATCTCTGTATGCTCCAGACTGTTTTTTTTTTTTTTATATTTTTTTATGAATAATTATCCTTTGATGAGGTTGCACTTCCTGTTCTTCTTCACTCACCACAGTTTCAAGTCTCTCATTTCACTTTTGGGTCAAATTATAGCTTGTATTCAATTAAAAATGTATTCCTTCTCCCCCTCTTCCCTTCTCCTTTTACTTTTTTGCTTTTATTTTTGGCCACCTTCCTCCGTTGCCCATGTACTGGATCGACATGCCCCTCCTGCGTTGCCCACCTTGACGTTGGCCCAACCTCCGCCCACCCCTGAACGCCCGCCCACCTGACACTTCCGGTTGGCCCCCGCCCATAAACCGTGCCCCTCCTTAAACGGGCACCTAACTTGACATCTTGTGATTGAATGCCCCTGCCCAATGCCAACCTCCTCCACCACAACCACCACCACAACCACCACCACCAACTCGGCCCATGCAGTACAATGCCAGTGTATCAGTCCCAGACAGCAGTGGCCCAGAGCGGTATGTCCCACCAGTTATTGCCTCACTGCCTGATTAGAACAGTGAAACACATGTCTTTGATAACCTGCCTTCTGTTTCATTTTAACATTTTTATATACATGACAGTATACTCCACCTCCCCCAAACACCCCCCTCCTCCACTTGTAAGAGACGTGTATTGTTCCCTTTTGATTTTTCTGTCCATTTTAAGCATCTCCGTTGAGTTGGACTTTTTGTCATTGCAGTTTATTGTCCATGCAGAGAATCACTGACAACCCACTACCAAGTAGTTGGTATTTAATGGTTAGCAACACGGCAGTTTGATGTTGTTTTTCCTTGCTGTGATGTTTAATTTTACCATGAAACTTGTGGAAAGCAGAAATCTTTTTCTCGCTCTGTCCTCTTTGGCCCACCTGGCCCCCTTACATCCGACCCCCTCCTTCCTCCAACCCCTCCCCCTCTGTTTTCAGCATCACTGTCCATGATTTCTGAGAGGGCACTGGCTCTTGTCTGGAGGTTCCGTCCCCCACACTCACTCATTAATGTCGTCTCTTTATTTGATTGTGCTACATCACTTCTGTTAAATTTCTCTCAGGCCACATCAGATCAGAGCTGCCTGTCAAACCTTTCATAGCCTCCCAACCCCTCCACCCCTGCTCCTGTCCTGTGCCACGAAGTAGTTGGTAACAACTCACATTTCCTCCCCTACCCCTCTGCTCTGTTACTCTCTCTGTTACTCTTTTCTACTGCCCACCTCGTCTCTTCCTCACCTCAGCCCCAAGACCCCTCCTCCCCACCTCTCCCCTCTTCCCCAACCCCTGGTCACAATGAAAAGGTGTGCTGGTGGTGCAATTGTCATGGCAAGCTATTGTCTCAGTTTGATACGTTCCATTTCCCCAACTTGCTGGTGGTGGGATGGTAATAGAAGATCTCTCTCTTTCTCTCACCCCCTCCTCCCCCAACCCTGTGTGGCCAGTCTCACGTTAATTTGAGTCGTTCTGAAGCTTTCCATCCGCCCAAGGCTTCTCTTACTTTGAATATAATGTTAGACTGAATGCATGTCAGCTGCTTATTGAATCAGTCTAGTGTCGGGGGAAAAGTTATAATATGTAGCAGTGTTCATTTTTCCTTTTGTAAGTTTGTCCGTTAGTATTTGCTGGACTGCTTCTCGTGTATTTTTATTTATTTAGTTTTTTGGTTATCAGATTTTGCTTTGCGTTCTACTTTTTGTCCCCCTTGTAATGCCTTACTTCCTTTTGGCCAAAATGGTTCCTGATAGGATCTTGAGTGTGAATGCCAGCATCGACACTATTGGAGACATTCTGCTTAGAATCATACCAACTCTAGAGGAGGTAAGCCACCATGTTAATGACCTTGTTAATTATGTCTACATCAACAGAGTCCAGGATGATTGATGACATTGTTTTGTTTTTTTCCCCAGGCCAATACAGATTATTAGTAACCAATTAGACTGATGACCGATATTTGGAACTGATATACATATGCTGTAAAATTTTTGATTTTGGTGTCAAAAATTGGAATAACGCAAACTCCAGCACAAATCTTTGTTAAAAATAACTAAACTAAAATTGTCATGTTTATTTTTTGTAAGTAGTAAATTAAATGAATTTCAGATCGATCCCAGAGATGGACTTGTTAATTATGAGTGATAAGTTATCATAAACTTTGTCTTTGCCTGCTGCCTTTGTATTTATTTTATATTGTTAGGATTTTATTGATACATTTGTTGATACTATTTATTGGTTCTGTTTATCTATACTCTTATTGGTTTTTCATTACTAAATAAATAATTTCCTTTTAAAAATGTACAATAAATTCAGAACAGTAATCAAATTTAACTGTTTTCAGAGCAGCCACAAAAGTAAAGTTTACAGCAGCAAAGTCACTGTATAAAATCAGTGTCTCACTGGAAACAAAAGGAACATGTAATATAAACTATATTCCTGACATCAAAATAGAATAGAGTGAAGTTTAGAATGAAGACATCATTATCAGTCAGTCGTTTGTCCTCATGTCCTCCTCCCTCTGCTGCTGGTAGAGAGGTACGTAGCATCTCAGCTAAACAGGCTACAGACAGAGAGGTTTTGTTTTAGCTTGTTTATAACTAGCCATTAGCTGAGCTAGCACATGTGTTTGTGTAAAACCAGAACACAGCTGCGATGGATGAGAAAGCAGATTAAAATATTGCTCCGTACACGTTCCTGCTTGTTGTACTGATGCAGTATCAGCCTTTTACTACTACTGCTTGTTTTGCAGTGCTTACTTAAAGTAACGAGCGTAGTTATGAGTAAACTGGTGTAATCTAAACTGATCTGCTCCTCATTTCGCTCAGTGTTTGCAAGCTCTGCTGAGAGGCTACTTGTGCACAATAGTCAGTGTTGAAAGGCTGTTACTCACGACTTGTTACCTATCAGCTAGTACAGTGGGCGGGACGTTGTACTCACCCCTCTGTGGGCTTGAGCAGACAGAAGCGGCTGCATCAGAGCCAAAGGAGCGCATTTTTTATTAATTATGTCGGCTATCTGTTTTTAAAATGACCGATGCAGATTATTGGAAAAATTATCGTCCAGACCAATTATTGGTCGACCCCTAGTTAATGTGCTCTTGATTAGGAATATGGAATCAACTTGAACATGTACTACAAAGATCTGTTGGATTAGCATTAATAGAGCATATAAACACACAGACATCTACCAAATCTTATCACTTTAATTTCAAAATCCAACAACGAAAAGGCTATGAAAACTGTCACCAGACAACCCCTGGAAAAGTTTTTAATGATTGAATGAGGAAAGAAAATTCCAATTTATTCTGACATCACATGATCAGTCACTGCTCACCGCTATGTGGCCGACACCCTCTGTCGGCACTTGTGCTAAATCATATGTGAGCTCCTCTATTTTGTCCTAATTTCTCTTCTCTTCTTACTTCTAACACACCAGATGACTACTACTTTTTTTCCTCCATAAGTTTTCAACGTAGTGGCGAAAGGCACTCTGTAGAGTAGTTTGTCTGTTCAGACTACTGTAGAAACATGGAGGCGCAACATGGCAACTTTCATGTAAGGGGACCCGCATTGTCTTTAGATAGATAGAAAAACATAACTGTTCATTATGTAAGGTCTTTATACACCAGTGAAAACATAGTTATGGATATTATATATTTCACTTGTGTCAGTAAATCCTCCTAAATATTACACACGGAACCTTTAAAGGTTCCCTGTGAAGCAGGGCACACGAGGACATGAGGGAGGCAAAATTTACATGCTCCCTTTTGGTTTTGCACTATACTATCCATTGACAGTTGGTGGCAATAATGCACCAACAAACACATCAATGTGTCAACTGCTAGTTATTCAAACTATTCAGTCAAATCTTGGCTTCTTTACTGAGCTCAGTCTTTGACACCACTGCTCTTTTAAACAAGTACAGTTTGTGTGTTTTTGGCAAATGCTGTCATGATTTATTGAGTTTATCTTGTGAAATAATTTTGAGACAAATTCAACAGCAATTTGAGTGCCAATTATTTGGCGTCTTTGTAGGTCTGTCAGTTACCCTGGGCTGCTTTTAAAAACATGTCTTCTATAACTGTTACAGGCTTATTATTTTTCTTCTATTTAATATTAGTGGTGTAAGAATGAACTAATCTGAAATGATTTCCAACCAGTTCTTTTAAAACCAGACTACAGTGATTCAAATCATCAAAATTTACATTTTTGTGTATTGATGATTTAAAACTTAAATCCCACTACATGTTAAACTGTAAAATGGAAATCATTTGTCATTGGCAACATAGACAGAAATACTAATCAACAATGGGAAGAGTTTCAGGCCCTACTGACTCTTATCTGATATTTCTTTGTATTTCTGTAGTACCAGCATTACAGTGGGATTGATTTTGACAGTGAGCTTCGCCTGCTTATCCATCAGAGCTTGGCAGGAGGCATCATCGGTGTAAAAGGTGCCAAGATAAAGGAGCTAAGAGAGGTAGGAAAGAGTCCAGGTTAGCAGGAGCCCTGCCATTATGCTCTAGTGTGCACCAGTAGTTGGCCTAGAGATGAGGTGGTGGTGTTGTTATTATTACCTGTATTTTGTGAGTTGCAGTAGCAATAATGGCACTACATACATGTATAAAATAGTACTTTATTTTTTATTTTTTTTACTACTTTCATTGTCTAGTTCAGTAGCAAAGCAATCCAAAAGTGAATTTGATTGTCTGGAATATAAGTGTTTAATGTGTGTGTGCACCAGAATACCCAGACCACCATCAAGTTGTTCCAAGAGTGCTGTCCACACTCCACTGACAGAGTTGTCTTGGTGGGAGGAAAGCCAGAACGGGTCATTGAATGTATAAAAGTTATTCTGGAGTTGGTGTCAGAGGTGAGTTTACATCTGAGATCTGTTGAAATCCTTAACATACTTTATACAGTCATGCGTTTCATCTCCTGCTAATGTGAGGATAGTTGTATGACTGGAGGATAAAGTTACTGAAAAGTCAAGAGAGTTGCGTGAAATGTAAGTTTGGGTGCTTTTACAGCTAATTTCAACAGTTATTTCAGAACAGAGCTGTCTTATCTTTCATCTTGCAGGCACCAATCAAAGGTCGTGCCCAGCCTTATGACCCTAATTTCTACGATGAGACATACGACTATGGTGGTTTCACGATGTTATTCGAGGAGAGAGGAAGACGACCCATTGGTGGCTTCCCCATTCGTGTGCGTGGGGGCTTTGAGCGCATGCCCCCCATTCGTGGCAATAGACCCATGCCTCCCTCCAGAAGGGAGTACGACGACATGAGCCCCCGTCGGGGTCCTCCACCACCGCTGAGCAGAGGTGGACGAGGGGGCAGCCGAGCACGAAACCTGCCTCTTCCCCCACCGCCGCCGCCAAGAGGAGGGTGAGGAGTGGCCCTCCCAATGTGGGTGTTTTCACACCTAACCTGTTTGGTTCATTAAAGTGAAAGTTTGCCCAAAGTGGTTTGGTTCATTCTGGCTGGTGTGAAAGCTGCTAAAGAGGAGGGTCTCAGTCTGCCTTCCAAGCAGACTGGTGTGGTTTGTTGGGCAGTCTGAAAGCAACAGTAGAAAGGTGATTTTTAGCATAAATTCAAAAGCTTAACTTCTATTAAATCCGTCTACTGATCACAAACTGCAGATGGACTCGCTGAACAAATATACAGATCATTTACTGATCAATTGAACAATAGCCATGGATCATGGTTTTCGACTAGTTGTTAAATTATAAAAAAAATCAAATAGTTTATGCAACTATCATTTTGTATTGAGAAATATATTTTCCTTTTAGTAATGCGTTACTACCGTGTGTGTGTGTGTGTAGCACCTTCGAAGAATGGTTGAATAATCACCATGTCAGTGATAAAGTAAAAAGGAGTTGAACTTGTATCCAACTAATGTATTTTCCCAGTGATGTAGTGCTCACAGAGTAATTATCCTCCTGTAAGATGCGTAAAGATGAACCAGACCATATCTAAAAGCCAACAATGTTTTTATTTTCCTTATCTGGACCAAATGAACCAAACTACAGGTGTGATAACACCATTAGATGCCAATTTGTTTAGATATTTATATTTTATTTTATTTTATTCAACACACTTTCCCTTGTCTGTAATTGTTTGCAGGGGAGACAGGTTCTCACATGGCAGCTATCATGGCAGCATGGACGACAGACCAAGGTGAGTATGGAGCAGGATTGTCAATGATACAATTTCTCTCTAAAGCAGAGTGATGGATATCACTGAAAGTTGCTTAGTAGCAGAATGTCAACCCACCATCCCTGATTCAGAGTCTGATCACAAGTCCTCAATATAGTCTGCATGTCCTTTCACACTCACAGCTCTCTAAATGCCAATCTAACAGTGAGGACCTGCTTGATACCGTAATGTCAAGTGTCCTCTAGAGTAGAGAAACTATAATAATGCTTATCTTTTTGTCTGTAGTGACAGAAGAGGCCGAGGTGGAGACCGTTACGACAGCATGGTGAGTCTGTGCACAGGTGCTGCTGTAATGCTAGGCTGCATGTTTGTAGCTTCCAAGCTGTGTGCAGTAGGTGAATTATTTTACAGATGAGGCGACTAGGATTCCTTTGTTTGAGTGTTGTACAAGCACGGAGGCATGGACACTGCTGCTTTTTCACAGTGTACGCACACTGATCTAGGCCTGTTGTTGCCTGGCAACAGTTGTCTCCTTGGTTACCACAGAGCAGCTGAGTACGTAGCCCAGAGATCCGCCAGGCTAGCAAATGAACTTGAGCTGAAACCAAAGCGATTCCTGAACACGTTCCCTTTTAGGTTCTAGCTACAAGCACGTTGTTTCAACCAGAAGGCAAAAACAGCTGCTTGGGGGGGGGGGGGAACAAACATTTTATCAAATAAATACCAATAGTGCTCATGTTTTAAAAACCTTAACAGAAATGTTTTTATTTATTATGCCCCATCTCAAATGAAGACTGCTCTATTAACAATAGTCAGTGACTTTATGGGGTTATGGCAAATGTCCTATGCATTTAAATTTCCTAAATGTGAGCAATTGATTCATTATCATGAACCATTTCTATCTTCTAACATCCCAGGTTGTTTCTCAATTATTTTGAGAAAAGGTCAAGTACTGAATAAGTTTAAATATTTTGACCCAGTTTCAAGCTTCTTGGAGTCCAAATGTCTGCGTTTCCTCCCCTGTGACTGCTTTCAATGTAGAAAATGGCTCAGTGACACATCTTCCTTTTCCAAGCCTTATCTTTGCATCATACATGTACCATTTATTTATCGCATCTGCTTCCCCACCCCATGATGTTACTTAAGATTAAAAAAAATGTTTAGAGCCCCTCTTCTTCCCATTGTATTTGCACTTCACTACTTATCAGTTGACATTTAATCTATTTTTGACTGTGAATCAAACAAAATATCCCACCTTTTTAATAGTTAGCATATTTACAGTACAAACTTTGTCAATGAGCTATGCAAAAAAGCTAAAACAAAATAATCATTCATTAATCGTAATGAAGGACAAACGTTCGGTTAATTGTGATTTTGATTGTAGGTAATCTCGTTCAGCCCTACAAAAATACACTCAGTGGCCAATTTAATAGATAGATACACCGGGGTGGGACTCCCCTTTGGTGGCATGGGTTCCACAAGGTGCTGGAAACACTCTAGAGTTTCTGATCAATGTTGACTTGATTGCATTACACAGTTGTTGCAGATTTGGCAGCTGTACATTTAGTGCTTCAAATCTCCCTTTCCACCACATCTTGAACGTGCTCGGCGATGTGTATCCAGTCTTCTAGGGCGGCTGTGGCTCAGGAGGAAGAGCGGGTTGGCCGTTAATCGGAAGGTCGGTTCAATCCCTGGCTCCCCCTGGTTGCGTGTCGAAGTGTCCTTGGGCAAGATACTGAACCCCGATCGGCTATTCCGCCAGTGTATGAATGAGTGTGAATGCTAGTTTCTGTTTGAGCACTTAGGCTCACTGTATGAATGTGTATGACTGGTGAATGCAGATGTAGTGTAAAAGAGTTTGAGTGGTCGAAAAGACTAGAAAGGCGCTATACAAGTACGGAGCATTTACATTTACATTCTACTTTCCACTACTCCAGTTAACAAAACCCTTGCAGAATTAAATTGTAAAATGTTAAACTTAGACACCAGATTTTGCATTAAAACAAAATGCAGACCTAACAGTCTGCCAGTGCCAGCAGTGCTTGAAGTGGCCAGTACCTGAGTTTGGTACCGTGACTTTTTAGCCAGTTTGAATGGGCCTGATGCAGCTGATAAAATGCATAATAGTATTGTTATCTATAATTGACTGGTTCAATGCAAAACTTTGCCAGTAGAGAAGATGCTAGATCATCAGCCTGTACAAGCACAGACTGAGTTAATATTCACTTATCTCATTCAATAAATATTGTTTGTTTCTCTCATTCTGTTCTGTAGACTGACAGATGGAGCAAACTGAAGAAGGTTTGTAGTGGGAGTACTGTATGAGGTGCTAGTCAAAGTAATGTTACATTAACCTTACAATCATCTTAATAAATTGCCATGTTTTTTTACTCTAATTGAAATGGTCGTCCCCCTGGTTAAGCAACAGTAACATCTTCTATTATCATTCAAAATGTAATACCTATTGTTTTTCTGACACCGACCGACACACACACCGCACCATGTGAAAAAGGGGAGTACTAGTCGTTGGTTTTTTTCTCATTTCAAGTACTGGTCAAAGCTGCAGAAGCTTTTCCTGTCCTTACCTATAGATGGCACACACAAACATGTCTAAATCTGCATTTCTAAACTGCTGCAACTGCTGCCAATCGTGCGCTTGCCAATAAGACTGAGCATGTTGGACTTGAACTGCAGGTCTAACTGCTGACGCTTTTACCTACTTTGTATGAATGATGAGTATGTGAGAGAGCGAGTAAGGTTGTTTGTCCCATGTCCCTTTTTGTTATTGTGCTTTAAAGGGGTCATTTAATTCATCGTCACATTATCAACATTAAATAATTGTTGAACAGGTTGTATCCTTTCATTGCTGTGCCATAATTAATATTTCCAGAAAGATCTTGACAAATTTAGATTTGTTTCAGTGGCCTGCAGGCCTCAGATTCAAACCAGTAATGTAAACCTTTCAGATGAAGTAGAATGGGATATTTGAAGCATGAATGTCACTGAAAAATGTGCAGGGACTGCTTAATGCTATGGAATCAGCACAGACTCCGATCCTAGTGGAACATTTGAAGCACTTTGCTGAAGCCGTGCCTTAGGTAATCCTGACTGTTCTGGATACAAAAATGATCGTACCCGGTAGTGGCCAGCGTTTAATATGAGGAATGGATACAGAGTGCATGGATTATTATTGTGCAGAAAACATGTAAAGGTTGTGCTAGCATACTGTCATTATTGTGTCATTAAAAGAGTTTTATGCTTGTCTTTTTTCTTTCCTCCAATTGATCCTGAAATGCAGAGTGGAGGCGGATATGGTGAGTGCTGACGTATGTAAATCCAGCACATATTTACAATTATTTAATCAAAGGAAAATCATGCGTTCTGCACCATTAACTATGACCTCACTGCTTAAAGATATAATTTAATTAACACCTCTGGGACAGTGTATTGGATTGCATTCGACTATACATGTGTACCTAGCAAAGTGGGAAATCTAAACCAGTAAATGTTAAAGTTTAATGTTTAACAACTAATTACACCCTTTTTGGCAGAGTGACTTCCTGGTTAAATTTTGGCTTACTGTACTATTGCATAATCTGTGCATGTACATAGTTAGTTATACTACATAATGAATGATTATATCACACATTTCAATGTTGCAATGTTACCCCTTTTTTTTTTAATACATGTTGTACATGACTGACTTGACTTAAACTAAGATATGTTTAAAATAATTTCATTCAAGAATGAACTCATGCTCAGTTGTTTAAGCCCCGTCTGGTTAACTGATCACTCATGCTTTGTGACATTTAAACTAAGTTGTTCAGCTGTGACTACAGGTTTTGACATTTCTCCACATCCCAGGAAGCACAACAATGAATACATTCCTTTTAACATTAACATTTGTTAGAGCACATAAAAACACATTTGTCTTGTGACATTTGCTGTATTTCCTGTTTACTATCTCACTGCCTCTTGTCTTTGTCCCTGTGGTGTACTTTAATTTTTCACTTTGTTGTTTCCTTTCCAATGTTTTTCAAAGACAACAATTCTTCCTGGGAGCACTTTCAGTCTGGTGAGTGGTGATGGATGATTACTATTGTCCCAGCGTAATGTTTCCTAACCTAAAGGGATTGTTTCTTCTTGTTGCATGTTTTAGTTAATGACAAATTCACCTTAAATGTTCTTTCTCACCACCTGCCGTAGGTGGTAGAGGCTCATACAGTGATATTGGAGGCCCAGTCATCACAACACAAGTCACCATCCCAAAAGATGTAAGTGAGACATCTATCCACTCTCACATGACTCTAGCAGCAAAGAATGACGGAAAAGACATTTCACTCCTAAATCTGTTTTCAATTGGCCCATGTGGTTGTTTTGCAGCTGGCTGGCTCCATCATCGGTAAGGGTGGCCAGAGGATCAAGCAGATCCGCCATGAGTCTGGGGCATCCATCAAGATTGATGAACCACTAGAGGGCTCTGAGGACCGCATCATCACCATCACAGGAACACAGGACCAGATCCAGAACGCACAGTACCTGCTGCAGAACAGGCATGTGCTCCTGTGATTTCCTCAAAACTCAAAATCACCTATTTGGAGCAGTGCGGTCTCCTCTGATGGCCTGTTTACTCAGCTCCGCTCTACTCCACTCATGCACCACTGCATGGAAGTAAACAGTTTTTGAGTAAACTTTGACTTAACTTTATTGTCCCCAGGTAAATTTGTGTTGCAGCCTGGTGACTCAAAGACAGACTTAATAATAAAATGCATAAAACATATAATTACGGTAGTTTGTTGACCAAACTTTGCTGTTGTGTTAATTGCACTATACACTAAATGCTGTGTTTATTATTATTATTATTATTATTATTATTATACTACTACTACTACTACGTACTTAGTTTTTGAACCAGAAGTTGTCCAAGATCATTAACACCAGGACGGTGTCTTGAGCTGAAACAAGTGTCATTGATTAACAATTATTCTTATCTGTTATTTTGAAAATCAGTCATTTTAAATAATCTTTTAAGCATAAAAGGCAAACTTTTCAGATCTTCTGCTTTTTGCTGTTTTCACATTATAGTGTCTTTGAGTTCACACTTCGAAGACCTCACCTACTATATATTACAATGTTAGATTGTTAAAACGATACATTTAATATGTAAGTAGCATTGTATGCAATATTTTACTACTTTGGCTCCCAAACAGTTAAATGAAACCATCTGAGAAGTTTAGAGGGGAAATTACTTTTGGTGGAACTGAAAAACAACTCCGACATCTGAAACTGCATCGTATTTTGTATGTAAAAGTAACTGTAACTTGGATAAGTCGTGGATTAAAAAGTACAATGTATCCCCATTTAGCATAAAATGGAAATAATCAAGTAGGAGTACCTCAAAATTGTACTGAAGTGTTCAGCACTGGAGTAAATGCCCTTATTTATTCTCCACCCCTGTCCTAACTGTAGCCCATATAGTTGTAAAGACTAGCTCCACATTGACGACAACACATTTTAACAACAGTGCCTATACATTAATGCACCAATAAAATTCAAATATTATACTGTATGTATGATAAATATAACACACTAAGTTGGGCAGATTTGCATAATGAGTACTTGCTTTTGATACTTTAATTCCATGTTTCTGATAATACTTTGTGCTTTATAAAGCACACAAATTTATACAGCCGTATAAAAACACTCGAGTACAAGTCCTGCATTCAATCTTAAGTAAAATATCTCAATATGTCTTTGACCACTATGTATGAGAGAAATTAATTAAAGCTCCGAAACACAAAAAAAATAAATAATTGCTTAATTGGCCTTGAACATACTTGAGTGCGCAATCACGCATTTGTGGTTGAATGTGAACAGTTGAGGTTATTTTCTTACATGGGTATTATATCTTGAAGAGCTTTTCAGTTCACAGACCCCCCACCCCCCATCACTAAATGGCTAAGCTGGTCTCAGCAGTCATACTGCTTCTTGGAGAAAATTTATTTTCAGCCTTGACCGTGGCATACTTTTTATTACTTACAATTGTGCTCCACATGAAAAATGTCTTGCAGTTTGCAGTATCCAGTCATTTACGGCTCCTGAGCCATGTCATGGTCCTGTTCAAATAAATATTCTTAATGTTATGATGAAATGTCCTTACCTTTTTATCTGTCTCTTATTTCAGTGTGAGGCAGTACTCTGGTCGGTTCTTCTAGGAAGAAGGAAATGAAGAAAATTTGAAGCCATGCTGCCATACTGTTTGCTCCTTCTATTCAGAGCCTACATTCCTTTGCTTTGGGTAGATGTGCCCCCTCCCCTCACTATCACACACTACACCATCTGTCTATAAATCAGTTTTTAAAAAAGTTTTAAAAAATATCTTAAGCTGTCAAACAGCAACCAAGGAGTAAACAACATGTTTCTGTGCTGGTGTAATTATTTTTTGGAGATTCTTGTGCAGTCATTGGAGTAAACTCATCTGTGTGATAACTTTTGGTGTTATGAGCCACCCCATTTCAGTACAGCATGCAGAATGTATCTTTTTGTTAGGAACATTATGTGATTTAAAGTTTATTTTTGCTTTTGTTTTTCCCCTCACATGTTTAAGTGCACTCTTCAAATGAAGTTGCATAGTCTTGGAATGGTTAAAGAACCATTAAATAAACTTTAGTTTACATTTTACACAACATTCAACATCTTCTTCCACTGTCAAATGAAGTGCTTATTTGTAAGATGGGCTTTAATGGAGTAGTTTGACAAGCTTATTCGTGTCCTGGTGTAAAGTTAGATGAGAAGATCAATACCACTGTTACGTCTTTTAAATCTGAAACTGCAGCCAGTTAGCTTAGCATAAAGACTGTGGGGGGGCTAGACTTGCAAAAACTACCACATCTATAGCTCACTAATTAACACTTTATTTGTCATTTCTTTAATCCTGTACAAAAAGCAAATTGTTTAAAGGTCAATTTATTGTTTTAGGGTTGTTATGTAATGCCTCTTGCCTGGCAACTGCTCCTAACCAAGAAATGGTTTAAGACAACCCCATGTGAAATGAGTTGTTGTTGTTTTTATCTTTTTTTTTTTGTAGGAATTAAACAAACAAGATTTAACATTAATTAGTGGGCTTTCAAGGTGCTGGTACTGCAGGTGGACTTTAACACAAGCAAGCTAGTTGTTTGCCCATTTACAGTCTTTGTGCTAAGCTAACCGGCTGCTAGCATAGTTATTGCTAGCTTCATGAGTAATGGGCAGATACAAGTGGCATTAATCCTATCATTAACTCTCTGCCAGAAATTTAATGAACATATTTTCAAAAATGTCGTTCTTTTGCTTTAAGTAGGGATAAATATGCCAGTGTGATATTGGGGGGGAGACAATTTTAAGATTTTATTTTTATTTTTTGGTTGAAAGACAAAGGGTTGTATGAAGTGTGTGTGTGTGTGTATGTTATATAACATAGAAACAGTAACTTAACTGTTGTGATTTCATGAGTGTTTAGATAGGCCCAGAATACTTTCTACTTTATTGGAAGGAGATGGTGCCATAAGACATGTTTGGTAATATTTTTTTTTCTTCCCCTCTCTATCTGTTAACGTGATTTATTTTCTACCACTCACCGTGATGGACTCGCTGTAATGCAGCCTTAATATCTGATCTGTTAGATGCATTCACTCTTGCTTGTTTTCATTTTTTTTTTTTTTTTTTTTAGTGAAAGGATCTTTAGGCTATTTGAGATGCAGTTTGAGAAGAGGAGCGTACAGCTTTGTGAGTCCATGAGTGGTGTCTTCTGTCCAGTCATATCTGTAACGTTACCTCTGTGTCTGATATCTATAGAACCTGCAGGTGTTGAAGAAATAAAAAGTCTGTATTACAGTTCGCAAAGTGTTTGTTCTGCTTTATTTCGACAGCGGATTGATCTAGTTACTTTTTTTAATGCTTTCCAGTGAAGGTGAAGTGTTTCAGGCTGTTGCTCTAACTGCCACATGCATCCGTAGTTCAGTACAAAACACCGGAAATCTGTTCCCATAATGTAATAGTCAAAGCCAAGCCTACATGATTTCCCGTCAGACCACAGCCTCCCGTCACATGGTACACTTGGTTTTTACCAGGAGGGGACAGGACAAACACAACGCAGAGGAAGATAACACTGAGATTCACCTATAACTGTGATATAAACGTGGCGTTAGTCATTTGTGGTTTGCTTTTGTAGCGCTATGAAGTGAAACTCCGCCATATTCATCCCACCACGCCCGCCTCGGCTAACGGGTAACTAGCTATTTCACGTCTATCTAAAGTTGTTGCGCGAATTAAACTTCTTCACAGGAGAGGAACAAGGTAATAAAATCAGCCTTGACAGTAACGTCTTTACTTACTTACATTAACATTGTTTAACCTTGTTTTCAGCTCAATAAAAAAACTGTTTTGGCGTACGCAGTGGGTATTGTGGAGGGGTTAAAAAAAAAATTGACTTTAGTATGCTCGGGGCATTTTTTTCTTGTATAACAAACATTATGTATGTTATGTATGTGTCTTTGTCTTGGAAGGTGTCGTCCAGGAGTAATGATTCTGAGCTCCGTGGGGGCTTGCTGCCTCAGTCCAGAGACCAAAGAGGCTCGCAGAATCAACGATGAGATTGAGAGGCAGCTCCGCCGGGACAAGAGAGATTCCCGACGAGAATACAAGCTCCTTCTGCTCGGTAAGGATCAAACAATACAGTACTGCTCTTGTAACACTTGTATGGTAGACTATAAATAATGGTGGAAGAAGTATTTAGATTTAACTGTTACTTGAGTAAAAGCAGCAATATCCTACTAAAAAACCAAACTAATATGTAAAACTAAAAACAATAACAATATGTACTTAAAAGAAGGCTGCTTGTTATGCAGAATGACCCCTTTCAGAGTTAACATATATCATTGTATATTCGTCATGTATTGTTGCTGCAACGATTAATCGATTATCTGATGGAAAGAAAACTTTCTTTTAAATATTGATTAGTTGTTTCAGGCATTTTTCAAGCAAAAAGCTCAAACATTTAGGGCTCCAGCTTCTTAAATGTAAAGATTTGCTGCCTGTCATTTATGATAGTAAATGAATATTCTTTGGTTTTTGACTGTTGGTTGGACAAATGAAGTAATCTGAAGACTTAACTATGGGCTTTGGGAAATTATGAAGAGCATTTTTCACTTTTTTTGACATTTTATAGACTTAATGATTAATAGTGAAAATAATCCGCAGTGTTATCGATAATGAAAATAATAGATAGTCGCAGTGCTAATTATTATTGATGCAGATAAAGAATATAGTGGATAAAAAGTACAATGTATCCCTCTAAAAAGTTGTGGAGTAGAAGTATAATATATCATAAAATTGAAATACTCAAGTAAAGTACAAGTACATCAAAATTTGATTAATGTTCTGCACTGGACTTTACCACTGTAACAGTATGGATGTTAAGATTAGCTCCACAGTGACGAGATAGATTCATTAATGCTTACACATTAATGCACATATAATATTCCAATAATATACTGTATGATAAGTATAACATTCTGAATAAGTAAAAGTACATAAGTATTAGCAGCAAAATGAACTTAAAGAATCAAAAGTACTCATTATGCAAAACAGACCTAAGTAAGATTAAGAATTCAGGACTTTTACTTGTAATTGAGTGTTTTAATACTGCTGTATTGCTACTTTTACTTTACACTAAGTATGATAGAAATTAATCAAAGCTTCTCACAAAAAAATTGACATTCAAATCCTTAACTTAATTGGCCTTGAAATTACTTGAATGCATAATGATGCTTTTGTGGTTGAATATGAAAAGTTAATGTGCACTGTAAAAGTGCTGCAGCTGTGTCTGGTAACAGTACAGCCCACCACAGAAAACTCTACAGAAAAATTACAGTGTGTAGTAAAGTATTGTTGTAATTATAATCAGGAGTGAAAGAAGGGTTCAGATTCCTTTCTTTAATGGGACACCACAATGTAGAAATACTCAATTATAAGTAAATGCAGTCAAAATCCCACTTAAGTCAAAGTACAGAGGTATTATCAGCTAAATGTACTTAAAAATGAACTGTCATATAAATGTAGTGGAGTAAAAGTACAATATTTTTCTCTCGCAAAGTAATGTTGTAAAAGTAAAAAGAGATATGCAAGTAAAGCACAAGCACCTCAAAGCAGTATAGTAAATGTGTTTCCACCACTAACTAACTAACTATCGAGTAGACACTTATTTGTCCCAACAGTTAGATAAATGTATGATAGCTGTGTCATTTTGGGAGGCACATTTTATTTGTGTTAGTTGACAATGGATGAATCAGTAATGCTGTGAAGTGTAAGGTAGTCCCATTGGTTATGATTATCTTGCTATTAAAAGTGATTGACTCATGCTGAATATATAACCAACCACCCTTCTAGGTTAAAAAGTCAGATGTGTGGCTTCAGTGCTCTCCAAACAATGTTAGTTATAAGTAAGTAATAATCATATCAAGTGTCAACCCTTAAATATGTTTGTCTATTTTTTAAATGTCTTTAAAATTAAAACTACATGCTAATGAACATGCCACATGCACACATTCATTTAAACTTCACTCTGTCTGAAAGGCTGTCTAAGTGTTACCAAAGAATGCTTTCAGTTCAATTTGGTTAGCTGCAGGGGGAAATGGTGCAACTTCTTCTATTTAGGCTATTTTTTTTTTAAATAGATGCTGGTGAGATGACAAAATACTGTTTGTAAAACTCGACTGAAAGAATAAACACAAGACCCATAAGGGCATAAGAATAAGATGAAACCCAGACTATGGTGATTTAAAGTTAGTTGAAGATTGCGTAAGAGTGAGATGTGAAAGTACTTCACACACAATAAAGACAAAACCTGTTGCTTTTTTTTTTGATATAGACAACAGGCAAAGTTAAGCATAAGACTGGAGATAATCTATATTTTTCATAGTGTCAACAAATCCCATGAAAAGATCAGAACTACAACGGATTGATCCTACTAACAAGTATTGCATGCATAGCTAAAGTCCATGCTAGCAGCTCTGTAAGACCGTACTTTGGCATAGTGGTGCTTTCCGCTAAGTGCTAACATCAACATGCTATCATGCACACAATGACAATACTATGCTGATGTCTAGCGGGGGGACAATGACGCTGGCTTGTTTGTATTTTTTTAAACCAATCACAATTGTCTTGGGTTTACTATTAAACTCATCAGTGAGCCCCACAGCAGTGCACTTGGTGACATGTTCTCCCATTACCATGAACATGAGCACTGTAGTTTATTTTGAGACAAGCATACTGCTGCCGTACATACTAATGCAGCAAATCCAAATTAATCTGTGGCTGAAAATAGTTCTCAACAAATACACAATTTACTCCAGTAATGTTTACTAAAACCTACATTGCCCAGCTATTTTGGAAAAGTCAGAGAGAAACAGACAGGTAGGGAGATTGTCAAGCATTAATAGATGGACATTTAGTTTTGGTCTTTTAATGGGATTTGTTGACAATTTGTTGACAAAAATATAGAATAATGTAAGCCTTATCCTTTAAGTCAATATGTGTGTGTACATCAATGATCTGTATCTTTTGGCGGCTAGGAACTGGTGAAAGTGGGAAGAGCACTTTCATCAAGCAGATGAGGATCATCCATGGCCGTGGATACTCTGACGAGGACAAAAGAGGCTTCACCAGGCTGGTCTTCCAGAACATCTTCACAGCCATGCAGGCCATGATCCAGGCCATGAACACTTTACAGATCCCCTACAAGTATGAACACAATAAGGTACACCAGACTAATGTTTCTTTGTCATTTCTTTGCTGCTTCACACAGATTAAGAAAGAGGGTTTACCACACACTGTCCCACAGAAGCGTGTGCAACGTTTATTGTCTCTGACACTGACAGAGCCTGCAGTGTGTTTTCAGGGTAAAGTACTTCTGGTAATTTGCAACAGTGTTTAGTTTTGTAATCCTGCTGCCAGAGAGTTTTGTCTATTTACTGAAATAAGTACACATGATGTTACACTGCAGACATGTAAAGACAGGTACTCCTATGCCAAATGCAAGTAAGAAACTTAAGAGTCCACTTCCTGTGATCGGGAATTAACCAAGTCTGAGTCAGCATTTGGTTTTGTGGGTTATAATGTTTTCCTTTCTCTGAGTGTGAGTGGAGGTAATGTTCTGTGGAAGCTCACAGGATGACACTGTTTGTCACTGAGCACGTAGACATTAGTACTTAAATGTAGAGTGCCTTTAGGTCAGAGAGGTCAAGAAGCCAATATGCCAAATGGCCATTCACTAAACCCCTCTCCCAAACAGAGATTGTTCAAGCGGTATGTAAGGGCCTGTAGTAAGACAGATACTCATCATCCAAGTATGCAGGCTATGCAGCCAAACAAGGTCATGTTAAAACAAAACTAAATAGTCGGATATATTTCCCTATTATACTTATAATACTAGAGCTTGCTAGAACTACACTGCAATACAAGAACAATGCTGTTTCTTTATTTACATCTGCATGGATCATTACTGGAAATGATGATGTCTTTTTTCGCCTGGGACCTGTTAGCTTTAGCCTCAATCTTTTATCATGATATCATGTATTTGACCATCCAGTACATACAGTATTTTAGTACTTGCTTTACAGGGTTTGCATTTCAAACCGAGTCAGCTGGAAAAAGTACAAAAATCAGTTGGTGACTTTTCAGCTGACGATTGGAGCTAAAGTTATATTAATTAGTTTGTTAGCCACAGTGGATAAAATCTGCTTGCGACATATTTGCTGTGTGAGAATGGAAAGCTTGACAGATTTTTGATTGGTCTCAGGTTATTTCAGACAATATAGAGAAAAGAGATGAAATAGCAGAGGCTGTCACAGTAGTTTCTTTGGATCCCTTTAAATTGTCCCATCATTTGAAAGTGATGAAGCAGGAGGGAAGGGCATGGCTTCCCCCACAAATATTTTTTAAAAGTAAGTTAAAAATACACTTGCCAAATTGTTTTGAACACAAATACAACTTCTGGTAGCAATTTCAGTAAGCCGAAAAACAGGAAAATCTGTGTGTCTTATCATTTCATATTCAATTTGGAATCTAAAATGAAAAAACAATTTGTCGTTATTCAATTATGAATCCAACACACACAGATAAAATAACGGCTTGTTTTTTGTACTACCATTTTAGTCAAAAACAGGAAATGAAAAAAACGGGCCTTGTAATGAATTTGAATTTCATATTGGATTGTGTCCGATTTGTAGGAGTGTCACTGTTCCAGCACAGACCACTGCCGAAGGTGTCCTTGAGCAAGGCCCTGAACCCCTAACTGGGCACTGCACAATGGCTGCGCACTGCTCCTAAATAGGATGGGTTAAATGCAGAGAACTTTATCTTTAATTTATACTCCAATAAAGTGTAAGAAAAGGAAAAAAATACACTTGGGCGATGGCGCTACCTGATTTAATGTAGGCTATTGAATGTGAGCTTGTACATCAGTGGATAATTTTTTATCCACAGAAGTATTACGGGGCCCGTTCTATTTTGGACAACAAAGTTTGCCAAATTAACTATTAACAGTTCATTTTTTGCTGTGTACCATTAAATGTACTGACAACTGTCATTGAATTTATTTGATACCGAAGAACCTTTAAAAAACTGAACTCTCTGGCAAGTTTTGAAGCGTTCCCATTCTTGTCCCAGTACATATACATATTGTTAGTTACACTGTGTGTAGTTGAACCCCCCCCACACACACACAAACACACACCCCACACCCCACCCACACACACATGTTCAAGCTCATATACATTAGGCTACATTAAAACAGGTAGCGCCATCATCCATGCATAGGCCTATTTACTCAGTTGCCCATCAACAAAATGACAATTGCACTATGTCTACAAAAGCACCTTGTACAATAAGGCTGTTTATTGATGCATGTGTAAACAGACTTGGTGCAATAGTTTACCCATAAATGACCATAAAAGTTCTCCAAATTCTTGTGCAGATTTTCCCAAGTGTTTCCTAGCTGAAGAATTGCACTGTGGGTCCACAATTGATGTGCAGCCAGGATAATATTTATTATTAATCAGACACAGATTAGGGTGGTAAAGGGTATATTCCAAGAAGACGCAGGATATCACTTAATAATCCAATGAAAGCAAGGCGACCTTGAACACATAGAAGCAGTTTAGCTCTTTGTGTTTATAAATGTACATATGAAAGACAAGAAACTAGGCACACTGAAATAAATAACACTGAAGCAAACTAGGAGAGAAAGTAAGTGTACTCTCTGTGGTAGTTATGTGCAGTACATCATTGCTACATCTACCATCAATTAACTGTGCAGGGTTGTGTTCAGGGTTTACAGAAGGAGTCAAAGGCAGCTTAAATGAATAGAGCCTCCAGTGACTGATGCTGAGGACAAGAAAGACATTTGGGTCCTAATCGTACAATCTCTTTGATGGAGATTCTATGACCATAGTCTTTGTAACGGACTGGATAGTCCCACATCATCCTTCGCTTGTGGTGCTATTATTTTATGTTGGGTAAGTATCCAGTCTACAAATGATAAGTGATCCAAGTTTTGTCGATGAGTCGGCATAAAATCTGTGCTGAGAGCTCAGTATAATCATATAAGTTATATAACACAATTTATAAACAAGGACAGTTAAAAAAAAAAAGCATAATAATTACTCTAAGAAGATTAGACAAATTATATTACATCTCTGGGGACAGTGTGTTTCAGCTTCTTGTTCAGTTGCAATCAGACTGAACGTGTTTAAAAGCTGTCTGTGAATGGGGTTAAAGTTCTAATTGTTCGCTGCAAAGTTCTCATCTCTCATCATAGATCAATTCTGCTGAAGATCAAAACATGTAGACAATCTAAATCCAGCCTGTTGTGTGAGCTAAAGTGATTTTATTTTTCCACACTGTAAGTTGTTAATGTAAAGGTATTTTCCCCTGTCTAATCAAACTACAGCATACATCTATATTTGGAGATGCATGCTTGATAAAGCCAGTGACATCACCAGGACTCAAGAACTCAAGCATTACATCATATAAATCCTAAATCCTTCTGTATATTTGTTTCTGAAAGTGTTTGGCCATGTCATTAATTTCAGTGCGATGTTATGTTGTTGTTTAGACAAATGCCAGTCTTGTCAGTGGGGTTGATGTGGAGAAGGTCACAACGTTAACAAACCCTTACGTGGACGCCATTAAGAGCCTGTGGAGCGATCCAGGGATTCAGGAATGTTACAATCGGAAGAGGGAATACCAGCTCTCAGACTCAACCAAATAGTGAGTGGGAACAGACCCGAATAACTCCTCAGACATTGCCAAATAGTTTCCTCTGTTTCATCTGCCAGGTGTCTGTTTAATGAGCTCAGAAGGTTCAGGTTCAGTGGTTATTCCATTTAAGGTTGTTGACAGAAGGCCTAAAAGCAAAGAAACAATGTTTATTATTCAGTATAGTGAAGTGGCTGAAACAAGAAACATTTCCAACTCTTAATATTTTACAATAAATGTCTCCTTTGTCCCTGATCTGTTTCTATATCTCTCTTTTTGTTCTATGGGTTGTCTTCCTGTGTTAATAGCTATCTGAATAGCTTGGACCGAATTGCTGATACTGCTTATCTGCCAACCCAGCAGGATGTCCTGAGGGTCAGAGTGCCCACAACAGGTATTATAGAGTACCCCTTTGACGTGGAGAATGTGGTGTTCAGGTGAGTATTTTATGTTGTCGTTATATTTTATGTTGCAGTGGCTTACTTTCTGTTGAGGTCATAAACAGTGAGAGTAGGGGCAGCTAACGTAGATAAAATTTAATATCTATGAGAAGTTTTGTATCATGATGAGGATGTACTGTATATCATGATATGTTTTCTGGAAATGTATTTTAAGTGTTTATAGGTGAAATGACAAGATGAGGGTGTCGAGGTACTTCATCACATAGATGCAAAAATCCATATAACCTAAATTGCCCTGCTCCATTGATGGTGCAGCATATCTCACCATCTTTCAGAAATATTGCTATGAAATTTTGGTATACACATTCATGTCCCCCTCTGGATACATTTTTAAAAACTAATTACATTACCATCAGCCTGGACTGTATGCTAAGATACTAAGCATAGTAAACATTGTACCTACCAGCATGTTAGCATTGTCATTGTGAATGTTAGCATGTTGATGTTAGCATTTAGCTGAAAGTACAGAAGACGCCAAAGCTGATCACGGCCATTCTAGACAATGTTTGTGATTCTACCAGATGTGTCGCAGCCTGTTTCAGAAGCTGCCCAGAAGCCGCTCTCAGTGGAGAATACGCGTCTAGTCTATTTTTGACGTAAGCTGTGTCAATCTGCACAGAGCAAAAAGAAAACATTTTAATCACGAAGCTCAGAAATCAAGGTAAAATGACCAAATGAGCAAAATCTGAGCAACTCAAGAAAATTAGACACACAACACACTCTGCTTCTGAAACGCTCCCTGTGGGGTGTGAAGACCGCCTGAGGATGGAACAAAACCAGGTTGCAGATGCGACGTGCCAAGTAAAATCCAGGCGATAGTGTTGTTCCTTTCTGTGTCCTTTGACAAGACTAAACAGCATTGTTGTGGAAGTCGAGACACATGTTGGAAGCCCTTGTTTTATTAGTCTTGTTTGAGCACAGCTGGACCTCGTTTAGCAATTAATTGTCAGAAGCCCGTGGTCTTTTATGTGGATTTATACTGTAGTTTCACAAGTTTCATTAGCTGTGTCAAATCAGGCTGGTTTTGGAAGTGGGTTTTGTTTCTGTTGAATTACATGAAATTGGTAGCATGAAAGAGGTCTTAAGACTTTTAAATGTCTCCTTTTGAAACCAGCAGATTATTTGGGGAAGTTTCTCCAGAATTTAACCTTGATGCCACAAAGGCAAATGTCCTGGTGGTCATGACAATGTAGTAAAATCATTAAAGCCTCTCAACACTTACCAAACAGATTTTTTGGTAATGGCAACAGTACAGATAGAACTAGGCAATACATTAATATAATGTTGCTATTGAGATATTAGATTATGTGTAATTTGGAATTTTGGTTGTTGTAAATGTGTGATAAACGCTGCAGTACAGTGAACTGGTGCAACCTTGTGAACTTATTACACTGTAAAGTAAAAAGGATAATCCCCCCACCTGATTTGTCATCATGGCTATTATACTTATGATCTATTGTCAAAAAACGTTTGTCATATTATCAATATTAAGGGATTTATTTCACCATAGCCCAGCCCTAAAGAATAAAACTGGTTGTAAATTGGTGATGTTGTGTGTGTGTGTGTGTGTGTGTGTGTGTGTGTGTGTGTGTGTGTGTGTGTGTGTGTGTGTGTAATGATGGCTTGAACATGTGCCTGTAGGATGGTGGATGTGGGTGGCCAGCGTTCAGAGAGGAGGAAGTGGATTCACTGTTTTGAGAAAGTCACCTCCATCATGTTCCTGGTGGCGCTCAGCGAGTACGATCAGGTCCTTGTTGAGTCCGTCAATGAGGTGAGATGCACGCCGCTGCCTACAAAATTAAATGTAACAATTACAAGCTAATTTTATATATCTTGTAAGTCTGTACATGAGAAAGAAAATGGCTCAATTTGGGATAATCAAAAAAATAAATCACTGGGATAGACACAGAAGGACATTGTTTCTTTTGTTTAAGGCCCACAGATGATGGAGATGATGATCTATTATTCTACAGAGTAGACACTATTTCAACACTAGTCTGATTTCTCTCTCTTATTTTCTTTCTGTCTCTCTGGTCACAATGATAAATGTTGACCCTCCTGTGTGGCAATGTGCATAGTTAATCTGCAGGGGGAGCTCTTTAGTTGCTCTGTTCAGCAAAGCGCACCTCTCAGCAAGGCTTGTCCACTTGATGATAGTGCAGCTAGTGGAATATGCAATAACATAAATTCATATTTATGCTTATGTTTAAGATGTCTGTTTCTTGTGTTTTTTCCCAAAGAATCGCATGGAGGAAAGCATGGCCTTGTTCCGGACAATCATAACCTACAAGTGGTTCAAAAAGTCTTCAGTCATCTTGTTCCTCAACAAGATAGATTTACTGGAGGAGAAAATCATGTACTCACATTTGGTTGACTACTTCCCAGAATATGATGGTAAGAGGAAAATGGTCAAAAACGCAGTTGAGCAGGGTGGTATTGATATTTTTAATACAATATTATAGTAGCTTAATTTACCATCTCTAAAGTGACACTACGTATTTTAGATATAACACGGTCTTCCTTTTACAAATGAAAAGCTGAATTCAGAAGCAATAAAACACAACCTTGCTTATGTCATTACACTGGAATTGCATCAGCAGCCCACTGTGGTGGGGTATGACCTGTAGCTTATAGTGGCTAATGTTAGATAATGTTTAATGTTGCCAACTTCAAATATTACAGTGTAACTGACTTACTAAGTCAGCTCACTACTTTATAACTTTGCTCAAACATTAACACACTGGAACGTGTTTTCTGCTTGTAGTTCCATTTTATTCACTCTAAGTCAGTCAACTCATGATTATGTCTTTAAATCCAAGAGGAAGTGTTATTTCTTCTTTCAAAAGTTGCAGTTTCACTTGAATGTTGGATGCATTTAATATTACAGGGCTAGCCTGTCTTATGTTCTTAAAGGTTTTATGTAACTTCTGAAAAAACTGACTTTCATGTCCTGTTTTTGCCCTCTGTCTCTTTCTGCCAGGTCCCCAGCGGGATGTCATAGCTGGAAAGGAATTCATCTTAAATATGTTTGTCAGTCTCAATCCAAACGAGAAAAAAATTATCTACTCCCACTTCACCTGTGCCACAGACACGAACAACATTCGATTTGTCTTTCACGCAGTGAAGGACCACATCTTGCAGATCAACCTGGAAGTCTACAACTTGGTTTAAAATGGGGGTGTTGCTGCTCTAATTCAATCGGCTTTGTACAGCTGGTAGTCAGGGGAGCTCGGCAGTGATTCAGTTTGCCTCACACTGCTGCTGAACACTATAATCCAAAACAGGAAATTGAGAAGCAGAGCTTGTCCACAAATGACTGTACTACTGATGTATTTCAAATTTTCCTGTTAGACTTTTTGAAAATGGATGTCTCCAGCTATAATGACGTGTGTCCTGACAATTAAAGTGCTGCCTTAGTGAGTCTACTATAGTGTGCACTCTGAAATATATGGAGCCCTTTGTAAATGTTTTTGAGCAGTAACAGTATAAATGCACTTGGATGGATTGAGAGGGGAAAAAAGTACTTCACTGGCCTCAAAAGCCTCTGAAGACATGTAATGTACTAGGTCTCTCCTTCAGGGAATCTGTGCAAGTGAATGTAGACTAACTGCAATGCAGCACCTCACATCACTAACCCAAGTTGGTCATAGTTTATTTTTTTAAGTTAAATACTGTTTGAAATACTAATGCCTAGTTTGTGTCTTCACTTAATGGAAAACGAGTCATAATTAACACTAATGACGCATTTACTTTATTACAGATATTGATTTGCACACTGTACATTTTGCAACAATGGTGTTTGTGCTGGTGTTCTGTTATGTATGGACCTCACTTAGCTGGGTATGATAACTTCCACAACCTTGTGTCAAGTTTCTCTAGACTATACACTTTGCATTTGTTTGTGATGGCATTGTTCAGTCTTGAACCACTTTCTGTGAGCAAAGCATTAATATATATATTTTATAATTTAACACATTTCAAAGGGAATCTTACTGTCACTCTACTAGATTCTGCTACATTAGCATTCCTTTTTTTTAAATCTTCATTTTCTCAAAGCTGTAGAATCACATGTTCGTTCAGTTCAGGGACTATTTGATTGTATTTTTAAGTAGTTGCCTAAACATTGTCCTTGCTAAAATGGCTTCAGAACCTGCCCTTACTTGTTTACATTAATGCATATTGTGAATATAACATGGTACAATACATTTTGTTCCCCACCTTTGTTTACATCAAGGTCAGTGTTGAAAGGTTAACTGCTGAAGAGAGAACTGTTATGTTAAATAATCTCTGAGGCATTACTGCGCTTTTGATCTTAATTCATATGCTGTTCAAGGGTATTAAATGCATGAATAAAAAGCTAATGAGAGTGTATCCACTAATGTTTACACGACCCTTCTCCTCTTGTTAAAAATAATTACAGCCTAAATTGAACAGTTTAATTTATGGTTAGATTTCACTGTCACTGCGATGTCTTAATGCAGTCTTAGTGTTTTTAATGTGATTAGAAAAATAAAAATATTTTGCTTTTCATTTGCTGATTTTGTTTTCATTCTATGTTTACAAATCAGCTCCGGCACACTGTCAGTTTAGCATTCAAGTGTTTGTCTGTTTGGCTGCTCCATTGTCTCATCTAGAGCAGTGTTAGTCCTGAAATCCTCTATGATGATAACATCCATCTGGCTAGAGCCTGCAGCAGCACTTCTATTGGAGGTCTGTATATTTAGTGTTGTACACAGGGACATACAGCGTGGCAAAGAACCTTTATTTTTGGAGGACAATGAAAGTATATGTTGCAGCAGTAGGCTACATAGTACTATTGATTTGCAAGAATGGATGTAGGGATGAGGTGGCTGTCGAGCACGGGATCTTTGCTGGTCCCTTCCACATTTAATCAATCCAGACTCAAATCTTCCCTGAATATACATAACACATAATCCACTGTATACTAGGGCTGCAACTAAGAATTATTTTCATTATTGATAAATCTTAATATTTGTTTCTCTCTACCGCATATTTGTGTCTTCTTTGGGAAAACACTAGTTTTAATACAATACAGTGTATATTAAAGCAGGGGTAGGCACCTTAGAAGAAACCTGCTGGAGACAGCTAGATTTTTAAAGTATCCACTGGAAAAATCTCACCACCTTCCTCCAACGCACTTTCATGCAGGAAGAGTGCATGGGCAGAATGCCTTCAGGGACACATGTAGACAAACAGGTAGCTAAATCATTTCATTTGGACTGAAACAGTTGTATAATGGTGATGTTATCAGGGAAAATTCAGATATGACTGTAGAATACAGAAACCCTGTGTTACCATTTAACCATACCAGTCAGGAAGGGTGAAAATGAAAGACACTGTTGAGTTGCAGGACAGGAAATGTAGGAGAAGTGTTTTTTTTAACAATTTAACAATAGGCACAACAAGTCAGGAAATCTCTGCTGCTTGGATTCTGACCACTCAAATCTGTCCCAACCTTATGTAAGCACAATGATTAATTACCCTTTAACCTCAAATGTAAACTATGTGTTGTCCCCTGGATATTGTAAAAGTCGAAACATTTTTGAAACCTCAGTTTGATTTAATAGATTCAGGTATAATAAGACCTGCAATGGCATCATTAGGTTTTAATTTAGATTTAATACATATAACCAGACAAGTTGGTGCCTGGCTGTCCTCCATTATGTTTCCCCTCCAGCACCGTAGACTACCTCATTGTGAGGAAAGAGAGGCTCATGGGAGTACGGACCTGTAAACAGACACACAGGAGCTGTCCACATTTAACTCGAATTGCCTTTTTCACTCAGAGCCTGCCCATTCACCCCGCCTCCCTTGCACAGCAGGAATGTGAAATGCACCTGAACTGGATCCTACACGAGGAAGATTGACTGCTGAAAGTCACGAATCCACCTGTTCCGGGACAGAAGTGAACCTGTCAGATCCGCGCAAAAGCATTATCCATTCGTTTCATTTGCCTAATCCCTGTCAACTGTGAAGAAACTGAAGGCAGCTCGTAAACGCGTGTACAACAATGTTTGACTGCTGCGTGTCAGGTGAGGAAGCGGAGAGACTCAGGATACACAGAGAAATAGAGAGACAACTTCGTCGTGATAAAACAGCCTCTCACCGGGAGTTGAAGTTGCTGCTGTTAGGTGAGTGTTTGTAGCGTAAAGTTTAGTCATTTCCACATGCGACTGAAATGTTGAAATTATCAACGACATACTTACCTTGGGATATTAAATGCATCCTATTAAAATGTGGATATTACCATATAAATCTAGCCAACAAAGGGACTAAAAACTGTACATAGAATAAACAAATAGCTTGCTATGGACTAATTGTTACCCCAAAGGTAGCTTATATGTAGTTACAGTTGAGTCTAGGTTGAATTGACAAACGTACATATATTTATACAACTATAGCTCAACAGAGGTTTTCCTGTAGGCCTAAAGCAAGAACTTCCTGTGATGATCCAATAAATACTGTTATTTGTGGGGATGTAGAAATAAAATAGCTATAATTAGTTTGTAATAGAGTCTTCATGACTTATATTGGAGTTTAGAAGCTGTCTTTGTTATTTAAAAGTTAGTTTAAAAGTTAAAAAAATATTTTATATATTGGCAAATATTTGTTGTTTTTTTAAAACACAAAACATTTTGGGTGTAACACCAAAATCTGTGACCTATCAGATTCTGTGACTACACCCAAACGACGATGTTTTCCTAACCATAACCAAGTACTTTTGTACTTGAAAAAGTAAGGTATCACAAATTCGTTTTGAGTGGTATATGAATGTGTGTACCAAATTTCACGGCAATCCATCCAGTACTTGTTGAGATATTTCACTCAGAAACAAAAGTGTCAACCCCATGTTTGCAATACTGGAAAGGAAAGTCATAAGGATTCATGCTCTGGGCACCATAAATGTCTGTATAAGATTTAATGACAATCCATTCAGCGGTTGTTGAGATATTACCCCCAAAACCAAAAGTTGAATCCTCTGGGCACCATGATCCATTCAAAAATTTTAGATTGGATACTGGACTGAAGGTGGACTGTACTAGCCATAACAAGACTAAAAATTGTGTGTGAGATAGACGATAGTCGGACTTTGGAAGAAAGTCTTAAATAAAAACACATCATCATTTAGGTTTGCAGATTGAGATTTTTTGTCCCCCTGATGTCAAGGGTCATATTAGTTTGATCTGATAAAACCAGCAAATACAAAAGTGTCTGGATCAATAGCTGGCAAGCCTTTGGTGTGTGTTTATTCCTGCATTGTTCATTTTAAAAGTTATTACAGGTTACCCTTTGCATTCAAATTGTTGGTGAAGCCCAGATTAGCCAGCACTTGATAACCTTTATAGTTTTCTTCCCTTAAAACCAAACTAGACTTCTGCATGTTTTCACAAGTGTAGACCTGTGTATTTATGCTTTATGTGCCGTTGTTTGTTAGGATGTTTTTGCTCACAAGACATTAAAGTCTCCAATAAAAATGCTCCATTGTAAAAGCCATGATAGGTCAATACAGTACAAGCAGGCTGTTTTGTTTTTGTTTTGTTTCTTTGAATGACACATTGACTTGCACAGATCAGACACAAGCCTTTACTGTCCCATAACAATGTAGAGTATGCAAAACATTTGTAACTGGCATAACCATTAGTGGGAAATTACAAACATAAACGTAACTTCCAAATACGTCTTTTTATTAATCTATATTCTTTACATATTTCTCTTACGATGTCGTCTTTTTTTATTTTGGTCCACTGTGGGTTTTTTGATTATTTGACTTGTTGGTTCTTTGTCTGTTTTTATGTTGTTCATGTAAGTACATATACACAGAAATTAAATTAGATGATGTGCGTACCCGCATACCTATAGAAATAACGTTAGTAATGGGGTGTTTTGTGGAAACAGGGTATAAATGCACCCACTCGCGTACACATACTCACATGTATAGCTTGGGGGAAAAAACTATAATAAATTATGAACCTTTATTTAAAATATTCCTACATTCCTAAGAATGCAGCCTTTTTTTGTTGTTGTTTTGTTGCCGAAATCCTGTTTAGCTAAAACTGATTGATGTTCAGATGATTTTTTTAGTGCATGTCCTATTTCTGGCATTGCTTTGATGTTATTCCATTTCTCATCCTTGGGTCTTATTCATCTCATTTGCCTAGGGACTGGTGAAAGTGGGAAGAGTACTTTCATCAAACAGATGAGGATCATCCATGGCACTGGATACAGTGAAGCTGACAGGAAAGGTTTCACTCGGCTTGTGTTTCAGAACATCGTCACAGCCATTCAGGCGCTGATCCACGCCATGGAGACTCTACAGATTGACTACATCAGTGACCAGAACATTGTGAGAAACTGTACCCATTTAATAAAAGATGATATTGATGTGTTATGGAGTACATTTGCAGTTCTCATGCTCCTAATGGTTACTAATAGGTCAGTCAAAGATTGAAATATTGTGTTTAGAAAGGTCCCCTGTGGATGTCTTGTGTGTTTCAGCTCCACGCACAGAAGTTGAGCCAAGTAGAGGCAGACCGGGTGTCCACTTTGGAGGCTTGGCAGGTGGACGCCATTAAGAGAGTGTGGAATGACCATGGTGTTCAAATATGCTACGACCGCAGGAGGGAATTCCAGTTATCTGACTCTGCCAAATAGTAAGACTTTAAAATATTTCATGTCATTTACATAAGCCCAGGGCTCTTCAAGAGAACCAAAGCTTTTGCACTCATCAACTCAAATTTAAAACTTTTAATGTGCATGTGACGATGCTATTTCTTCGTTCAGGTTTGTGTTAGGAAATTAAACTGGATGCATTGTTGTTAACTTTTCAGTTATCTGACCGACTTGGACAGAATCACAGCCCCGTTTTACATCCCCACCCTGCAGGACATCTTGAGGGTCAGGGTCCCCACCACGGGGATCATAGAGTACCCCTTTGACCTTTCAAAAGTTATCTTCAGGTAGGGTATTGTTAACTTGACTGACTATAAAACGAATCTTTTGCTACATATATAGGAGGAGTATTCCATGTTTTTACGTTGCTTAACGCCGCTCTCTCCCAACGAGTGCACGCATCACTGGCAGTAGCTGCCTTCCTGTCAGTGGTGGAGTTTCTTTAAGTTTCACATTGCTATGTGGGTTTAGCTGATGGTTCAATAAATTAGATGAAAGCAATTCCGTGGTTGTTCTTTGCATCTTTGTGACACAATATTGGCAATACTTACAGGTGTCGAAAGAACGCCTGTCTGCCTCGTTCTCAATTCTTCTTTTAGCTTTTTGGATTTTAATAACAGAAGGGCCTCTCGATTTGAATTACCACTGACTTGCTGCGTAATCACGCATACACATCAAAGACAACAAAACAAATTCTGGTAATGCAGTACCGCAGCGTTACACGGACTAATAACTGTACTATTACTGTTTTGTAAATAGTAATTCCTTACACTACTAGTTACTGGGGAAAGTGATAATATTACGGTAACACGTTATTTCCCAACACTGTCTGTTGCACAGGACTGGGACTGACTCTTAACAATGACGAGAACAACTTGGGGATTCCCTCTTGGTCAATCAGGTTGTGACAGTGTCCAAACTTAAAGGAATAAGAATACCAGAGGCGCGGAAGCATTGTGAACATTCCCCTATGTGGTGCAGAACTCACTTTTCCAGACATAGTCAGCCTGAATCTTTGTCCTTTGGGACCTTCTGAAACCTCTTTGCTGTCTCTCTTGTCTACCTTTGATAGCGACTGAGTATTATGGATGTTAGCACAGAGTAAATATAGAGCCCCTTAGCTGGTATCTACTGGGGCTTAAATTCAGCCTGGGACTTTGGCATTAGTAGAAGGATTTTTTGCAGTTATTTTAATAGTTGTAGTGTTTTTCTGGTATAAAAGAATCCGATTTCGACCTTCAAGAAACTTTTGGATGATACCTGCCTCCTCAGTTACTATAAGCAAGTCACCAGTGCACTGAACAAGTCCAGGTCAGGCAAGCCCGAGCTGGAAAACCACAGTACAGGGCTACTGCTATATATAATGCAATCTCCTTGTAGGTAGGTAGGTTTATTGTCACAATATAACAAGTGAAATTGTGTTTTGTAACTCCCTTCTGCTACATAGCAGACAATATACATTAATACGGAATCAATTATTAAAAATGGTAAACAGAAATAAACTATAATCAATGGAGCAGGGCTGAGGATGAATTAGAGTTTAAGAGTCACATAAACCCTATGTAAAGTAAACTCCTTTTGATTTGCACCGTTGAGCAGTTTTCAGCTGAAAAGAAGATCGGTCCAAGTTGGGAGGGGCCAGGAATGAACCGGCCATTCGAGAGTCTCCCCGAACTTCCCAATGCCCAGTCCGCCCCTGCCCCTTTGTGCCTAAAGCAGGGAAGCCTTTGGTGTCATTTGGGCAAGTGTTTCCTTGCCCAACATTACCTGCTGCTTGCAGGCTCCCATATTTGTTTATTGGTTTGTTTTCATTAAAAAACACTCTTCCCATTTCTTTTTTTACCGTCTTGAAAAGGTATTTGTTATTGAAGAGCCAATTGTTGATCATCTACAAAGCGTTGGATTAGTTTTTGAAGAGGAGTTTTATTGTTAAAGTACGTGTGAGATTTGTTCTCCATGGTTCTTATTTATTATGTGTTTGTGAACTGGGTCTCATGCACATTTTTCCCTGAGCTGTGGCCTGTAGAATCAGTACCACCATAGTTAAATGAGAAGATAGATAATACTTATATCTGTACGCTAAATATAAAGCTAGAGTTAGTAGGCGTTTCGCTTTGGCTTAGCATGAAGATTGGAAACAGTGGGAAACAATTACACAAACAATCATTTAAAAACAACAAGTTCGGGAAGTTACCGTTTACCTTGTTAAACCAAAACTTGTTGTTTTTACATTTAAATATTTGTCTGAACTTTTATATTGTCATCTAACTTGGCAAGAAAGAAAATAAGTATATTTCTCAAATTACATATATTCCTTTTTTAATTAACTTGAACAAATGTTCGTGTGTCTAGGATGGTGGATGTGGGTGGTCAGCGTTCAGAGCGGAAGAAATGGATCCACTGTTTTGAGAATGTCACGTCCATCATTTTTCTGGCGGCCCTCAGCGAGTACGATCAAGTCCTTTACGAGAGTGAGAATGATGTAAGGTCAAAAGCCTTTCCATCCACTCTGTACTTCTTCAAAATGATGATTTGATTCTCGATTTCTTGTGCCATGGTTATATTTTGCTCTCAGTAATTTTCTCTTTAAAAGGAACTATTATTTCCATACAGTAGTCTTTTGTCTAAGACTATTCTCACCTCCTTCTTCAGAATCGACTGAGAGAGAGCCTTGCCTTGTTCAAGACCATCCTCTCATACGCTTGGTTCCAAGAATCCTCCACTATCCTCTTCCTGAACAAAACAGACTTGCTACAGGAGAAAATCACAAAGTCTCATTTGGCAACCTACTTCCCAGACTTTACTGGTAAAGCATGCATTCTCTTTTTGCTCTGCATGTGTTAAAACAGCATTCATAGCTATGAAGTAAATTAACATTTACTATTTAGTGCACCATATTTACCATATTTACTGAGTGCCATTTTATTTGATTGTCTCTTTCACTCTTCTATGTAGAGATAGTCAAAACAATTTATCAGCAACTATTTGATGATTGATTTACTATTTCTATTATTGACTTGATCCTGCTCTTACTTTGTGATGATTTGCTGCTTCTCTCTGTATTTCTTTGTAATACATCTTTGTAAACTCGAATATTCTGTTGATCAGACAAAAAAAGCAATTTGAAGACATCATCTTGGCTCTGAGAAACTGTAATGGATGTTTTTTCAAATTTTGTACTTAAAATGACTTAATAATCGGCAGATTTATCAATAATAAAAATAATCCTTAGTTGCAGCATTCATTCTGAGTGTGACATTTTACTATGGCATGAAAGCAGTATAGTCCATGGCATGTATACACTATAGAGCCTAATAAACAGAATCTATTATACTGGGATAAGTAAGGGGAACAAGGGTGTGATTTTGGACAAAGCCCATGTCTTAAGGGATCACAATTAAATTTATTCAGAATACACAGATTCTCTCTGATTTTGACCACTTTCGCCTCCACAGGGCCTCAGCATGATGCTGAATCTGCAAAAAAGTTTATCTTGGAAATGTACAAGGAACGGCATTGCGGGCACCCTAAACGCCTTTACACACACTACACCTGCGCCACGGATACAGAGAACATCCGGATTGTCTTTAAGGCCGTCAAGGACACAATCTTCAGAGAAAACCTGGGCAAGTTCAACCTCGAATAAGGAGGTTGTAGGACAAAGTGATCACTTGATCTCATCATTTGGAACAAGAAAACTGGTACAGTCACATGCTGTAACACCTTTGTGGACATTTTATCTGTTAGTGCTCCCAGTTGTAGCTTGTTCAACAACATGAGGCAGTCAGACATCAGTGTCAGGTAAGGAACATTTCTCAGACACAGACAGTATGTGCCATTTTTTTGCAACACAGTTCATCATATGTGGTATAAAAAAAACACATGTTGTATAGCTAAAAGAGAGGAATGGACAATTGAAATGTTAATTGTTGTACTGAATTGTTAGACAGGCTCCTTTTATACCATTACTGTTTGACAGAGAACTAAATGGAGTTGAACTAGTATGATAAAATCATATAGAATGCAACCTTCCCTGTCTTACAGCTCTGGGAGGAGGAAGAAACCTGCCTTAGATTATACATATGATAATATTTTTATGTGTGCAACAACAACCACGTAGCCTATGACATACTTTTTCCCCCACTGTTGCTAACTTTAAAATATACATATTAAAAACCACAAATTGTTTTTAAACAAACTGGATTCTGTGTTGTCCTGGTCTCTATGCATATAACTTAATTTTGACATTAAATAAATATACATATGTTTCCGTACAAAAATGTGTCATCCATTTTGTGATATATGACAGCAGATGCATGGCATTCATTAACCAAAGGCTGTTTTGGGGCGTCTCCACTCTATGTCGGCGCTCCAGGCGTGGTCACACTGATTGGTATGTAACAACCTTTGTACTAAACAATGTGCAAAGGTCTGACAGGCTGGTCTCTGTCTTCCTGTCTAAGTGTTGGGACTGAATAGTGGTAAGTGAAAAGAGGCATTCACTGACGGTTAAACCTGTGGAGAGAACAATGCTTGTTTCCACACGGAAGGAGAGACTAGGTACAATTTATTTTATCTGCTTTGTGGCTATAGTTTGCTTGTTTAAGGGTTGAAAAGTTCAGTGCTAATGCAGAATATAAAGGACACATTTGGTGTTCTCTTATAGACAGTGGAATGGTAAGCGTCAGATGTTTGGATTGGATCAGTCTTTATTTTTCTACCAGCATGTGGTAAAGTGTGTGAATATTATCAGCACATGAAGCTGACAATGTTCTCGTTTCTGATTGTTATTGCTCTTTTTTCCCATGAGGGCTAATAAAATGTTGTAGCTGCACAGCTAGCCCTCACAAATCTAATGTCAGGCATTAATAGCAGTACCACACTCCTTGGGTAGTAATAACACAACAGCTCCTACACATACACATAGAGTTAATCCCCTCCAGTTTAGGATAATAATGACACACAAACACACCCTCCTATAGCACCATTTAATGGCACTGCTTGAGGAAGCTGCTGTGCAGAGAGCTGTTATAGCAGGTGATCTCCCTTATTTGGTAACAGCCCAGATCATGTGACCACAAAATGGTGGAAGCTGTGAGCTGTTTGTAAGCTGAGCATCTCCACCGAGAGGCTGGGAGCAGGAAATAGGCAGGAAACTTGGAAGTACATCCATGCTCTGAGACGCACAAAGAGAGAATCCCGATCCCCAGCAGTGGTGAGTAGATGGCTTTTGTTCAGCAAAGATAAATAGAAGAGAAAGAGGGATATGTCGTTTTTTTTTCTCTCCCAGCCAGCAGACAGGAAGCAAGAGTGAGGGAGGGGCTGCTGTCATCAGCACTGTGGTCCTGTGCTGAGCTGTGGATGTGAAGCAGCTCGGCATCCTTCATGGAGGATGCAAAAGACAGCTGATGCTGATTTTGTTATTCTGCGTTGTAGGAGGCTATGTCATTGTATGTTTATCTCTGTGAATGTTTAAGGGTGGGTGTGCACATATATCTGTGAATCGTCAGCATGCCAGCCATCTCCACTGTACAGGAATCAAACATTGGCAGATTTCTGTTGTAGCTGTTAATGCGATGACATTTTCCTTGTTCCAGGCAGAGTCTGCCGAGGAGGAACAAGGATGTATCTTTTTCATGATGAGCGCACGTGACTCACTGAATTTGCATCTCTGCCCAATCTGTGCTCAGGCGAGCGTGCAGTCATTCGCTTTGAATCAGCACTAGAAAAAGACAGCGAGGGGGGGGGGTTGTCATGATGTAACAAGCGTTGTTCCTCCCCCTCTGCCAGTTTGAATGGAGGGATTATTCATAGGGGAAGATGACCTTTAACCTCAAAATCTCTCCCATTTCTTTCACCCCCCCTTCTCCCCTTACCACCTTACAACTCTTGTCTTCTTTGTCTCTCGTTTTCTGATAACTGTGTAAATCTATCTGTAAAATAGATCAATATAGCTGTAAAACCAATACACCATGTGCTGGTGTTTGGGAGGTTCTTGCACTTACGATTTATAGTATAGCCAGACTGTTACTGGATCTTTTGGGCCAATATTGGTTTTTGGGAGTTTGTCCGACTGTAAATTTTCAACATAAACACAACATAAACATGGATCCCTTACATTTGCTTGTGACCAAGATTCATAGGGACTATTACTATGTAACAGTGACACTGTTTCTAAATTATCTCAAACCTAGTATGGCATTTCTGTTCAGACAAATACTTGTCATGTACACCGATTCCAATGTATCTGCAATAAGATAATGCCCGATTTATCGGTCTAGGCCTACTATGTGCTCCAACAATATCTAAGAAAGTAGAGTAAGAAAGTATTCACATTCTTGACTTAATAAAAATAGCAAACTGCATATTAAAACAGTCCATTACAAGGTACATTCATTATATGTTTTATTCTGTAAAGTAACTTGTAACTAAAACTATCAAGTAAATGTAGTGGAATAAAAAATTACCTCCAAATTGTATAGGATAAAAGTTGAAGTAGCATGAAATGTAAATATTGTAAAGTACTTGCCCAAATGTATAATAAGTACAATACTTAAGCAAATGTGCTTAATTACAGTCCATCACTGGTACATTTAAAGTTTAGCATAATTAAAATTCAGATTAATGTTCTTGTTTGCAAATTATTAAATGTAGAGGAATCGCAGACGATGCATTACACAATAGTCTGGATTCTCTCCAGGTTTGTTGTTGTATCATAAGAATCCATTTAATAAGGAAGTAATAAGTAATAATTCCTGTAATTATCTTCTCGTAGGTCCTCCTGGGGATGGACCTATCATCAGAGAGTAAAATGAACTCTGAGGGTGGCGAAAGCAGACCAGGTGAATATGTGAATATGAGTCAACCTATGCCGAAATTGCCAACGGTTATTCAAAAGAAATATAAAGAAACCAGCTAAGTACATAACTGTTGCTCTTCTTTTCTGTAGTCCCTCCTAGCTCTCTACCCCTGCAAGGAGGTCCCACTCAAAGAAAAAAACTATCTGCCCCTCGAATTAGCCTGTCACTGGATCAGAGCGAGGATGACTTGGGGGAGACACCAGATGATCTTGACATTAACGTCGACGACCTTGACACTCCAGATGAGGGGGATTACCTTGACTACACAGACCATGAAATGGACTGGGAAGGTGGGTCTTCCAGAGAACAAACAGTGAAAAGCATAGGTGTAAATAGGAAAGTGAATGATGGCTGAATCCCATATAGCTTCAGGTCCTGGTATTTTGTATATTGGCTCACTGTCAATTGAATAGAACAGAGCCATCATTAATGCTATTCGCCTGTGCTTTACCTACTATGAAAATGTCTGCTGTGAAAAAGGCCTATAACACAGTATTTGGTCTTTTCTCCCATCAGACCCCAATGAAGCCGGTAGGAGTGGGACAAGTGAGCCCTATGATCCAATCCCAACATACAGCGCTGAGGAGGAGCGTCAGGATGGCAAACTATGGAGGACGGTCATCATTGGGGAGCAGGAGCACCGCATCAACATGAAGATCATTGAGCCCTACATGAGAGTCATCTCCCATGGAGGTGATCATTTTACCATTATAACTATGGATGTTACGTCCATCTTAAACATTACCTCTATGAGTACAGAAGCAAATCATTTTCAAATATACCCAATAATGGCTCAGAAATCGTTGTTGTTATGCTCACTGTCTAGTTATGTTAATATGCTAATCGGAGTTGCTTCCAGTAGCCTATTGCTGTGTGCTTACAACAATTAAGCTTCAGAGCAGTTGTGAGTGATCTGCGGATTTTTGCCTCTCAGTCAACATACAAGCTGGAATACTTTCGTTGAGGCAGATTGCATCAGAGGATGAAGACCCACAGACACTTTTCAAGGCTTGAAAAAAGTACCTCCACCTCCTTTGCATCTTCAGTAAAAAATAATAATTGAACCTGTTTTAATTTACAGTAAAAAGATGCTAGAATTGAACACCAGTCTAAGATAATGCCGTAAAGGCTCTTGCTATAGTAAAGATTGAAACATATAAACATTATTTATTTAGTTTAGGTTCATTGTTGACGTAGGAAATATAAATAATTTAAAGTATCAGCTTAGTGGGGTTAGTACATGAAATGCTGGAAATAAACTAGTGTAATATGGGAAATAGTGTATTACATATTATTATTCATGCCATTACTTCATCATAATTTGTTATTTTATAAATTTAACTTTAGATTTTGTCCAACCTTTCCTATTAATGTTAATTATTTTAGAAAAGGATATCTCCTTGGCTACTGTCACAGGAGGAAGCAATTAGATCTACCAAAATCTGTTGCAATATGCATATGGGCATGTGTACGGAAGATGATCAAACTCAGAACTAAAAGAAAACCTCATTCTACAACACCCAATATTCAACCTGTGTTCCATTTATGCATTTTAGAGATGCTGCCATAAATATAGCAAAATAAAGCAGCTATTCAGTGGAATTAATATAGGCATTGTTATCGTTTGAGCAGTAAACATGTTTCAGTTTTCAGTTTCACTTTAGAACAGGACTGAATATCTGATCCCAAGTAACACCTTCCCATAACAGTCATTATCTCTGGTATTCTGTATCACAATCACCTATTGTTTTTGGCTTCTGCCACTTCTCTGCTACCAAGATGCCACAACGATGTCTCATTTTGGAATGCATTCATCTTACCTTGGATGTGGGCCAACCAAGAATGAGGAAATACAGGATGTACAGTAGTTGAAGCCAGCG